AACTTCTAACCACAACCCTACTTACGTACATAAATCAACTAAAATAAAAATAAACTAAAATAAAATAAATTATAAGGTACTCTAGAGAGAGCTTTAATTCCGTGGGTATGTCTAATCATCAGTTTAAAAAATATCTCCCGTGTTTGCCAAATCGTGTTCTTTTCTTCTTCCCCAATAGGTACCATTACATTCCCAAAACATATCTCCAGTAATTGGATGCTTCTTTTTAATGAACCAATTAGGAACATACTTCTCTTTGGTCTCTTCTCTTCTTTTTCTGGCTTGTCTTTGTTTAACTTCAACACGATGTTTTTCGTCAGCAGCACGGTCATACAATCCATCTTCCATATCTCTTTGATCCGGTCTTAATCTTGTATCTGTAGGTGCAAGCCACTTCTTCAAATTATCATCAATACCATTCAATGTAAGAGCAAAAGCAGTCAAATTGAAAGGAACTTTTGGTCGAGGAGCAACTTGCCAGACTAAAAATTTCCCTCCAGAATATGGATCATTATTGGTGTTTGTACTAGCACCAGACTTGATAGCTGGATCATCCAACAATGACATTCTTCGTTCAGAAGCACGACCTTCAGTATGATGATCTTGGGTAATTCTCTTTGCAAAAATCTTTGAATTCCAATGTCCACCCATAGCCCATTTGGCAACCCCATTCTTATCCAATGCATGACCAGATAACTGATAAGCTGAAGATGCTCTCCAACCACGTTGTTTCATATCAACAATGATGGTATCACCTGTGGTGTGGTTCTCAACAATCATTTTACCATAGTTGTCAACAGTTGGATTACCAAGCATAATACCAACGACAGCAGTATTAACCTTCTTCCAACTGTACAATTCTTCATGCACCAATTCTCCCTTCTTGTTCACAACTCCATTATCTGGTCTAAGAACACAAAACATCTTACCCAAATGTTTAAAGTCAAATGATCTACCATAGAATTTGGAGTCAACAGCATTTTCACCATAGTAATCCCATTTTGCCGATTCAGCACGACAAGCACTTATAGGAGGATGATGACTGACTTGTTCAACAAGAATTCTATAATTGCCATCTGGTCTTGCATACTCAAATGTTTCTCCCAATAATGGATTGAATGGCTTAGCAATTCTGTCAATAGTGGAAGAATATTCAGTAGCTGCAAATGTGGCAACATAAATCATACGCAATGTGGAGTCATCGTATTGACAAGCAATATTCAACAAATTGTTGTATTCGATATCTTCAGTTAATCTTTGCAACAACGAAGTCGGTTCGTTAAATGAAACAGGTAATGTCATCTTGGTCATATCTTTACCAATCATCGATTTCAAAATTCCCCACAAACCAACTTTTGGTCTATTATCTTCATCCAAGGCCAATCTCTTTCTTGGTGGGTTTTCGTACCCAAGGAATGAACCTTCTTTAATAAGTAATTGATTTGCTTCACGTTGAGCAGGATTAAGTCCATCATCTTCAGGAAGAGCTTCTTCTTCTTCTTCTTTTGATTCATCAACTACTACTGTTTCCTTTGGTTCTCCTTCATCCACGGCTGTTTCTTGATCAGTAGCAGTATCCAATGGACCTATCTCTTCTGTTTCTTTGATTGTTGCTTCCTTTTCTTCTGGTTCGTTGGTAGCTTCTCGGTTCACTTCTTCATGAGCGGCTCCTAAGGCAGCTGCTATTCCACCAATTCCTGCTGCGCCAGCAACTTTAGTTGCTGATAAAACCTCGTCATTGGTAGCAGTCTTATTACCCAAACCTTCTTCTTGCTCGGTCGGAAGTTCACCACTTGGAATTATCTCTTGACCTTGGGAAACAATTTGTGTTGGTTGCTCTTCTAATTCAGTTTCTGCTTCCTCTTCTTCTTCAAATTCATCTGCATCAAAGAATTCATCGTCATCGTCAGACTCTTCTCCTAAAAATTGTTCAATAACATCTTCAGGAAGAGCACCAGGAATTTGAGGGAATTCTTCAACTTCCTTTAATCCGTTGTTGTGATTCTTGGCATCAATCAACTTTTCGTCAATCTCTTCAACTTGCTTATCATCTGGTTGTTGAGCTAACTCATCTTCAGGTGAAAGTCTTGTACCTGTTTCCTCCTCATGAAGTGTCATTCTTTGAGAAGGAACTGGTGACATTGTACCTCCAGTTTTATTTCCGGTACTGCCGACAGTAGAAAAATATTTTTTCAATTGCTTTCTTTGATCTTTCAATTGCGCCAATCTTGATTCTCTCTCAGTAATTTGATTTTCCAACTCACGTATGGAATTCTCCCATAACGCATTCACTTCCAATTGTCTATCCAAATTTTTCTTTAATTTGTCGTATCTAATATCAACGCTGGTGTTATACTTAAGAACTAATTCATGGATCGCCTTGATAGTGTTGCCTCCAACAACACAAACTTCGGCGTCTTTTGATCCAGCATCTTCTGAAGAGGAGCTGGCCTCTCTGAATTTCTCAAATAATTCCAATAATGATGACAATTCAACTTGTAATGCCCTTCTGGTGGTGGCAATCTGATCATCCAATTGACTAAGGTCAATACTGGATTCTGCATCACTCTCATAATCACCAGCATCATAATCTTCTAGCTCCAAGTCAAAGTTTTCATGATCTGGATCTTGGTCTTGGTCTTGATATCCAGAATGTTGTTCTTCCCCACTGAATCTATTTCTAGTGGATGGAACAGGCAGTTGTGGGTGTGGAGTTTCAATTCCAGTCAATGTAGATCCTTCATTAATTTCTTTCAAACTACTCTTGAAAGTAGAAGATCTCGATAAATCACTTACCGGTTCGTCAAAAGATTCGGTTGATGACTGACTAGCTGAGCGCTTGTGCTTCTTTCTACCGGGTATTCTAAGGTGACGTTTTTTCTTTTCCACCACAACAGCATCATTTTCATCCTGCAAATCAGCTGAACCATTATTGACGGGGCTCAATGGGGAGGACGTAGATGCCATTGTTGTTTGTGTTGGTGCAGCTGGTAGTTGACCAGTCTTCACAGCAGCAGCACGGTTTCTTTTCTTGATATTGTCCATCGAATAGTTATGGCATTCTGCAATGTCCACACCCATCTATTTGTTTCAATCGGATGGTTTTGCTTTAAGATGCCATCTTAAGCCATTCTTACTCATAAATTTCAAACTTTAATTTTTTCCGATGAATCCAATGCAAAGTTGGCATATCTAAGATTTAAAGGACCCACGGCATGAATTATTTCGTATCGATCTTGATTTGTATAGGTACGATTAGATCCCAATTTGGTCAAGCATAAAATATCTTAAATTTATAACCAGAAGGCAAAATTTGGTCCATTTGCCGCAAATATACTTTGTCGTCAGCCGCAATTTCCAGGTCTTTATAGCATTGTTAGTGGAAGCAACTGGATCCATGATTGTTTGATCTTTAGAAGCGGTTTTAATCAATTTTCTCAATGGATCATTCTTTGAATTGACCAAATCAATAGGTAATCTTCCATGTTTATCACGTTTGAATGGATCACCACCATGTTTCAAGATCCAATCCCACATAGCAAGATCGTCTTTCTTGATAAATTCATGCAACACAGTGTTGCCAGTCAGTGGTTCTGCTCCATTGATGTCTAATAATTCAGAGGCTCTTGGATTTAAAATTAATAATTTTTCTAAATTGTCAAAATCTCTATTGCTAAAATACTGTCGTAAATCTGTGGCAGCTTTTTCAACAAATTTTGCTCTTTCAAATTGCATCAACTGGGCAATGTTTGCATCTTTACAAACTTCCACGGGTTGTTTCTTGTCCAAATTGACAATTGTATCATTAATATTTGACAAAGAAAGCAAGTATTTAACCACATCCAATCTTGATGAAGAGGCAGCCAAATGTAATGGGGTATTTCCTTGAGTGTCCTGGGCATTGATATCCAATGAAAACTTGTCGGCATTATTAACGAGATATTGAATGGTTGACAATGATGCAACTTGAACGGCATAATGTAAAACTGTTTGTTTCAATTGGGTAATGTCTTGTGTTTGTAATGTAGCTTTGCAAGAAGATAATTCATCGATAATGGAATCAATCTTGTCGGTATCACCACCTCGCAAGGCGTCGAGTAGTTTCAATTTTAATAATGACGCACTCAACTGTGGAGATTCTGTCATGGTATCGTTAGACTAAATAGGAATGATCAAATGTGTTCTATCTCTAATGAAATTAATGATAATAATAATCTAGTGAATAAGTCCAAAGTTAGATTTATCTGTATATAAATTGAATGGATACGACAAAAGCAAGCAAGCAAGCAAGAAAGTAAAAAAAAAAAAAATTGCCAACTAAAATTGCGGTTTTATATAAATTTGGAATTACTGTTGATGTTGACAACCAACCAACGAAAAGACGAAAATCCTGCACACAGGAAAGAAAGATAGAGAAATAATATCTCTCTCTCGTAGCAATCCACCGCCACCCTACCGCCACTACCCCCACTGCCACTGCCACTGCCACTGTCACTACCACTACCACCACCGCACCCACTGACTCAAAGTGTACTCCACTTCTACTCCCCTCCCTCCCCCTGTCCCGCCGTCGTTGAAAAATTCCTCTAATTTGTTATAATACGTAAACGACAATTCATAGTCTTTTAGGATCAACTTGTAGTTCACACAACATTCCATTACATATCACCACTTGTACAGTCATTACCTACTATTGTTAGATTGGTATCATTCTATTTCTCCTTCGTTTATACTGATTGCAGCATGTGGCTGTTTTTTTGTTGTTTTTTTTTTGCAGTCCCTCTTCGGTATCAACGTGTCGTTACTCGTTTAATTGTCCCACAATCCGAGGAATCATTTTATTTCAATTTCTAATTTCTAATTTTAACATTTGGTCTGATCTGACCTGATCTGGTCGTCGTCATAGAAACGGCAGTAGTTGCTCAATAATGGCTTTTATTTATTTATTTATTTCTTTCTTTCTTTTTTGAAATTACATCGATAACGCTTGGTTCAAGGTGGTATCAACATTAGAGAATATGCACATCACATAATATTATCCTCTAATTCAATCACTGTGTTTTATCGAATGGTCTTTTGACCACTTCATCATCTTCTTCTTCCCATAAAATCAGTTAAATTCAACACTGCCTTTATTTTTGGTATTGGTTTTGTTTATACGGTGAACCTGTCATCGTAAACATTTCAATAGTTACACAAACCACTTGTCCCTCTCGTGTATATCATCTCTCTATATATATACGACAGTCGACTATTTAGCAATATCTTTAGTTTTTTGCCACTTGTTTTCTAAGAATAATTGCAATATACATTAGAACGAATAATAAATAAATAAATAAATAAATAAATAAATAAATTGATGAAAATAAATAACACATATATACACGAACTTTATTAGTGTTCATCTACCAAAAATTACTTTGGTTAAATAATCCAGGATCTGGTTTTTTGCTCTGTTCTTCTTCGTCATTAACTCCTACATGAAAATCAACATGGTTATAGAAAATACCATCATCCATGCTACTACCATCTTGTTTTGTTTCCAAAAATGGAAGCAACCCTAAGGACCCATCAGTCACAAACTCATTCATCAACATTTGACGATTCAAGTTAACTTTAAATGGATCAAAACTAAGTAATTCCTCTAATGATTCAGTATCTTCCATGAAATTAGTCGAGGTCTCTAGATCATTTGACCCATTATTCGAAGTGCTGCTTCGTGATGAATCATGTTGCATCGGCGTAGTTTGTCTTGGAAACTGTTGAGGAAATGGTGATTGTTGTTGACCCGATACAAACAGTCTATCATTACTATTGCTTGTATCAACACTATTATTGGCACTTCTAATTCTTGACAATCCGATATTATTGTTACTACTAGTTCCATTTGGTACTCTTTTAACAGCTGTTTTCGTAATTGGTATTTGTTGTTGTTGTTGTTGTTGTTGTTGTTGCTGTTGCTGTTGTGGGGGTGATTGCAGCAGTGGTAAACTAGATACCTTCTTCCTTCCATTATTCCCCATAAGATTGGCTTTACTTATGTTTACACCAAGGATACTTAAAATTGTCACCTCAAGAAGCTTCACTGCTCTCCTGTTAATCCCACCTGGCACTTCGTACTTACAATCCGTATTCAAATTATTTACAGTATCTAATAACAACTGTTTCAGATTTATAAATAAAGGTCCTCCTTTTATGTAGTCTAATGTCCCCTTTGCAACCAACAATGCCAATAATGATTGTTCACGAACTATGTGGATAGGAATAGGCAAAACATTAGATGATGTCGTAGCAGACAAGCACTTTAAAACCTCTAATATTTGTATCGATGACTGTTGTACTAAACTAATGCTCGAAACTATTGTAGCCACGTCTCCTTCGCCTTTAAAGAGCTGCTCTTTTTGAGACAAACCAACATTATGATGATTACCATACTTTGATAATATAGGTAAATAGATCAATATTTTGGCATGGTAGTATAAGAATATCAAAGTCAATTGTTGTTTACTATAACTCCTGCCATTATTTCCTTCAATACTTTTCGGATCCTTCAAGGATAACCCATTGATATCAATTTCAAATTTCAATTCAGGTGGTAATTCTCGTCTCCAACAATCCAACATCCTATCTCTGTGTAAGGCTTTCTTCTGGATATTGTTATTATCAAATCTTGAGTAAATTGAATCTACAATATTTGCTAAAACCTTGGAATACAACATGACGCTTAAAGCCAATTTTGAAACTTTACCCACAATTGACAACTTTGTATTGTTGACAATCAAAATATTGACATTATCGTCGATATTCCCATTATCATTGTCATTCTTCCCTGAGAATGGCATAGCACACTCAATTTCGTAATCCTTGAGTAATCTAGGAATACCCAAGTTCAATGCCCGAATAAACGTCGAGACAATAAATACACCAAAAACAAAATACGTCTTTCACCTTGCATGAAATTCTGAACATCTATATCACCAGCATTATTACCACTTTAAACCAAGAACTGCAGCTGGACATCTATGCAATCTCAATTGTTGGGCATGGCTAATACTCTTCCTCTTAGTTCGTAACAACTAACAATATCACCAGTGACTAACATATGCATGCCACGAAAGAATCTGCAAGGTCTGAATCGAACAGTATGTGTGATTAAACAATTTGGTCTGATAAACTCGTGGAATTAAATAATCATAGTGTTTCATCAAGGCAATAAACTTTGGTGGTGTTTGCGGACTTAAAGATCGTAAATAATTCTTCTTACTTGCAAGAAATGCTAAACTCAAAATCAAAATCATAATGGCTCCAAATTTTTCAATCAGTTCATATGACGATTCTCCTTCAAAATCACTATAATGACCTTGCTCTAAAATATGATTCAATTTCATATAATTCTTCAAGAATGAATTCTTGTCCAAAATTGGTAAAGCATTTCCCCATTCTTGAAAATAAACTGTAATGAGTTGGTCCATATCCAATCTAGATACTGGGAGATTTATCAACTCTTTTAAAAATACAATTGCCTCTGGTTCTGACAATTTAGTAATATCGTATCGATTCATTATCATCTTGTTCAATGTTTCTTCAAGTTCAGCAGGAAATGGAGACTCCATATTTGCATTTGTATTCTCTTTCAATGATGCCAAAGAATTAGCTGTAAGAATTGCTGGTTTTGAATCATATCCATATGCCTGACAAATACGTGCGAGTAATGTTGGAGTACATAATGTTTCTTCCGTGCTTCGTGGTATTGACATTGCAACTAAAGATGTGAGCATACTTTGTTTATTGCTCTCTTTTTCTAACTTCTGTTGTTGTTGTTGGAATAGTTTAGTCTTTTGCATTTGTGCAATTGCAGTAGCTGCTGCAAATGCTCCAGGCGCTGGACTCTGTTCTCTATTGGTTGAATTGGAAGACGCGAAATGTGACAGTTTTTTGTGACGGTGTTGTGAATTATATTCTTCAATACTAAGCAAACTATCATTATCATCGTTGTCGTCATTATAAGCATTATCCTCATCGTCACTCAACTTTAGTGACCCAGCAATGGACACTGGTACGTCTACCACGCTTCCAGCAACACCTCGGACATTATTAGATCCATACATTGAACCTGCGATCGAAACAGGTCTTTCGTGAACTGCATGCGGGTTTGAACATCCACAAGGACAGCTATCATCATCACCATTATGAACATGCAGATGAATACTATTCTGAATATCCAAAAGACTCAAGTTGGATGCCGTTATCTTGTTCAAATTTGTCAGTGTATCTTTATCTTTCTCCGTGTTTTTGTCTTCAGATAACGCTGAATTGTTGAGCATTACAAGCTGTTCATCTCTCATATCTAGTAATCCCACTAACTTCTTATTCTCTGCCTCTAATTGTCTAACACGTTCTTCTAGAGTCTCTGTATATGCCTTTGGGTATGATTTTCTTGTTAACCTGTCTGAAACAATACACTCTAAACCGACAGATTGACAAGTAGAACAAGGGTTCTTCCCATCACATTTGGTTTTTTTAGCTCGGCATCTATCACATGCTTGTGCTACTCTTTCGATTTTAGAGCCAGGAACTTTGATTGTTCTAGTATTTACTGTACCGTTTGTCGGATTCTTAGTGGTTGCTTTGGATTTCTTCTTTGACGGAGGAGATGGCGTGCTGAATGGCATGTTAAGACTCTCTTGATTCTGCATCATCAATAGTAAAACAATAAAAGAATGAACGAAGAAGAGGTAGAATGTAGTTGTGTCTGTGTTCTCTTTATTATGGTTTGAGATCTGGAGATTAGAACTTTTTTTTTTTCTTTCTGTTTGACTTCTGTGAGTGTGAGTGTCAGTGTCAGTGTCAGTGTGCGTGTGAGTAATTAATTAATTAGCGTCTCAGCATTTTCTCGTTTTAATTTTTTCCTCCGCCTGGGGGGAGAGCAGAAGGAGAAGAAGAAGGAGAAAATCACCTGAACCGGAGGATTGACTCATTTCAATTAATTAACACCACAAAGATAAATTATCCATGGGGTTGATTAATTCTATTTTATTTTTCACACGATGATTCACAAAGCACAATTTCATGTGGTTATTATCCAGTGGTTAAGCAGACAAAACTGACACTAAGTTAACCACGGACTTTCAAAGCAAGTATTAATAGATCAATATTTCCTATATTTCCCATCCAATTAGCTCCCGATATTGTGTAAATTTGTTCAAAGTGAAAAATTTCCTGCCACTATAGTGAACTATTCACAGAGATAGACTGTAGAATTAGAGCAAACTCCCTCCAAACATAATAAATAGATTCTCACACTTGAAGTTCTCTTCCAATACGGCACAGAGATACAAAGTTACAAATCACGGATAAATAATAACTGTATACTAGAATATATGATAAACTAAAACTCAAAACATGCTAAACTAATCTTTTATGTATTCTCTCTCTCTCTCTCTCTCTTCTTTTTTTAATCGATATACCCACCTTCTTTTGCAAGGGAATAGAAGATACTGTCTTTATTCTTCAACAAAGCCTCTGGTGAATCAAACTCAGCAACTCTTCCGTTGTCCAACACCAAAATCTTGTCACTGTCCATAATGGTATCAATTCTATGTGCAATGGTCAAAATGGTCTTGTCCTTGAACTCGCTTCGGATAGTCTCCTGGATGATCTTATCGGTCTGGAAATCCACCGCAGCGGTGGCTTCATCCAACACCAAGATCTTGCTTGTTTCATTCAACAATGCCCGTGGCCAAACACAACAACTGCTTTTGTCCAGACGACAAGTTCGACCCACCTTCTTCGATCTGTGCATCCAACCCCACTTTCTTTGGCAACTCGTCTTGGTTCTTGCTCTTCTTCTTCTCTTGCTCCAGGGGCTCGGTTTCCATCTTGGCAACGTGTTCCTTCAAGTGTGCCAACTCCAACACCTTCCACAACTTGTCATCACTGTACTCCCCAAATGGGTCCAAGTTCTCTCTGACAGATGCTCTAAACGTGTGTGCCTCTTGTGGGATAATGGTCAAATGGTGTCTAAGATCATACAATCCAATTTCACTAGTGTTGACCCCATCAATCTCAATGTGCCCTCCCGTGGCTTCGATTATTCTGAACAACGACAACGTCAATGATGACTTCCCAGCTCCGGTTCTGCCAACAATACCAACCTTCTCCTTAGACGCAATCGTCAACTCGATTTCTTTCAAAACCGGATCCAAGTGTTCACGATAGGCAGTACTGTACTTCTTGAACTTCACAACACCTTCTGCGGGCCATGATGCCTCTGGTCGCTTGTCTTCAATAACCATTGGTGCTTCAGACGGCAAGTCACAATACTCGATTATTCTTTCAATAGCAACACCACCCGATTGCATCTCGGCCCAGATTCTCACAAGGGAATTCAAAATATACGTAATACTCATGGAATATGTCATGACAAAACCCAAAATACTTGGAAGAATCGGATGCTTGCCACCTAAAGTAACCACTGCCAACAACGCAGTGAAAAACATGATACTGGATGAAATGGACTGCAACCTCATGGACAACCATCTGTTACAGTTTTGCTGCACCACACCAATCAAAGTCTTCTCGTCGATGAATTTCTTACTCTTGTGAACAAAACGTTCTCGCTGGTGAAACGCCTTGATGGTGTCAACCCCGTTGATGGACTCTTGGATGGTAGCCAACACCGGCGACTTTGCAATTGACTCCAATCTCTTCAACTCTCTGGTGGTTGGAACAAAACGGACCCTGAAGTAGTTGTAGACGAAAAGCAAAGCAACAATGATCAAAAACATTGGAGGCAAAAACGTCAAAATAACACCAAATGTAACTATACCATTGAGCAACGTGGTCACAAACGAAATAATCGTCCATGGGAGATTCATATCTATCTTCCCGATATCCTCGGTGAACCTGTTCAAGATACGCCCAATTGGCGTGGTATCAAAGAATGACATAGGTGATCTCAACACCGATTCAGCCATCTTGTTGTGGAAGTAAGCTGCTCCTTTCACAATACAGTAACTCCAGATAACAAGAGCACCCAAGTATGTCAAGAACCCGGAGAAAACACCAAGCCCTGCATATGTACCCAAGAACAATACAGGTTGCACAGTGTCATTGTGTTCACTGTTAAGCTGCGACCAATAACTCAACAAATACTTCTCGGCGGCTGACACCAAAACAACCGTCAATGTGGCGGCAATGTAGAACGAAAAGTACTTGTAGTCACATGCAACAATGTACTGCTTGAAAATATCCCATGGAACAGTCCCCTTTCTCGACACTTCCTCTTCTTGTCTGGTCTTTCGTGGCTCCCCGTTGGAGTCTTCGTCATCTTCATAGTTGTGGCCATAGGAGACGACACTAGCACGACGCAACACAGCACCTTCCACAACTCCTCTATTCTCTTCTCCCACGTATTCAACAATTTCATCAACCAAATCCCCAGTTTCCTTCACATCAACGGAGGACTCTTCTTCATTCTGAGTAGATGGCTTAGCATTACTAGACGGCACATCAGTAGTGGATGACCCTTCTTCTGTGGAAGAACTGTCGTCCTTCTTTCTTCCATATTCTTTGATCAACGTGGCTAAATCACCGTCACGACTCATCACAGCATCAAAGTCACCATGTTCCACTATCGAACCTCCGGACAATAAGTAGATGTCGCTGGCTTCGTGCAACACCGGCACCGAGTTTGTCGCCAAGATTCTGCACCTGTCACCAATGACACCCTCATTGCTCAACACTTTCCTGATGATGTTCTTCCCCACATGTGCATCAACAGCGGAAAGAATGTCATCCAAAAGATAGATATCAGCTCTGGCATAGACACTTCTGGCCAACGAAATACGTGCCTTTTGGCCCCCAGAAAGTGAAATACCCTTTTCCCCGACAACAGTCTTGTCGCCATCTGGAAGGTTCTTGAAATCAGACACCAACTCACATGCATCCACCGTTCTCCTGTAGAACTCAGGGTCGTACTTGTGTCCAAACAAAATATTCTCCTTGACAGTACCGTTCAAGATCCATGGGTTTTGTGGACAATAGGCAATGGATCCGAATGTCTCCACGCTTGGTGATGATCCGTTAGCTGCATTGTCTGAATATGAACCAACCTTAATAGGAACATCCCCCAAAATAGCTTTGATCAAAGTGGATTTACCGCTGCCGACTTTACCAACAACACAGGTCAACTTGCTCTTTTGCGCAAGGAAATTGATATCTTTCAATGCAACATTGCTTGATGGAGTGTCTTGAACTTCGCTTTCTTCATCTTTATACTCGGTTTTCTTCTCGTCGGACCAGATGAAAGTAGCATCTTTGACCATCACAGAATAAGAGGAATTGGCATTTGGCTCTGCTTCCCTCTTAACGTGTCCATGTTGATCGTCATCAAGCTCGTCTAAGGTCAAAAAATCACCAATTCTAGATAACGAAGTCGAAACCTCAATAAATTCAACGATAAAGCCTGGAATCAACAACATTGGTTCGGATAACAAGTCGAACAATGCCAAGGCTGGGAAAACAATATCAGGAGTCAATGGAGTCTTGTAGAAAATAGCAAATGCAGCATAAGTAGCACAACTGATAAAAAATGGAATACATGACCACAAGAACTGCGCCAATGCACTTACCACACCGATCTTCTTGATATTGTTCAATTCCCTGTCATTTCTAATATGGCCCAAACGTGCAAGCATCGGTTTTTCCCAGGAATAGAACTTGATACTTTTAGCCGAATTCAAAATTTCTGTAACAAAACTAGTTCTCTCATCCTTATCCTTCATAAGTTGAATATAATTCTTGGACATCGATGTGTTGACTAATGTGGCAATTGGTGCAACAATCACTGCTGTCACAACACCAGCCCATGTAGCATTTTCAAATAATTTGTATAAGGAAACCAAACAAACGGCTAACTTCAATGGTGATGCCAAATATTCTCCAAGTTGCCAACAAAACCAATAGATAATATCAATGTCCATTGTGATGTGGTTTATAATATCACCAGTAGGTTTGTTCTTTCTAGATTGTGGAGATAATCTCAATGCCTTCTCGTAGATCATAGTCGTCAACGAACTTTGGATCTCGTACCCAAGATCAAACTGAGTCTTGTACGCTTGATTGAAGGTAATGAAATTCGAAATGGAAGTGAGAAACATCACAGATGCCCAGAAGTAACCAATGATTATAGGAGGCTTTTCTTCACTATAGAAGTAAGATGTGAAGAATTGAATAAACTTTCGCAAAAGGAATGGCTGTGCAAAACTCAACCCTGTACCAACAATCGCTAAGGTGATGCTGACAACAAACTTGTCGGTGAATGCACTGGCAATAGAACGGAACATGTTTGGTTTTGGTTCCACCTTCTTTCTGGTGACAAAACCCCAGATCGTGGATAACCAGCCGGCTTTCTTGCTTTTCTTTAATTCGTGCTCCCAAGCACGGCTAACTTTTGCTTTGGTGTCATCACAAGTGATATCGCCCAAGATATCTGGCAAGTCGGACAACTTTACATCGTCTGTCGCATATATCTTATCAATAAGCGGCTGGAGGTAGTAGAACGTGAAGTACGAAAACAAATTGACAGTGTCCAAAAACTTCTCATTGGTAATCTCAAACCCTGGTTTGAAAAAGCCAACCTCGAGGATAAAAATGGCCAAGCTGTTGACAAGCCCTACTATTTCAATGAGGTACGCAGGTCCTGAGTTGGCATAGATCTTGTGCTTTGAATAAGAATCTTGGATAAATACCCCAAATGAGAAAACCGTGTTGATAAGCCAATACAATAACAACGACGCAATTGCAACTGGTGATCTTCTGAACTCGACCAATTCGACGACAAATGCTAACAGGACTGTGGCCAAACTACCAATGAAATACGAGTTCTTATTGAGTTGATATAACGATGCACATAAGACTATTTGGACCAAAACCAAAAATGTTTTGAATGTTTGCAACCCAGGAGTGGAAGTATAGATACGCGGGGATGTCTTTTTGGCAAAGACCAATCGGTAAAGCTGAATGAACATGAAAAGGGCAAAGAAACCGTTGATTATCTGTCCCACGAATTCAACAAACTGGGGGTTCAACGCATTACCATGAGGGGAATAAAGTGGGTTTGGAATACTTGACTTTCTGGACTCTGTTATAACCAAGTTGTGGTCACTGTCGAAGCCTAAGAAATCAAAGGCATGAAGTAATGACTGTGGTTTAAATGAGGACAATTGAATGGGGACAAACCCCAAGATAAAGTCATCATCTATGGATTCATTCATAGTTTAATTACCAAGTCTAGTGGAATTAAAATATGATGGAATATATATATATATATGTATATGTAGAAACAATCTATGAGACTGAAAATAAATTATACAAAGATATATATATATAAAAGGTAAATCAAAAGGGAATATTATAGGTTACTTATATTTCTTGAAAATTGCTGGCCATGAGAAAATAACAGTGAAAAATTTCAGACACAAAAAGAGAAAGGGGAAATAAAAAAATTTTCTTTCTATTTTTCACTCTTCTCATAATTAAATTAAACTAAAATAAATAAGAGAATGGAACAATGGCAATGATTTTGCGATAAAGTGTAAACTGATAACGAGATAATACAAACTAAACTACAAAGACCAAAATTGGCACAAGTTTCAACTATTAGGCTTTGGAATTTTGCTCCCCGCCTGCCTGGCTGGCTGGCTGATACCCCAGGACATACAATACTCTATTCGTATTTAATATCTGTCTGTTTTTGTCTTCTAGCTTTGTTTTCATTGGATTTTGAATACTTGTCCCAGTAATTAGGGAGTATTAGGTCCAGACATTTCTTCACCATACTTCTTCATAGGTAATTCTCCCTTTACTTGATAGTTGTTATTCGTGCCGTTTGATGCCGTGCGATCTTCCAAACAAAAAAGAAAAAACAACAACATGAGGAAAGGGGCGGTTGTAGAATAGCGTTCTTGTTAAGCCTTGACTACTTCTCCATTTGTTTGTTTTGCTCAATTATTACTCATTGACACTATTTTCGGTGGCTATCGCCGCTAAATCCGTTTCGGTTATGACTCTTAATTGAAAAAGATAAACATGCACGGGGATAATCACTGGGTGTTTTGACGATATTCTATACTAATTGAATTCATCAACGTACTTTTAAATGAAGGAGTTATGAATGATTGGAATGTAAAGTAGGGTAGATAAGTCAACTATTGTCAGAAATTCATTGTATTCATCAGAAAGTGAACGTTCTTGAATTGAAAAGGAGACTTTTGGGAACATCTAGAGAGCAGCAAACTTGATTTATCTTTTTGATGACTACTAGGAACCTCTTCATATTGTTATTTGAAAGAGCCCGTCTTGTTCAATGTAGCTTTTATGTAGTCTTTGAATCGGTTTGCCCTACAATCGTAGTTTCATAGTAGGTTCGGTCATTCTATCGCTATCTTTTCAATTTTTTAATGTACATAATAGGATGTTTTATCATTTGTAAGTTTATACACCTTTTGATGTTTACATTACTCATATCTTGTGGTATTATTATTAAGAATTTGTTAAATTTGTGGAGTAAAAATGCCATGTTCACTTTTACTAAAACATGTTCAATGATAATCACATGTTTTGTTGCTTTAGAACAATGAAATAGTTAATTCTCTCTCAATGCATGATTTAAAATACTTATAATTAGAAGCAGTCTATATGTTCTCAAAACAAAGTCTAGAATAATCCAATCAAAGTCACTGGTGTGAAGTAGTAAACCATTATCACTTATTTGCCGGACCACACGACCTGGTTCTCTTGACGCAAATGGAAGGAGCAAAAGAGAAAAATTGCGATTTGTGAGTACAGTACAATTGTTACGACTAGTGGATTAAACCATTGGAAGATCGATTACTAATTTCCTGTGAATGCCTGCTACTACTATCCTCGCACTTATTTAGATACATTGCATGATAGTTAATCAGAAGCTTATTATATGAAGATTGGTTTGTGTATCTTATCTTCTTTTAGTGTTCCAGTTAGATACGTATCTGTTGTTGATTAATTCAATTAGCCGATCATTGCAGTATCTTTTTATGAATGTTTTCATTGCAAGCATCGAGACAAGAGAATACGCATGAAGTAGATTGAGGCCATGGCTTATTAGTAGTGCACCGCACTTGTCAAACTAGTTTGTTATATACTGTGTTTGTGCAATGAATATCCTGAAGGTTATAGATAAATAATCGAAATGGTCAGCAAATGAGGAGAATATTTCTAATTGTTTTCACATTGAAATTGAGATCATAGACAGGTCATGATACGTTCAGAATAGGTATATCAGCATGACTAGATCAAGTATATCTCCCATTATAGTATTTAAGAAAAACTACACCAATGCAACCATCTATCACCAGTCGGGAGTACTAGGTCACATTGTAAATGCTAATTATCAGGTTAAATATGGCAAGATTATAAATTGCAAACGGAATGGGGGATTTTATTAACATCCGAATGACAATGGAAAAGGATATTCGATACAGAGATAGGACACCTAGGGGAATCAAAAATTATATGACAATGATTTATACCAGAGAGCTTTTTAGCTCAAAGTTTACTACCCTATTTTAATTATAGATGATTCTGAAGGTCATGTATCAACAAATTTTCACAGTCGAAAAGGCAGGACTGCAGTTGAATCTCAATTACATAAATCATAGACAATGTAATGACTTGAAGTGACACCCATGAAAAGTAGTGATCTATTGAACAAGCAGGAGTTTTTGAACTTGTTCAATATTCTTTCCCAATTCGAGATGCGTTTAGACAAGTGTCTCTACGTCGCATTTGGACAAATATTTAGAAAACTGCTTGAGCAAGTGACTCTAATCAAAAGTGAACTTGAATTTTTCATGTGGGCATCAGGAGCATTCAAAACTGAACCTAGAGAATAATATTTTACTTGTTGATGGAAGAGGGGATATTGGTATCAAACAAATATGCATAAATGTGATATTTCCTTCAGATTGGGAAGAAATAGAGAACAAGAGTCAATGATATTGAAGCACCGCAACAATGACAAGGAGAAATTACAAAAACAGTACCAAAAGTTGGAGAAGTCACCCCATTTAATTAATATTGAAGTTTAAACTATATTTTAAGCTACATGAGAAATTTAAGCTTTTACGAAACTGAATTTTCCAAGTTGCAATTTTCACACCATTCGTACATTAAAGTTCAAAGCAAGGAATTGGGTTGTTACTGTTTATATCGTTATGCTTTACATCATTTGAAGTGAATAACTTCAAGTAGAAAGTACATATTTTGCAACTATCTTCCTTATTTGAAAATCTTGTTAGCAAATGCAGAGTCAGTATTGATATTATTTACACAATTAGAACAACCCATTTCACTTTAGAAGTTTCAATTACTATTGTTCTTAATCCATAAATACATCACTATATTGAATAAAGTTCACTACTATGGATTCTGGGCTCTGGTGATCTTTCTACAACGACAGGAGTGTGCAATTAGATGGAATTGAGATTAGAATTGAGCAACAATATTGAACTAGAGCATTGAATGAAGTTAAACAGAATTGCATATTCTTATGATTAAATTTCACAGAATGTAGAATTACAAGTGCAATATAAACCTCAAAAAACTAAATAGTCAAACAGATGGACGGTTAAGATGATGATTTATGCTGCTGGAAGCATGTTTTCGTGGTCATTTTTGGAATACAATGTTGCCTAATATTCAGTTAGTATGTGGTATATTGAAACTGAAGCCACTTGCAACCTGTCCTTCCCTGAGAATACTATTTGCGCCCCTTTCAGACAGGGGTCTATTTAGCTTCAGAGGGTTCAAAATCGTTCTGCGTTCTATCTTGATTACAGACCGGATCTCAGTTTCGGTTTGCCCATGGAATCACGTGGTGATTGGTTTTGTGTCATTTCTAACTAAGCTTTTCTTTTGGTATGCCCCATACATTATTCTTTGGTATGCCAACGTCTTGTTTGGTATGCTTCTTGGGGAGCTTTATGTTATGCTCGGGTGGAGTTTTATGTTATGTTCGGCCGAAATTAGTTTGTTATTCTCGGCTCAATGTTTATTTGATATGCCCGGCTCCATGTTTATTTGATATGCTCGGGTAAAACTAATTTGATATGCTCGGGTGAGTATATTTTTGTTATGCCTGGTGGTCCCTATTTGTTATGCTCCGGTGAGTTTATATTGTTATGCTCGGCCGAAACTAATTTGATATGCCTCTTGGAACGTTGTTTGTTATGCTCGGCTGAATGTTATTTGTTATGCTTCTTCCAACATTTTATGGTATGCCCACTGAACCCTGTATGTTATGCTGGGCTGGATCATATATGATATGCCCGGTGATTGTATCTAGAGTTTTGTGATTCACCGACCCTGAATGCATCATCTTGTTGCAAGCTTTCCTAAAGCTCAATCATCAAGGGACCTGAGGCATGACCGGAACTATGTGTTGAAGGTCGGAAGTGCTTAGCATGTGTGGAAGCCAATGTTTGACAGAGGTGTCCACTTGATATCCTGGTAGTTGCTAAATCATTGTAGGAGTACCGCTCCTCAATCTGACTGACCAGGCAGTCATATTTGTAGGATAAGATCATGATTTCAAGGTGTCCATTTCCCTTTAATTATCAATGCATTATCAAGTCATCCACGGCTTCAATTGATGGATAGTAGGATAATAGATTGACTATAGCCAACATGTAGACTAATAGATAGAATACCAGGACTAAAGCGTGAAATAAAGACAAATATTCCACACATTAAATATGCCATTGGTGTACTTTATTAGCTGTATTTCAAGATCCACAACCTATAATACTAATGGAGTTGTCAGAACCTGTGATAGCAACAGTTGTAGCAGCTACACAAACTGTAGCAACGGCTCTGTGATTAGTAGTAGGCATAATAATTACCAAATCTATTTCTGTATAAGTTTACATGCAATACCATATGACAAAGCAGACATATATACAGCTATCCATTGTATGATTCTATTGTGTCTGCTTCCCTTTTGATAATCCACGTTCTACTATACTTCTAACTCACATGCAACGTACAATGCCAGTACTTCTTCATACATTATATCAAGCTTTACTTCATTATATTGGTGGTAACGGTACAACTAACGCTTTTAAACGCATCATATACCACAGAGATCACTATCAGTGTCATCTCATGGTCTTTGCAAGTAATTTGGGTATTGTCATTGTTGGTGTCTATTCGACTGTGAAATGTCGTTTGCACTCTTTGTCGCAAGTTCAATGCTGCGTGTCGCATCTACCGTGTCGCATAAATCATGTCGCATCAGTCATGTCGGATGTACCATGTCGCGTATCTTGTGTCGCATCTATCGTGTCGCATCAACCATGTCGCATCAACCATGTCGCTGTTACCTACGACATGTGTACACATGCGACACATATGACAGGCGACATTTTAAGGTTTATCCGGTGTAAGACATTTTTGACAGAAAAAAGTTTGACACTCAAGTAATGTCGGATCACACATTTTAGCTACCACGCGACATTGTGGAAAAGGAAAAGGAAAAGTAAAAGCGGAGATATCAGAAAGTCGCACGACAGTCGCTCTTTTTCCGTGTCGCAAAATTCTACAACTAATTGTACGTGTGGAAACTATTGCCAAACACAGCAAAGACATTTGTATAGGCATATGGAGACTGAATAAGACTTAGAATGCTGTTATTCAAATATGAGAGGTATTACGTAGAATACCGGAACACTGCTGACCCGGAAGTGGGAAAGTATCGGGTCATATTGTTGGAAAGGGTCTTACATATAGATCACAAAGCCTGGTTTCCCCTTCAAGATGCAGCATATTATTAAAGAAGAATAACATAAAAGCGCTCAACTAATGGGATAACAAAAAAAGAGTGGAGGCAGCTGCATAACAAAATGATCTTTGTGTTCTATCATATCAAACTCCTGGCATAGCAAAGTTATTTTTGTTATGCTGATTATTTCGATATGCTAGCTATTTTGATATGCTGATTATTTGATATGTTGACTAGTTTGATATGCTGACTAGTTTGATATGGAACTTTTATGTTATGTCATTAGTTTGTTATACTAACTATTTGATATGCTGATTATTTGATATGTTGACTAGTTTGATATGCTGATTATTTTGATACACTGACTATTTCGATATGCTAGCTATTTTGATATGTTGTTAATTTGTTATGTCGTTTATTTGTTATTCTCGTATTTTGATATGCTGATTTATTGTTATGATGATTTATTGTTATGTCAATTATTTGATATGGCATTTATTTGATATGGCACTTATTTGATATGGCATTTATTTGATATGGCACTTATTTGTTATGATATATATTTGATATGTGTTTTATTTGTTATGCTCGATATTTGTTATGCTTGTTGTTCATTTTTTTTGTTATGCTGCGAAACACTTTGATATGCACTAGTAAATTTATTTGTTATCCAGCTAGTTGACGTGTTTTCTGGTATGCTAGTTCTATTTATGGTATGATCGTATCTCATGCTGTTTCTATACTCTATTCCTCACTTCAGTTCGTGTTATATGAACATAATTTACATGTACACTAACTTGAAATCCAAACTGATGGGAAATTTTGATGGTGTTTTGCTGCAAATTTATACAGAAAATGCACAACAAATAGAAAACACATATATCTAGTGATCACAATGTAACATATATCAAAATGAACACGCACACATCCCAAAATACACGTTTTCACCTTGATTTCACGCTGTTTCCAGGCATCTGTGATCCTGTACTGTTAGCAGTAGACAACTCTGTGGTGCTACCAAAAGACAAATTCACCACATCGCACGACCACCGTGGAATTTCCTCTAAATGAACCAATTACAGATTAGCACCTGGTTACAGGTGTTGGTGGACAAAAGCAGACACAATGGACGTGTGTGTCTCTATTATGGTGTTGTAAGATGTTGTGTGTTGTCTAGTTGGAGTACTCACATGTGTGTTAGTGTCAATTGCAACACACAAGATCCTCTTAGTGGAGACCAACAATAGCAAATGCCAGCTCAGCAATTCGAAGTAGCTATTTATACTGCATCATTTTCCTTCACCAATCTCTTGTTTGAAATCAAATTCTGGGTAGTTTCTTGTGGTAGTTTCCTACACTTTTTTAGGTAATTTGCTCCTGTATTTTCGGCTGTTGCAAATGTTTTTTCTAAGGGTGTGGGATTGAAACACAGACACAGACGCAGGTATCAAACACAAAAAGGGGGTGAACCGACCATACATAAGGGAGTATTCTGAACACGTTAATAATGGAATTGAACAAGATAGGACAGTTTTCAATGACGTCTGGATGACTTTAATGTTGATTTTTCTTACATTTTCGGGTCGATTTGGGTAGTTTGGAACGGTGATTCTGGTGACTTGTTTTTGTAATCTTAGTGCTGGTTGTAAAAAATTTGACAGCAAGTCTAGCTGGGTTATGGTAATTGTAGATGAAGTAGATCTATGCATTTCTTGTCTGTGCTTGTGAACAATTAGCTTTTTTAAAGATAACGGATACAATCTGTAAATCGTTTTCTATTAATTTGCAGCAACAGAAGTATAAGTTGCATTCCTCATTGTGTCGAGTAATTGCTCTTCTAGGATATATTGTAGTTAATTCTCTGGTGGAAAACTTCATGATATCGCCAGAAAGTGGTAACTTCACTGCGATGCAAAAAGTGGCAACTCACTATGTTTCAAAAATCTGCAACCTTCACTATGCTTCCAGAAATGGAAAACTTCTCGATGTTGAAAAATTTGGAAACTTCAACTACATTTTCAATCAGCTTTGCTGTAAACTCAGAGCCGCTTTCGGGCGTAAGAGATAAAATTTCGCGGTGGCTAGTGCGACCTTTTTTCCCCATCACAAGCATCTTGTTACTACATTTTGATGTGGGAGAATCCTTGTTGCGAGGGGTTGGGCGGATAGTTGAATCCAGTCCACCCATTATTGCAAGTCAATAGAGCAATTGGGATGATATTCCCAATATTATAGGCGCTACTAAATCTTAATGTAAGTGCAGTCCATGGGTGAACTGAAACAGAAATGGCAATACGGTGAGCAAATTTAGAACGTCAATGCGGTAATGGGAATCAATTTTAACTACATTCTGAATGGGTATAGGGCAACTTTGGGTACCGTTCTATAGCAACATAGCCATGAAGTGTAGGCGAGAGTTTAAGTGAATCTGTGTGTACAAGACATTTATTATAGGTGTCTACGCAATTAATTTCTGGGTATAATACACCGACGCAAATACAATACATCTTGCTGAAACCTATAGAACAATACTGATTCTCCTTAGGTATGATACATATCACTTTCAGATGTTGATCAATTCTGGGTGCCTCATTCGTTCCTAATCGCGTTGATTACAATCATTATCTAATGGTACTAGCGGCCGGTGATTCATGTAGAACAGTACATTGCCTGACCTATTTCTAGCACATCTTTGTCGTGTTGGGGATACTTCTGTGTGAACATTTCATACTTCATTCTCTTACAGTTATAACCATCAATATCTTTGTACCAAGTAATATCAGCGGCAACAATTTGAAACCATAGTACTTTACTCGGCAATAGTGACCCTAGGGTAAAACTGTTTTCTTCAGGGAACAATTTCATCTTTTAAATGGAATGTCTGGGACAATGAACCTGTAGGAATTAGCAAAAGCTTCGCTTTAAAATTAAGGTGGATGACTAAAACTTTGGTCTACTCAGTCCATCACTTCTAATTCAAGCACTTGGTGAATATTCCTCTACATCAAATGGCCTCTGCATCACCTTTACTTAAGGTTAATCAAATTATGTCAAAATTGAATATGGTAGAAATTTATATCAAGGTCATATGCATTGAAACACAAAGGATTGAAGAACCAATGTAGGTCGGATAACTTCTTAGTCTATTCCTATTATGAGCAGTTGACTATATGTGCAACATAGATTATGAATGGTAAACTAGACTGCACATTTTCGTAGTACAGAAGACTTTAAGGAGAGTAGCTGATAGTAGAATACTAAGTTGAGAAGATTAAGGACTATTGCTACTAATTGTCCAGAGGCAGTTCTTCAATGCCTTAAAACGGTAGCAAGAGTAGCGGCTTACGCCCACTAGGAATAACTGACATACATTGATTAGAGACTTCATTGCCAGTCCACTCTATTCAGTAGCCCTTGTCTGACTATTTAGAAGTTGAAGCTACAAATATGAATAGACTAACGGCAGTAATGAGTAAGATATTGGTCGGATAAGCAGTAGAGATTAACCATAATTCATTCATGACTCAATAAGTAATTCCATTAGAACTGGTCGCCCTCGTGCTTAGTAGTCAAACTAACTAATAAAGATCCTAAATAGTGCTCACAAATTTGGAAATGAATGCTGATCACGAAGCATTACTGGTCACATTATCATTTCTGAAAGACCCCAATAATCATAGAATATTTAAGAGATCTTGCATTCGGCGGTTCAACTGAAGTTGATTAATACCATCGTGATTGACATTTGTCACGGATCAATACATGTCTAAATTGCTCTTTTAATAATAAATACAATCATACTGATTAGTACTCTAAGTTCAAGAAAATGGGCGTACATATTGTGCTGGTAACAGGTGTCTAGGTCCTCAGAACTTTAGCAGTAAGTGCTGCGAAACTGATAGAAATTCGGCCATTAAGTTGAGGGTGAATGCGCACGAAGCTTGGCCAAACCAACCTGAGAAAGATGAATAAGGTCATTCATTTTGTTCTGTTTGTGTTTCTGAGTTGCACTTTTGCAACGCGAGACGCATATATTTTGGCGGAGCAACTAATACTCGAGCGGTGATACTCCTCAGATTTTCGTGCTGGAGTTACATTTTTTCGCCGTACTTACAATCTGAGAAGCGCTCTTACTAGTCGGACTTTTTTCAAAACTTTTATTTATCATCTACAAATAAGGGTTTCAGCTCTCTGATCACACTCTGCAGAGTAGCCTGGACATATGGGTTTCTACATAAGTGCAGTACTATGAATCAACGTTATCAATACACAATCAGACCATTGTTACAATGAAGTCAGGAAATGAATTGGAACCAGCTAGACTTGCTGTCAAATTGTTTTACAACCAGCACTAAGATTACAAAAAGGAGTCATCAGAATCACCATTCCAATCTACCCAAATCGGCCTGAAATTGTGAGAAAAGTCACCGTTAATACCATCCAGACATCACTGAAAACCGTCCTATCTTGTTCAATACCATTATTAATGTGATCAGAAAACACCAATATGTATGGTCGGTTCACCCCCTTTTTGTGTTTGATACCTGCGTCTGTGTCTGTGTTTCAATCCCACACCCTTAGAAAAAACATTTGCAACAGCCGAAAATACAGGAGCAAATTACCTAAAAAAGTGTAGGAAACTACCACAAGAAACTACCCAGAATTTGATTTCAAACAAGAGATTGGTGAAGGAAAATGATGCAGTATAAATAGCTCCTTCCAATTGCTGAGCTGGCATTTGCTATTGTTGGTCTCCACTAAGAGGATCTTGTGTGTTGCAATTGACACTAACACACATGTGAGTACTCCAACTAGACAGCACACAACATTTTACAACACCATAATAGAGACACACACGTCCATTGTGTCTGCTTTTGTCCACCAACACCTGTAACCAGGTGCTAATCTGTAATTGGTTCATTTAGAGGAAATTCCGCGGTGGTCGTGCGATGTGGTGAATTTGTCTTTTGGTAGCACCACCGAGTTGTCTACTGCTAGGAGTACAGGATTACAGATGTCTGGAAACAGCGTGAAATGATAATGGAAACGTCTACGTTGAGCTTAGTGTGAGTTAATTTTGCTACGTGTTACATTGTAGTTACTAGATATGTGTGTGTTCTATTTGTTGTGCATTTTCTGTATAAATTTGCAGCAAAACACCATCAAAATTTCCCATCAGTTTGTGTTTTGAAAGTTTGTGCATTTGTAAATTACGTTCATATAACACGAACTGAAGTGAGGAATAGAGTATAGAAACAGCATGAGATACGATCATACCATAAATAGAACTAGCATACCAGAAAACACGTCAACTAGCTGGATAACAAATAAATTTACTAGTGCATATCAAAGTGTTTCGCAGCATAACAAAAAAAATGAACAACAAGCATAACAAATATCGAGCATAACAAATAAAACACATATCAAATATATATCATAACAAATAAGTGCCATATCAAATAAATGCCATATCAAATAAGTGCCATATCAAATAAGTGCCATATCAAATAAATGCCATATCAAATAATTGACATAACAATAAATCATCATAACAATAAATCAGCATATCAAAATACGAGAATAACAAATAAACGACATAACAAATTAACAACATATCAAAATAGCTAGCATATCGAAATAGTCAGTGTATCAAAATAATCAGCATATCAAACTAGTCAACATATCAAATAATCAGCATATCAAATAGTTAGTATAACAAACTAATGACATAACATAAAAGTTCCATATCAAACTAGTCAGCATATCAAACTAGTCAACATATCAAATAATCAGCATATCAAAATAGCTAGCATATCGAAATAATCAGCATAACAAAAATAACTTTGCTATGCCAGGAGTTTGATATGATAGAACACAAAGATCATTTTGTTATGCAGCTGCCTCCACTCTTTTTTTGTTATCCCATTAGTTGAGCGCTTTTATGTTATTCTTCTTTAATAATATGCTGCATCTTGAAGGGGAAACCAGGCTTTGTGATCTATATGTAAGACCCTTTCCAACAATATGACCCGATACTTTCCCACTTCCGGGTCAGCAGTGTTCCGGTATTCTACGTAATACCTCTCATATTTGAATAACAGCATTCTAAGTCTTATTCAGTCTCCATATGCCTATACAAATGTCTTTGCTGTGTTTGGCAATAGTTTCCACACGTACAATTAGTTGTAGAATTTTGCGACACGGAAAAAGAGCGACTGTCGTGCGACTTTCTGATATCTCCGCTTTTACTTTTCCTTTTCCTTTTCCACAATGTCGCGTGGTAGCTAAAATGTGTGATCCGACATTACTTGAGTGTCAAACTTTTTCTGTTAAAAATGTCTGATACCGGATAAACCTTAAAATGTCGCCTGTTATATGTGTCGCATGGATAAACATGTCGTAGATACCAGCGACATGGTTGATGCGACATGGTTGATGCGACACGCAGCATTGAACTTGCGACAAAGGGTGCAAACGACATTTCATAGTCGAATAGACACCAACAATGACAATACCCAAGTTACTTGCAAAGACCATGAGATGACACTGATAGTGATCTCTGTGGTATATGATGCGTTTAAAAGCGTTAGTTGTACCGTTACCACCAATATAATGAAGTAAAGCTTGATATAATGTATGAAGAAGTACTGGCATTGTACGTTGCATGTGAGTTAGAAGTATAGTAGAACGTGGATTATCAAAAGGGAAGCAGACACAATAGAATCATACAATGGATAGCTGTATATATGTCTGCTTTGTCATATGGTATTGCATGTAAACTTATACAGAAATAGATTTGGTAATTATTATGCCTACTACTAATCACAGAGCCGTTGCTACAGTTTGTGTAGCTGCTACAACTGTTGCTATCACAGGTTCTGACAACTCCATTAGTATTATAGGTTGTGGATCTTGAAATACAGCTAATAAAGTACACCAATGGCATATTTAATGTGTGGAATATTTGTCTTTATTTCACGCTTTAGTCCTGGTATTCTATCTATTAGTCTACATGTTGGCTATAGTCAATCTATTATCCTACTATCCATCAATTGAAGCCGTGGATGACTTGATAATGCATTGATAATTAAAGGGAAATGGACACCTTGAATTCATGATCTTATCCTATAAATATGACTGCCTGTTCACTCAGATCGAGGAGCTATACTCCTATAATGATTTAGCAACTACCAGGATATCAAGTGGACACCTCTGTCAAACATTGGCTTCCACACATGCTAAGCACTTCCGACCTTCAACACATAGTTCCGGTCATACCCCAAGTCCCTTGATGATTGAACTTTAGGAAAGCTTGCAACAAGATGACGCATTCAGGGTCGGTGAATCACAAAACTCTAGATACAATCACCGGGCATATCATATATGATCCAGCCCAGCATAACATACAGGGTTCAGTGGGCATACCATAAAATGTTGGAAGAAGCATAACAAATAACATTCAGCCGAGCATAACAAACAACGTTCCAAGAGGCATATCAAATTAGTTTCGGCCGAGCATAACAATATAAACTCACCGGAGCATAACAAATAGGGACCACCAGGCATAACAAAAATATACTCACCCGAGCATATCAAATTAGTTTTACCCGAGCATATCAAATAAACATGGAGCCGGGCATATCAAATAAACATTGAGCCGAGAATAACAAACTAATTTCGGCCGAACATAACATAAAACTCCACCCGAGCATAACATAAAGCTCCCCAAGAAGCATACCAAACAAGACGTTGGCATACCAAAGAATAATGTATGGGGCATACCAAAAGAAAAGCTTAGTTAGAAATGACACAAAACCAATCACCACGTGATTCCATGGGCAAACCGAAACTGAGATCCGGTCTGTAATCAAGATAGAACGCAGAACGATTTTGAACCCTCTGAAGCTGAATAGACCCCTGTCTGAAAGGGGCGCAAATAGTATTCTCAGGGAAGGACAGGTTGCAAGTGGCTTCAGTTTCAATATACCACATACTAACTGAATATCAGGCAATGTTCATTTCCGTCAATGGATGAGTTCTCAAGCAACATATCTAAGGCATAAGCACAGATGGCTTTGCATATTTTGAATAGATAAAAGAAGTTTCTGCACTCCCTAGTCAAATGTGGTAGTTATATCACGAAATGGTACTCCCAGTTTCTAAATGCTACATTCTTCCTGCCCCCATTGTATGATCCAAGCCATTGAAAAGTTTCTTCTTTGGTATCGAATGAGCTCCGGAAGCGTTTTAGTGTAGATACTGTATTGATAACACTATTCAATTGATGTTTGGTAATTGAAAAATAACTAGGTATCATCTAACAATAAATGCATGAAAGGTATATATTGAACAATTTACAAACACTACTTAAATAAGCCGCTCATTATGTTTGCTAGCATATTATTACCTTGCGCATTACCAATATTAAGGCCGAAATACAATCTTCCTAAGTATTCTACAGGTGCAAGAAGTTCATATTGCTTTAAGACAGTGTGGTATTGGTCGTACAATTTGCGGAATTTTTGAGCATTCGTAGCATGGTCTTTCTCTAATGTCAATACCAACAATTGCAAAAAATTCATCAATGGATACGTGTTATAATAATTGAATTCCAGTTGCAGGGAAATCGCGCTGCTATAGCTGGCAACAAAGAGCTGTTGTGACTCTTGGACAAATTTAATGTTCTGCAAATAGGCATAGTTGATAATAGCACGAGCCAAGAAGACACCTGGATCTACTTCTGGGTTAGCTTTGGAACACAGAACTAGGTAATCAACATACAATGGGACACTGCGGAATGTACCTAAAACCAAATGAATCTCAGCTACAGCAAAAACTTTGCTCTTTTCCTCGACGGTTTGTGCCTGCTTCACAGCTGTCTCGTCTGGCACACCCTTGTTGTTGCCATTACCATTGTTCAGTCCATCCAGCAACCATTGTAACAACTTCGAACCAAACAAGTGATGCAAATCAGGATCACCAAACTTACTACATTCTGAAGATTGCTTGGACCAACTGATACACACTTTGGACAAGTCTACCAAACTGGGGTCATCGTTAGGAATGCCAGAAACCAAATCAATGAGCCTGTTCTTGGCATCTCTGTCGCTGACCTCGACACCCTCTTCAGTATAAATCTGAACCAAATAGGTAATCAAATCAGATGCAGATGCGTACTCCTTGTTATTTACAAGAATTGTAGCTCCTTGGTACAACAAGTCTTTTGCTTCACTAAATTGTTTTGCTTTTACATATCTGTTCGTGATAGTACGCAACGTCTGATGTGCTTCATAAAATGACCCATTGTCAATTCTGCTTTGAAATCTCTGTATTGTTTTTGCAAGCTTGTCACTCATGGTATCTTTGAAAGTTGATAATTGAATATGTTGACGTTGGCTTATTGTTTTTTTTTTTTAAATTTTCTTTCGCTTTTTCTTTTTTTTTTTTTTTTTGAGCGTGCTGTTACAACTTGATGAACAAAATAAAAGGGAATGAAAATAAAATGATTGATCTACAAAACCCACATGCCTTGAGCACATCAAACTCATGAAAAGAACAAAGTTACCACTTGAAGCCACGAGATCAAAGAAGATTAAATTGGAATCTGTTGACGAAAATGCCACTCGCACTGTTAAAGCGCATATAAAGATTGAAATTGAGGGAAACCCGACAACGAACGAAATGCCTCCAAACATTTTCAAGAAAGCTGATCCCGGAGATGTTAATAGTGGCCCAAAAGGCTGGGTACAAATATACAATGAAGTTGTTTCAATGAGAAGTAAGTTTTTGGGCCCAGTTGACTTTCAAGGATGCGAGAGAATGCCGAATACTATAAATCCAGGTGTACAGACAAGGAACCCCAGGATATATCGATTCCAGTTGCTTATATCGTTGATGCTATCATCTCAAACCAAGGATGAGGTTAATTATGAGGCAATGAAAAGTTTGCATGAAGGGCTACTTAAATCGCATCCAGAGGGCTTGTGTATCGAGAGTCTACTGAAGCTAAGCGCGGCAGAAATAGATTCGTATATTAATAAAGTTGGATTCCACAACAGAAAGTCGCAATATATTAAGAAAACATGTGATATTTTATTGTCTCAGCACGGAGGCGATGTACCTAAGACAATATCAGAGATAGTTAAATTGCCTGGATTAGGACCAAAAATGGGATATTTGTTTTTGCAGAACGGCTGGGGCATCAATGATGGCATCGGAGTTGATGTTCATTTACACAGGCTAGCACAGATGTGGGGATGGGTGTCTCCGAAGGCAAATACCCCAGAGAAAGCAAGGATAGAGCTAGAGAAATGGTTACCGAAAGAGTATTGGGGCCAAATCAACCCATTGTTGGTAGGTTTTGGACAAGTTGTTTGTGTACCACGTTCCCCAAACTGTGACGTATGCACTTTAGGAAGAAAAGGTATATGCAAAAGTGCGAATAAGAAGCTATTAAAAGATTCAACAGTGAGCGATGAACGAAAACAAAAGTTGATGAAACAGAGGGCGGATCTCACAAAGTTGATCAACGAAGTTATATAGCGAGTCATGTATGTATTAGAGAGATATTCTGAAAAGCTCTAATAATAAATAAAACATAATGCCTTCTCATATATTCTTATTGATATACCCACCTTCTTTTGCAAGGGAATAGAAGATACTGTCTTTATTCTTCAACAAAGCCTCTGGTGAATCAAACTCAGCAACTCTTCCGTTGTCCAACACCAAAATCTTGTCACTGTCCATAATGGTATCAATTCTATGTGCAATGGTCAAAATGGTCTTGTCCTTGAACTCGCTTCGGATAGTCTCCTGGATGATCTTATCGGTCTGGAAATCCACCGCAGCGGTGGCTTCATCCAACACCAAGATCTTGCTTGTTTCATTCAACAATGCCCTGGCCAAACACAACAACTGCTTTTGTCCAGACGACAAGTTCGACCCACCTTCTTCGATCTGTGCATCCAACCCCACTTTCTTTGGCAACTCGTCTTGGTTCTTGCTCTTCTTCTTCTCTTGCTCCAGGGGCTCGGTTTCCATCTTGGCAACGTGTTCCTTCAAGTGTGCCAACTCCAACACCTTCCACAACTTGTCATCACTGTACTCCCCAAATGGGTCCAAGTTCTCTCTGACAGATGCTCTAAACGTGTGTGCCTCTTGTGGGATAATGGTCAAATGGTGTCTAAGATCATACAATCCAATTTCACTAGTGTTGACCCCATCAATCTCAATGTGCCCTCCCGTGGCTTCGATTATTCTGAACAACGACAACGTCAATGATGACTTCCCAGCTCCGGTTCTGCCAACAATACCAACCTTCTCCTTAGACGCAATCGTCAACTCGATTTCTTTCAAAACCGGATCCAAGTGTTCACGGTAGGCAGTACTGTACTTCTTGAACTTCACAACACCTTCTGCGGGCCATGATGCCTCTGGTCGCTTGTCTTCAATAACCATTGGTGCTTCAGACGGCAAGTCACAATACTCGATTATTCTTTCAATAGCAACACCACCCGATTGCATCTCGGCCCAGATTCTCACAAGGGAATTCAAAATATACGTAATACTCATGGAATATGTCATGACAAAACCCAAAATACTTGGAAGAATCGGATGCTTGCCACCTAAAGTAACCACTGCCAACAACGCAGTGAAAAACATGATACTGGATGAAATGGACTGCAACCTCATGGACAACCATCTGTTACAGTTTTGCTGCACCACACCAATCAAAGTCTTCTCGTCGATGAATTTCTTACTCTTGTGAACAAAACGTTCTCGCTGGTGAAACGCCTTGATGGTGTCAACCCCGTTGATGGACTCTTGGATGGTAGCCAACACCGGCGACTTTGCAATTGACTCCAATCTCTTCAACTCTCTGGTGGTTGGAACAAAACGGACCCTGAAGTAGTTGTAGACGAAAAGCAAAGCAACAATGATCAAAAACATTGGAGGCAAAAACGTCAAAATAACACCAAATGTAACTATACCATTGAGCAACGTGGTCACAAACGAAATAATCGTCCATGGGAGATTCATATCTATCTTCCCGATATCCTCGGTGAACCTGTTCAAGATACGCCCAATTGGCGTGGTATCAAAGAATGACATAGGTGATCTCAACACCGATTCAGCCATCTTGTTGTGGAAGTAAGCTGCTCCTTTCACAATACAGTAACTCCAGATAACAAGAGCACCCAAGTATGTCAAGAACCCGGAGAAAACACCAAGCCCTGCATATGTACCCAAGAACAATACAGGTTGCACAGTGTCATTGTGTTCACTGTTAAGCTGCGACCAATAACTCAACAAATACTTCTCGGCGGCTGACACCAAAACAACCGTCAATGTGGCGGCAATGTAGAACGAAAAGTACTTGTAGTCACATGCAACAATGTACTGCTTGAAAATATCCCATGGAACAGTCCCCTTTCTCGACACTTCCTCTTCTTGTCTGGTCTTTCGTGGCTCCCCGTTGGAGTCTTCGTCATCTTCATAGTTGTGGCCATAGGAGACGACACTAGCACGACGCAACACAGCACCTTCCACAACTCCTCTATTCTCTTCTCCCACGTATTCAACAATTTCATCAACCAAATCCCCAGTTTCCTTCACATCAACGGAGGACTCTTCTTCATTCTGAGTAGATGGCTTAGCATTACTAGACGGCACATCAGTAGTGGATGACCCTTCTTCTGTGGAAGAACTGTCGTCCTTCTTTCTTCCATATTCTTTGATCAACGTGGCTAAATCACCGTCACGACTCATCACAGCATCAAAGTCACCATGTTCCACTATCGAACCTCCGGACAATAAGTAGATGTCGCTGGCTTCGTGCAACACCGGCACCGAGTTTGTCGCCAAGATTCTGCACCTGTCACCAATGACACCCTCATTGCTCAACACTTTCCTGATGATGTTCTTCCCCACATGTGCATCAACAGCGGAAAGAATGTCATCCAAAAGATAGATATCAGCTCTGGCATAGACACTTCTGGCCAACGAAATACGTGCCTTTTGGCCCCCAGAAAGTGAAATACCCTTTTCCCCGACAACTGTCTTGTCGCCATCTGGAAGGTTCTTGAAATCAGACACCAACTCACATGCATCCACCGTTCTCCTGTAGAACTCAGAGTCGTACTTGTGTCCAAACAAAATATTCTCCTTGACAGTACCGTTCAAGATCCATGGGTTTTGTGGACAATAGGCAATGGATCCGAATGTCTCCACGCTTGGTGATGATCCGTTAGCTGCATTGTCTGAATATGAACCAACCTTAATAGGAACATCCCCCAAAATAGCTTTGATCAAAGTGGATTTACCGCTGCCGACTTTACCAACAACACAGGTCAACTTGCTCTTTTGCGCAAGGAAATTGATATCTTTCAATGCAACATTGCTTGATGGAGTGTCTTGAACTTCGCTTTCTTCATCTTTATACTCGGTTTTCTTCTCGTCGGACCAGATGAAAGTAGCATCCTTGACAATCACAGAATAAGAGGAATTGGCATTTGGCTCTGTGTCTCGTTTAACATATCCATGTTGATCGTCATCAAGCTCGTCTAAGGTCAACAAATCACCAATTCTAGATAATGACGTAGAGGCCTCGATAAATTGTACAATAAATCGTGGAATCAACAACATTGGTTCGGATAACAAGTCAAACAATACCAAAGCTGGGAAGACGATATCAGGAGTCAATGGAGTCTTGTAGAAAATAGCAAATGCAGCATAAGTAGCACAACTGATAAAAAATGGAATACATGACCACAAGAACTGCGCCAATGCACTTACCACACCGATCTTCTTGATATTGTTCAATTCCCTGTCATTTCTAATATGGCCCAAGCGTGCAAGCATCGGTTTCTCCCAGGAATAAAACTTGATACTTTTAGCTGAATTCAAAATCTCTGTAACAAAACTAGTTCTCTCATCCTTATCCTTCATAAGTTGAATATAATTCTTCCACATTGATGAGTTTACCAACGTCACCAAAGGAGCAATAATAATCGCTGTCACGACACCAGCCCATGTAGCATGTTCAAATAATTTGTATAAGGAAACCAAACAAACGGCTAACTTCAATGGTGATGCCAAATATTCTCCAAGCTGCCAACAAAACCAAAAGATAATATCAATGTCCATCGTGATGTGGTTGATAATATCACCCGTAGGTTTGTTCTTTCTAGATTGTGGAGATAATTTCAATGCCTTCTCGTAGATTATAGTCGTCAATGAACTTTGGATCTCGTACCCAAGATCAAACTGAGTCTTGAACGCTTGGTTGAATGTAATGAAATTCGCAATGGAAGTGAGAAACATCACAGATGCCCAGAAGTAACCAATGATTATAGGAGGCTTTTCTTCACTATAGAAGTAAGATGTGAAGAATTGAATAAACTTTCGCAAAAGGAATGGCTGTGCAAAACTCAACCCTGTACCAACAATCGCTAAGGTGATGCTGACAACAAACTTGTCGGTGAATGCACTGGCAATAGAACGGAACATGTTTGGTTTTGGTTCCACCTTCTTTCTGGTGACAAAACCCCAGATCGTGGATAACCAGCCGGCTTTCTTGCTTTTCTTTAATTCGTGCTCCCAAGCACGGCTAACTTTTGCTTTGGTGTCATCACAAGTGATATCGCCCAAGATATCTGGCAAGTCGGACAACTTTACATCGTCTGTCGCATATATCTTATCAATAAGCGGCTGGAGGTAGTAGAACGTGAAGTACGAAAACAAATTGACAGTGTCCAAAAACTTCTCATTGGTAATCTCAAACCCTGGTTTGAAAAAGCCAACCTCGAGGATAAAAATGGCCAAGCTGTTGACAAGCCCTACTATTTCAATGAGGTACGCAGGTCCTGAGTTGGCATAGATCTTGTGCTTTGAATAAGAATCTTGGATAAATACCCCAAATGAGAAAACCGTGTTGATAAGCCAATACAATAACAACGACGCAATTGCAACTGGTGATCTTCTGAACTCGACCAATTCGACGACAAATGCTAACAGGACTGTGGCCAAACTACCAATGAAATACGAGCTCTTATTGAGTTCATATAGCGATGCACATAAGACTATTTGGACCAAAACCAAAAATGTTTTGAATGTTTGCAACCCAGGAGTGGAAGTATAGATACGCGGGGATGTCTTTTTGGCAAAGACCAATCGGTAAAGCTGAATGAACATGAAAAGGGCAAAGAAACCGTTGATTATCTGTCCCACGAATTCAACAAACTGGGGGTTCAACGCATTACCATGAGGGGAATAAAGTGGGCTTGGAATACTTGACTTTCTGGACTCTGCTATAACCAAGTTGTGGTCACTGTCGAAGCCTAAGAAATCAAAGGCATGAAGTAATGACTGTGGTTTAAATGAGGACAATTGAATGGGGACAAACCCCAAGATAAAGTCATCATCTATGGATTCATTCATAGTTTAATTACCAAGTGTAGTGGAATTAAAATATGATACATTGAGCTACTAGAAATAGCATACTTGACAAAATAGAAGGAATATTCTTTTTATACAAATTTAAAATTCAAAGAAAATAGAGAACAAACGAAAAATTAGTACTCATTTACGAACTTCCCCCCTTGAAAAAATCTGCACACAACTACCCCGAATATCGCAGATTCAACTATAATGGTTCTGGATTGCCAATTATACTAAAAAAAGTTTCTTCAACAGGTCCATTGACGGGTTTAATGAACAGATAAGTCAATGATTACTTTAAATATGTAATTATTTTTAATGTATATCTCCACACATCAGCTCTATCCTTCTGTTTATTTTTTTATTCATTTTTTGATGTTCATATCAAGTCGTAGTAGTGTAGAATATTCAAAAGTTTTTCTTCTCGACCAAACTGTACCAGCAAACTTAGCCATACTTTTACTTGTGTATTTCTTGTAGCTCTAGTTATTACAGCCAGATACTGGTAAAAAAATAGGCGACTGAAAATATTGACGATTTGTAATATACACATCTAATTTGTTGATGACATTTGCGTGTCCGTATTTAATATTGAAATTTTTACTAAATTTTGCGTACAAATGTTATAAAAAATTCAAAAAGTTGATGGTGCCAACTGTAGACAGTTAACCTAATGTACAATTACATCAACCATGACACCTTCTTAAACTAGATTCAGAAAAATATTGTCATGTCTAAACATGGTACTTTTTTGGCACTCTGGTGAACATTCTCGTTGAGACGTATTCATTTTCATGCGGTTTGAAGAAATTATGTAAGGGGAATATAATTAATGCAGTATATCCCACTTTACAGAGAAAAACAACGCAATCTATAGATGTTTGGCAAAGGTAAGGCTAAATTTGATAGTTTTATTTGTTGTAGTATAAGTTTAGTTGCTTTTTAATACTAGATAATTTGCAGTGAAACAGAACCATGTCAAACTTCGATTCCCGTATCCCCTGACTGGCCCCGTAATTCTTGATTATTACAAAGTTGGATAAATAGTTATTTATATAAATTATTGTTCCACTATTGCTCAACCAAGTTGAAACTTGGAATACCGGGTAGTTGGTTGTTTGGTCTACTTTAATCAACTTAAGATTTGGGAAGAATTCTGGCCCTGCAAAATGGTACATATCACTTAAAATTAAAAATACTTGATTTAGATTCAACATATCCAACTCTAAATACTCCATTGATTCACGATTCATATAAAGTAGCTGACTTAGGACTTGATATACGTGTATGATTGATGGATTTAGTTTTAATGAAGTTCGAAAGTTGACGGAAACCAAAGTGTTGACAACTCGTAAGCTGGGTAGTGAATGTGTTAACAATTGAAATTTCAATACTTTTAGAGAAAATCTAGGAATGTCAAGACACTTTAGCTTCAGGTAAAATTGAACATTCCGGATTACCACTACTTTCAAGTAAATCAAAGTGACAGGAAAGTATTTTAGGTATTGAACCAAAAAGTTGATTGATTTTACCTTTATAGTGAGCTGGCTCAAGCTTTGAAATCTATCTAGATTCGTCAATGTTTCATTAATTGCTTTCCTGTTCAACAAAGTCGGAATAATTGTTATGTACAACATTTGTAATTTAGGACAAATTCTTTCATTCAGAAGTAAATAAGAAAGCTTTGACAATGGAATGGATAATGACTTATCTTTATAAACTCCAAAGTTTAAACGAAGGGGCTGTAGGGTGAATAGCATGAAATTGTAGGTGTAGTAAACATATTTGCACGTGTACAACATTGGTAGTATCAGTCGTAATTCAAAATCATTTGACTTGAATGTTTCGTACATTATTCTTGCCAAGACGGGAAAAGGTAGCAATAAAACTGAGGAAGTATCCTTCTTCAAAGGTATGATATTCAATTCACTCATTGTAGTTACGAGATTTATAATTGGCAGTTATATACTCAACTTAGAATTGCAAAAAAAAAAAAAATAAAATCAAAATAGAAAAAAAAGAGATCAACTTAGAACAAAAACGAAGTAACCATCAAAGCGCAAGTGGAGGATATATGCTATTATTGAAACTAGACTGACCACCACGATCGGAGACATTGCAGAATAAAGCCTGAAATATAAATGGAACCTAATGTTATTGGAACTTTCTGAAGCAAAGTAACTGCAGATCATTTGATACCATAAAATAGGGGTTCTCATAATTTATGTTTAGATGTGAATAAAAGACATTGATTACATAATACTACAGTTGAAGGAGAAAGAGAAAAAGAAACCGAAAAGGATAGAATCGGAAAAAAAAGAGAAGCGAGAGAAAAATAAGCAATGGAACCCAAAATCCTCCGGGGATTCACTGTAAAGAAAAAAAAAAAAAGGCCCAGACAAAAAACCTCCAATCAAATCAACCACAATCACCAGCAGCCATGAAATCAGCAATCAGATTATTGAAATACGTCCAATCAATTAAGTTTGTTGGAGGACCACACCCAGTTCCAAGTATGTCTTAATTTTTTTATGGAATTCGTAATAATGAGTGACTCAATTATACTAACTTGATATTGTACTAGAACCACACAGTGCCGGCCCACATCCAATGGCACCAAACGGATTGAGACCTAGTGGAAGTGCCTCGAATATCAAATTTCATAACAGTAATCCATTGGAACCTCAGAACGGAGAAGCTTTCTCCAGAAGCGAGTTGTCCGCCAGATTCAGATATAAACCATTAAAAGAAGAAGAAATCGAACAAGTTGCTAGTGGTGGTGCTGAACTCGTCTTTTAGGGTCTTTTGTGAGCAATCCAATGGAATGGAAAGAGGAAACAATATCTGGATTGTCCACACACAATCAAGAGAACCAAGCGATTATCCAGTTTCTTTCTGTATCACGCAGGTCTGTATGTAGTTAGGATATTTTCATTATTTATTCAGATGTCAAATATTGTCTTTATGGTCATTTAATGTAGAGTGTCGCTAAAACTAAGCTTCCTCCCCTCCTCTTGAAAGAAACTTTGATTAATTAAAAATTAAAGTTCCCACAAGGAACATAAATTGAACTATATTCCCACTTACAATTTCATCTAAATGAAAGGGATTACACTTGTACTTCATCAAATCATGTTATCCACTAAGTACTATTCCAGTGACTCGTAATAATGTGTCTATGCAGTTGATGAGACCTCGCAAAATTGCCTTAAGAAACCAGGCGGCAGCTCAAAACTGAGAAAAAAAAAGATGTCTAAAAAAAAAAAAAAAAAAAAAAACAAATTACATCTCCTGTTGGAACTGAAGTTGAAACAGACTATCAACTTATTCTTTTTTCTTTTCACGGAAGGACACCACTATTGTCAGCCATAGGTTAGATGAATAACGATAACATCGATCATAGTAATCCCATCAACAGAGGGAAGAGTCCACTAGATAACCTTGTTCATATTGCAAGCAATATGTCTCACGATTTCAACCAAAGTATTCAATTGCAGAACCAATCACCATCACCGATTCCACTGAACCAACGTCAATTCTCAAACTCAAATTCTCCGTCTACTCCAGCATCGTTTTCAGGAGCAACAACTTCGACCCAGAAATCTTCAAAAGTGAAGCGAATGGCATGTGTGGAATGTAGGCAACAAAAATCGCGATGCGATGCATATGAGAAACAGCCTAATCCGTGTAGTAGATGTGCCAAGAAGGGATTAAAATGTGATATTAAGTCTGACTATAAGAGAACTTATAAGAGAGCTCGTATTGCTCAAATTGAAAAAGAGTTTCAAGAACTAAAAAGAAGTCTCACAAATACTCAAGCAGCTGAGTTACTAGCCAAATTTCCATCATTAACTTCTTCAAAACCCCAACCAGCCGATCCGTCGTCTAACACAACAGAATTAAATGTTACAAGAGGTTTGGAACACACAGGTGTTAGTAGCAATTTAGATAGAACTCCGAATCCACCCTCTGCCAACCAGCTTCAACTTCACGAACACGCAAAAACGAACAACAACAACAACAACAACAATAGCAATCGTGATCTATTTCCAAAGCAACCACAACTTCCACAATTTCCACAACCTCAACAACAAACCCAACCATCTCCTTACCAGGCGTATTCGTATAACTCTTCGGAAACCAACCCTTCAATCCCAAATACTCCATCCATTTCGAGACCAGCATATCCTTATAGCAATGCGTCCAAGCAACAAGCAAGTCGAAGCAAAGTATCGATACTGGAAGAATTGTTAATATGTGAAGAAAAATCGATAGACAGCATCACACTCTCGCCAGAAACCATTCGAAGTCTTTATTTGGAATACGTGGACAGATATCATCCAATTATGCCAGTAGTTGATATATCAAAGGGACCGGAGCGTATTTTTAAATTGTGTCCTCCATTGTTCTGGGTGATAATGTTCGTGTCATTGAGACGTTTTGAAGGGGACTCTTCCAACACATTGCTTCTTGAACTATCCCCAATTGTGAAGGGAATATTAGCGGAAATTATGATTTCACCTATAACGAGATACAATCCGACAGAAGAGGATGAACCAATCTTGAATGTAAGTTCCGTGTACTCAGCTCAAGCGTTTCTATTGTATTCCTATTGGCCTCCAATCACATCGTCATTAAGTGCCGACTCTTCATACAACACTGTGGCTACAGCATTTTTCCAAGCAATCAGAATTGGTTTACATTCTCCAACGACGACAGGTTTTACTAGCGATAGAGGTACGGATCAAAAAACACCGCAGCAGCTAGCAATGATCCACGAGCAAGTCAAAACGTGGATAGTCTGTAATATAGCCTCACAAACTATTGCAACCGCGTTTGGATTCCCTGCCTGTACACAATTTGATTCGTCTATTTGGTTTTACAGCCAGCCAGGAAGCAATGTAACTATTCCTCGCAACTTATTATTTCTGATGGAAATAGCCCATTTCGAGGACCAAATGTCTAGGTCTTTAAATTCAAATCCTTCTGATCCATGTGGGTTAATAGATGCAAGTGAAAGACTCCCGCTTTTAAAATTATTGGGAAAACGATTAGACTCCTTGGAAATGACGTTGAAGAATGAAATGGTTGCTGAGAATGATCGAGATTTTAGAGTGTTTGAAATATTGTCTACTCGTGTGCATTTGCTTAGTTATTTTTTTATGGATTCATCCCGAATTGCGCCATTTGAGTTGCAAAGGGGATTGATAAAATTGTACAATGCCGCCATTGCTCTAGTAGACCACACAAGAGATTGTCAACTAAGAGATAAGAAGTTTGTGAAATATTTACCAGGTGTTTACTTGCTAAACCTATGGCAAGCAGGGTGCATCATTGGGAAGTTGATTCATTCTACGCTTAAGAAGTACATCGATGTTGGATCTGGGAAACAAAGCTATGAATCAGTTATAAATCTCACATTTAAGGCGTCGATATTAAAACATGACATGGCATATAGATCTAGTGGAATAACGAGGAATATGTGGCAACTTTTCCGAACACTTGATGCTAAGAAACAGAATCCCTTAAGTATTGAAATCAGAAATAGAATGTCTGCATCTGTCTTCTTTGATTGTCTAAATTTGTTACGTGATAAAGTTGGTATTACGAAGTTGAGCATGAAGACAGACCAAAGTATCACAGCAGAAGCGGGCCAGCAAGATGATGACGAAGAGGATGAGGTTGAAGAAGAGGAAGATGACGACAGAGATTCTGACAAACAGGCGATAGATGATAGTCCTGGTAATAATGAGAAGAGCAATGGCTCTCATGGGGAAGATGTGGAATCGAGTAATATAAGTCTGAAAACAACCCCTGGAAGCACAAATTCCAGTAGGATCCGTAAAGCCAGATCATTATCAAATAATGCTGATGCAGAATCCAAAGCTAGAAGAATAATCAGAACAATTCCATTGGATCCAGAACCAATTGCTATCGGCAGTTCCAAGAGAAGTTCTATATTTAAGGTCGTTAATTCGTCCGCTGATTCATCCCCAAGAGATGTGCCAGGTGGTTCGCTGAGTAGCATTGCGACCGCAACAACATTGGACAAATCTAATTTGGGATCAATGCATCCGATGGCCGGATCGCCTTCGTCACAATTACGCGACATGCAACAACAGAAATTTGCCCATGGTATTGTTCACGAACAGGCGTCACAAGTGGGGTCTATTCAATCTATAAATACTGCAGCCGAAACAAATTTACAGCAACAACAGCAACCGCAGCAACAACAAGCAAACGTCATTTTTAACGATTCACCTGTTCAAATAGGTTTAGAAAACTTGGATATGGAAAACCTTGACAACGATGTTCTTTGGAAAGACGTTGGAGATCTTATGAATGATTTTGGTTTTCATGCCTTTTAGTTGTGAGTGGATGTGCCTTCGTAGAATTGTATATTATATAGGTCGTGTGAATAGGTTTCAAAAATTTTTTTTTTTCTGTCTTCTTCTGTTTAGTGAAAAATTTTTTTTTCTATTGAATTTTTTTTTGTTCTCTCTGTGAATCATCATATACAAAGTAGTTGATATACACTAGACCATTAGATTAACATGTCATACGACGATATAGAAAACGCTGTCCCAGATATCGTCATTGGGAGCACCATAGAAGAACCAGAAGAAGTAGAAGAATATCAAGGTGAAAGTGATCTTGAATTACATGAACAAGACTACGAGGAAGCATCCCATGAAGAAGAACAAACAACCAAAGGCAAAAAGACCGTTGCATTTGCTGGCTTAGATGAAGACGAAGAAAACGCAGAAGAAATAGCCAGAAGAGAATTTGAAGAAGGTGGTGGTTTGCCAGAACAACCAGAAAACCCGGACTTTAGTCAAATGACTCCATTGTCTCCAGAAATTATTAACAGACAAGCTACTATTAATATTGGTACCATTGGTCATGTCGCCCACGGTAAGTCAACTGTGGTTAGAGCCATCTCTGGTGTCCAAACTGTTCGTTTCAAGGATGAATTGGAAAGAAATATTACCATCAAGTTAGGTTATGCCAACGCCAAGATCTACAAGTGTGACAATCCAGAGTGTCCTGAACCAGACTGTTACAGATCTTTCAAATCAGACAAAGAAATCAGACCTAAATGTCAACGTCCAGGCTGTACTGGTCGTTACCAATTGTTGAGACACGTTTCTTTTGTTGATTGTCCAGGGCACGATATTTTGATGAGTACTATGTTGTCTGGTGCCGCCGTTATGGACGCCGCCTTATTATTGATTGCTGGTAACGAAAGTTGTCCACAACCACAAACTTCAGAACATTTAGCTGCTATTGAAATTATGAAATTGAAACATGTCATTATTTTGCAAAACAAGGTCGATTTGATGAGAGAAGAATCTGCCTTGGAACATGAGAAATCCATTCTTCAATTCATCAGAGGTACTATTGCAGACAATGCTCCTATTGTCCCAATTTCTGCCCAATTGAAATACAACATCGATGCCGTTAACCAATTTATTGTCAATTATATCCCAGTTCCATTGAGAGACTTTTCCGCTTCCCCAAGATTGATTGTCATCAGATCTTTTGATGTCAACAAGCCAGGTTCCGATGTCGAAGACTTGAAAGGGGGTGTCGCCGGTGGTTCTATCTTGAATGGTGTCTTCAGAATCGGTGACGAAATTGAAATAAGACCAGGTATTGTCACTAAGGATGACCAAGGTAAGATCCAATGTAAACCAATTTTCTCCAATGTCGTATCCTTATTTGCTGAACACAATGACTTGAAATTCGCAGTTCCAGGTGGTTTAATTGGTGTGGGTACAAAAGTTGACCCAACTTTGTGTAGGGCTGATAGATTGGTTGGTCAAGTTGTTGGTGCCAAAGGAAATTTGCCATCTATTTACACTGATATTGAAATAAACTATTTCCTTTTGAGACGATTATTAGGGGTTAAAACCGAAGGACAAAAACAAGGTGCCAAGGTTCGTAAGTTGGAACAATCTGAAGTTTTGATGGTTAACATTGGTTCCACTGCTACTGGTGCTAGAGTTGTTGCCGTCAAGGCAGATATGGCTCGTTTACAATTGACTACTCCTGCCTGTACAGAGATTAACGAAAAGATTGCATTGTCTAGACGTATCGATAAACATTGGCGTTTGATTGGTTGGGCTACTATTAAGAAAGGTACAGCATTAGAACCTGTTGCCTAATCTTTTCTTCCTGCCCTCCAAGAATAAGCTAGAAGAACAAAGGAAAAGAGGCGGCTTATTATAAGTCAACCTCTTGTTGTCTGTTCCAAAATACACTGAGTGGTTTGAAACGAAAAAAAATAGTAAAAAAGAACACATGTAACATAATAAGATTTTTTTTTTTACTAATCTGTACCAGTAGTTGTTCCAATATATAGTACGTAATTAGTTGAATGAATTATACAAGATACAATTATAAATATAGTATTTAATTTTCTTCTAAAGATGTAAAATTCGAGGTTGCAGTTAAATTTTGGTTGTTTGACAAAGTTCCCAAAAACTTTGGAATGGAGTCCACCTCCATTAATCGATATACTTGAAGACGAACTTGAGACAACAAAGCAGCTATTTCTTTTAAATTTGTTTCTGCAGTCAGATGAGTATCCATATCTAGATCCACATTATCTTGTTGATTATTGACAATTGGGGTGATCACAGGGGAATTGTCGTCTTCGGTTGGAGTATCCAAATATTTTATAGACTCATCATCTCTTTCTGCACCCCCTTTAGGATTGTGAACTATCATCACCTGGGTAATTTTGGATCTTAGCTTGAAGTCGATATTGACAATGAGAGGCGACTCATCACTCAAATAGGTATTAAAGATCTGGTATGCAATGGAGATACAGGAGGCTACTAAATTTCTCATATGATTTTCAACACTGGAGTTTCTGATTGCCACCTTTTCCACTGAGGAGTTTTCAACCAATAAATTCAATTTCTTCCAAAGGCAATATTTCTTCTCAAACTGCATTAAATGGTTATATGCCTCCAAGTTTTCAATACAATATTCCTTGTTTAAATGTTTCCTAAATTGGAATCTCATTCCTGGATCATTAAGCACATCTTCTAAAGTCAACTTGGCATTATCTAAATTGGTGGCTTTATTTCTAGCATGAACCAACCTGTCTGGTAAATTCCTGTGCTTATTACCCGAATTATATTTCTCCCATTGTGATATTGAAAGGCCAAGTCTTGTTAGTTTGTAGTGCTTTTCTCTTGCAAATACGTTGTCACCGGAAGCAAGAACTTCTACAATCAAACCAGATTTCAAAAGCAAAGCAGCGATTTCGTAAGCATGCTTAGGATTCAAGATATCGGTACAATCCAAAATCCATTGACAAATTGCTTTCCCACTAATGCAATAGTCAGCAGTGATTGTTTTCCCAGATTTGTCTGTAAATTCTTTTTCCCGCAATAATCTAACACCAACGGACGACACATAGTATTGAATATGGGCTTCAGACTCGGGGTTTGTAAAATATCTATGATAGAATGAAGATATCACAACTGGTTCATTGTCTGAAGATTTCTCATCTATCTCGTTCTGCTTTTTCGAGGCTTCACTCTGGTAGTTTGCAAAACTGAAACCGCCTTGTGCCCACTTTTGCTTGTCACCCAATTGCTTAGAAAGATTTTTATTGAAACTTCCGTATTTATCCTTACTAATCAAACTTGTTTCTGGAAGAGGGTCGGGCTTGTTGGAAGCTGTCCAAATATTTGGTTTTGGCCCCATAAGCAAGTTGAATAACAAATGAAGAAAGTATTCAGAATACAATATTTTATCCGTAGATAAATCTCTTTCAAACTTGAACAACGACATGGTATTGAAATCTATTGCCGTTAAAATTTCAGGATAATCATCAGTAGCCATTCCCAATCGTTCACAAAAATCTTGCACTATTGCAAGTCCCTTTGGAGTCGGTTGTAGACTGACATTTGCCTTTGGATTGCTTCGAGTTCGGTCAGCTGGAGAATGCAAGAATTTAGCTTTGTAGAACTGTGATATCAAAGACTTGCTCATTTCTGGCTTGAAACTATACGATATTCTCGTTATTGTAGAAGACAACTCTATTGTCAATTTCAAGTCTTTCATAGATTCAATTGCAGAATCTATACTAAACGTATACGGATATTTCTTTGTCAAAATGCCATTGAACTTCAGTAAGGGTGATAAAAGGGAAACCACATTAGTGACATTTCGTTTCAAATTCAATGAAATGATAAGCAAAGAGAAAATATCTTTAAGATCTTTTTCAAAAACCCGGCCACTTTTGGTGCGATTGAATTTATGGTGTGTTGCTTCATGTAAAACAAAAGATGATGTAGATAACGGCTCGAGTTTTTCAGAAGATGATTGAGAAGATGAATCAGATGATCTGGTAGTCAAAGCTGTGGTGGCAACATAATCTATTTGTTCATCAACTGAAAATCCTCCTTCTTCCAAACTTTTTCTAGTATCTGTTTCTGTTTCTGCTGCTGTTGTTGTGATTGAAGATGTAGACATTATTATTAATTTCTATTGTCAAGTAATGATGCAGGATACCTAAAAGGTTAGATGAAAGTGTCAACAATAAAACAATAAAAAGACGAAGAAAAAAAGGACTCCATCAAAGATTCCGCCAAATAGTCGTTTTAGATATATATATATATATCATGGTAGGAAGTTAGTAATTCATTTTGGCTTTTTTTTTTCTAATTTATTATCTTTGCATGTTTCAACGTTGTTAGAACTTTGCTTATGAATATCATGTTAAAAAACGTTTCAAAATGCTCAATTGAGTAAACTGCGCGTGAAGTATTTTTTTTTTTTTTTCAAATTATTTACTGTGTTGCATTTCTCCAAACCTAAGCCAGTAATGTAGGTTATTTTTATATTTTATATGATAACCATACAAACTTGCTATTAAATAATGTGGATTGTTTCAAATATAGTACTACATTATGAGCAAATGCAACATAAAATATAGGTGCTTTACTTTATACCCTGAAATGTGCAAATGTCATTGATTTGGAATACATCAACACAGTGAAGAGTTTCTTATTCTATAACGTAATTTATATAACTGGAAAGGTATATATACAGTGGCATTTACCCTCTAGACGTATAAAACCATACATATATAAAACCAGGAACTTGTTTACTGAAAGTACATTGAATCTATTGAATGAGACAGCATCTTCATAATCTAATTAGCTTTCAAATGATAAATATTATTTTCTAAATACAATAATACCTATGAATGTATGAATATATTTGACTAATAACACTCACGAGTGGCAATATTCTGTAGGATTATCTTGAACTTCGTTTTAGGTAGATGTGAAATATTATTGACGACCCAGAGTCGTGCAAGAATCAAAACCTTAAGATAATTTTTTTTTTCTTCCTTCTTTCATTTTTGGTTTTTATTTTCTGTGGTTTTGATTTGTTTTGAAACACAGCTTTCTGTTGGAATTGATTTACATCTATTGTGAAGCAATGTCATTGCATACATCTCCTGAATCAGAAAATGAAAGTCCTATCAAAAAGAGAAAATTGAATTCGACAGAGTCACAGGCAACAATTAGTGGTGCTCCACAAGACGAAGACGAAGACCAAGGGGGAAGGGAACAGACTCCAGAAAGGATTTCTTTGAACAAGCAAAATTTGACAAGTGATCACACGATCTTAAAACCTAGTATACAAGACATAAATGTTGTGAAAAAAGAAGTGCTTAAACAGCTCAATGGACATTTTGTTAACCTAGCAGATGCACATTCTTTATTAGACAAGTACCAGGAAGTTTATACAATTTTTGAACGTACTATTAAAGATAGAGAGAGTCATTCTGTAATCTTAGTTGGTCCCAGATCTACTGGGAAAACATCTATTGTTAAATATGCACTAGCAAAGCTCAATCTGCAATTCAAGAACGAGTTTATTGCAATTAATTTAAACTCCTCAGTATATACAGATGACAATTACGCGTTGAGAGAAATTGCAAGACAATTGGACATAAAGGTAAAGGAAGACGATGAAGATGAAACCACCGATGCACAAGAAGGCCAAGAAGAAACAGAAGAAAGTGACAACAGAAAGAACGATGCAACAGTCTCTTCCGATACTGCTGCTGATGACAACGCCTTTTCACGTTTTGAGAAGAAATCTATCAATGAAACATTTGCCAACATTCTAAGTGTGTTGAATAGTGAACACGAAGGTGACGTGACCAAGATGCCGTTAATTTTTGTGATTGATGAGTTTGAGAAGTTTACAACCAGTACTAGGCAAACTCTTTTGTATAATTTGTTGGATTTGTCTCAGAATAGTGATACCCCAATATGTGTGATTGGTATAACCACAAAGATGACGACCAAAGAATCCTTGGAAAAGAGAGTAAACAGTCGATTCTCACAACGAGTAATCAGTATCCTCCAGGAAACTACATTGGATGGCTTCTGGAACAATGCCAAGAATGGACTTCTATTGAATAGTGCTGTCTGTAAAAGGTTGCAAGACCCTCGTTTTGGCGAACAGTGGAATTCGCATGTGGAAAACTTATATTCAAAGGAAGATAGCTTGCTAAAGAGGTTGGTAACTCGAAACTTCTATACCATTAAAGATTATAAGAGTTTTAACAATATTTGCAAGTTTCCCGTATCGATGTTGTCTCTCGACCAGCCTTTTTTAGTAGAAGAGAATTTCAAAGTCAATAGTATGAATCATGAAGAGATTCAAAATCAAATGGGTTCTTTATCAGACTTGGAAATGCTTTTGGTCATTGCTGCTGCTAGGTGGATAGAAAAGTTTGAAATACAGACCATCAACTTTAATTTAGCATACAAGGAATACCAAGACATGGTCAAAGAATACAACGTGGGCCAAGCATCAGTATCACTGGAGAACAGGACCACAAGTAATATTAGAGTCAATCAAAAGGTATGGTCCCAAAAGGTATTACTCAATAGCTGGGGTTCATTGTACAAGATTGGTGTGCTTTTGGACCCAAGAAATGATTCCGCAGAGAATAGAAACAAGACTTATAGTTACAATATCAACAAGAATTTGATTATAGAGGAGAACCAAATGCTTCTACTAGACATTACCCTTGATGAATTGAGCAGTTTCATTGATGACAAACATAATTTCAAGAAGTTTGTCAGATTATAATTTAAGTAGATACACATTATATATATATAGGTTAGTTACCCTAATATTAGCAATTGTCGGATGTTACAATCACTAGCAAAAAGTCCTCATATTTTTATTTTTTGCTTTTTCCGGAGATTATCACGTACCGAAAGAGTCGTAGGCGAGAGTTTGATGACAAATTTTGAATACTTACATTCTTTTTCTTCGTCTTTCTCTTGTTTAACCCCAGCATCCCGTATCGAATCCAACTGTTCATTGTGTTAAACATGTCTAACCAAGAAAACTTACCAGAATCAGTTCTCAATTTGCTTAATTCGAGTAGATTTATTCATTTAGCAACGTGTTTGGATAATAAACCTCATGTCTCGTTGATGAATTACACATTCTTCCACAAGGGCGACGACAACATTATAATCATTTCCACTCCAAGAAACACAACAAAGTATAAAAACATGGTTTCCAATCCAAATGTTTCTATTTTAATTCATGATTGGATTTCAGTTAAAGGGAATGCAGATACACTGCAAGACGAATCGTTGTCGCGCCGCAGAAGCAATTCCCTTTTTGAATTGCTTGCTAATTTCAATAAGAATGAATTGAGTAGAGTGTCTGTGATGCTTGATGGTCAAGCCAGAATCCTTGATGGGACCAAAGACTGTGCCAATTTTGATTTTTACAAATCTTTGCATTTAAACAACCCAAAGATTGACCATAACCAAGTCAAAAACTATATTGAATGTGATGATAATGCATTGATAGTAATCGATGTCACTGGGTGTAAAGTCACCGATACCGACAACAATGTTGAACAATACTAATGTCGAAGAGAAGTAATTGGTATAATGAATATACGTAGTCTATTCTGAAATTCTAATAAATGTCTATTTTCTGCACATATTGCAATATGTTGAACTAAATGGTTCACAGTGGTTGTCACATCATGATATTACTCATTATTTGCCTCTGATACTTCTTAAAGGTGTTGATCCGTGAATGGCTTTCATTTTTGTGTTACGAAGTGTTTGAAGATCCACCAATGCTCAGGAAATGCGATGGATACTGGAAAAAAAAAACGATAAAAAAAAAATGAAACTCATATAACGACGATACAATCCCGATTCAACAAATCAATGTCAAAGAAGAAAATCATTACAGGATCTATGGATCAGAAAATCTATAATTTGATTCATGATTTGCTTGAAGAGCAGACAGAAGAGAATAAGAATGCTTTAGAAGATCCAGAAAATGCTGATCCGTTTTCATACATAGCATCCTCCAATAGCCTAACCATTTCACAAGTATTGGCTTACGTACAGATGAAAGACTTTCAGTTAAAGAGAATGAAGAGAAATAATCTTGAAAAATCGATTGCCAACAGTTTGAGACTAATACGTCAAGATGAGGCAGAAGAACTTGGTAAAATTGGCCCTGGAAGCGATGGTGGTTCAAATTTGGAAAATGATATTGACGAAGAAGACAATGATGAAGGTCGTCTTATGGATGTTAAAGACCTGAATGAATTAAATAAATCAGTTGTAGCCTTATGGAACTTGGAAGATAATCAGACGGTGGATAGCAAGGATGGCGACGATCATCAAATGGAAGATTCCACTATTGGCACCAAAAGAAAAGTCAAAGATAATTCCAAGTCTCAATTGAAAAAACAAAAAAGGAAAATCGACCATACTCCTCCAACTGCAGACCTTTCCTCTCTTGGTGGTGTTGAGACCATTACCACACAATTACTTGAGATTATTGGGTTGCCTATACTTCATCCTGAAATCTATACTAGCACCGGTGTGGAACCACCAAGGGGTGTACTTTTGTACGGTCCACCAGGGTGTGGGAAGACCACCCTTGCCAACGCATTAGCCGGTGAATTGAAAGTTCCATTCTTCAACATTTCTGCTCCATCCATTGTCTCAGGAATGTCGGGAGAGTCTGAAAAGAAGTTGCGTGATTTGTTTGAGGAGGCTAAATCCGTGGCTCCTTGTCTTATTTTCATGGACGAAATAGATGCTATTACACCAAAGAGAGATGGTGGTGCACAGAGGGAAATGGAAAGAAGAATTGTAGCACAACTATTAACCTTGATGGATGAGTTGACTTTGGAAAAAACAGGCGGTAAACCTGTTGTTGTAATCGGGGCCACAAATAGACCTGATTCTTTAGACTCTGCTCTTCGACGTGCGGGAAGATTTGATAGAGAAATATGTTTAACTGTTCCTAACGAAGAGCAAAGAATTTCAATTCTCAAGGCAATGACAAAGAACATCAAACTCGAGAGTGGTGAGAATTTTGATTATAGAGAATTATCCAAGTTGACTCCTGGATATGTTGGGGCCGATCTTAAAAGTTTGGTGACTGCTGCGGGGATCACAGCTATCAAGAGAATTTTTGAAACAATGAGTGAAGCACAAGAAGAATCCTCAGTTCAGAAAGATGATTCCATGGACATTGACGTTACACATTCCGAATCAAATAAAGAACTCATTTTGCAAAACTTTGATAAGAAGTCCGAAGTTGAGAAGTTATCTACCATCAAGAAGTTTTTAATGAAGCATCCAGACCCATTAAGTCAGCAACAATTGGATCCATTGGCGATCACATACGAAGACTTTGTCAATGCTCTTCCAACAGTACAACCTAGTGCCAAGAGAGAAGGTTTTGCAACAGTTCCAGACGTCACATGGCAAAATGTCGGGGCACTTTCAAGCATCAGAATGGAGTTGCATATGTGTATTGTCCAACCAATCAAGAAACCAGAGATTTATTTGAAAGTGGGTATTGCTGCACCTGCTGGTGTCTTGATGTGGGGTCCTCCTGGATGTGGTAAAACTTTGCTTGCAAAAGCTGTTGCCAATGAATCAAGAGCAAACTTTATTTCTATTAAAGGTCCAGAGCTCTTAAACAAATATGTTGGTGAATCAGAAAGAGCCGTGCGACAAGTTTTCCAAAGAGCCCGAGCATCTACTCCATGTATTATATTCTTTGATGAATTGGATGCCTTGGTACCGCGAAGAGACAATTCAATGTCCGAGTCAAGCTCCAGAGTGGTGAATACGTTGTTGACTGAATTGGATGGGTTGAATGACAGAAAGGGTGTGTTTGTAATTGGTGCCACCAATAGACCCGATATGATTGATCCGGCAATGTTAAGACCAGGGAGATTGGACAAAACCTTGTATATTGAGTTGCCTTCACCAGAAGAAAGATTAGAAATCTTGAAGACCATTGTGAGATCAAACAATAGTCCTTTGCATTCAGATGTTCTGCTTGTATCTGTTTCACAAGATCCAAGATGTAGAAACTTTTCTGGGGCTGATTTGTCCTCATTGGTTAAAGAGGCTGGTGTTTCTGCGTTGAAGAAGAAGTTTTTCACCAACCAAAAGATTCAAGACTTGGACAAGTCAGGGTTTTATCAAGAGTCATCCGACGAAGACAAAATATTCATTACTGCTGAAGATTTTGACTATGCACTTTCTTCAATCAGACCAAGTGTGAGCGATAGAGATCGTGTACGTTATGAAAAGTTGAACAGGAAATTGGGTTGGAATATAATTCCTGAAAAGGAGAATGAAGAGAAAGAACCACAAATTGCAAGTTGATTTTCATTATAGAGCCAGTGTGTGCGTGATATCACCAGATATAGTTTAAACAGTTCAATCTATAAACAAGAAGGATTACCACATCTATTGATACTCTTAGATTTCAGATGAACTGGTAATAAATATCTTCATAAATGTACGAATTTCTGTTATTTCACATATATTAACTATTTACAAGAATGTACGAAATTAATAACCACTTCCATCTAGTACAATAAGCCACTGAGTATTTAGTAGCTGACCAATGAATAGTACAATCCTTATTTCTTGCTTTCGTACTCTAATTTCAACTTCTTCAATTCTTCATCACTGATTGGTGGGATTGGGATATCACTGAAATCATCTTCACCAATCTTGGTAAAAGCATACCAGTAAACTGCAAGAGGTATACTACCAACAACAAATAAACCAATAGTATTTCTCCAGAAAAATGGTGCTCTGACTCTGTACAAAGCAGGGGTGATTTGATGTGTTCTTGGGTCTCTGTAACGATCGTGACCTTTTCTATAAAAATAAAAATTCTGTTAGTAAATTATACTAAGGTTATCAAACTGATTCAAGAATTCTAACATACGGTGCTCCAATAACTTTACCCATAATAGCTTGATGTGGTGAATAGATGAATGAGTTACGACGTATGATTTTTCCTACTTTTTTTTCTCTCTCTCTCTCTCAATTATTCTTGTTTTGTAAATGGACTTTGAACTAACAAGGTAGTGTACGAAGTTCAAAATGTTTCTTTCTGAAAAGATTATAGGGAATGCAAATCATGAAGACTTCTAGGTGTTGCATTCATCTTAGGTATGTATGTAAATTGAAATTCAGATTTGTTAATGATATTTCTACATGAATTGCACTATTCTTGAGAATCAAAACAGAAATCGAAGTGCTGGTAAAAAAAAAGGAGAACATAATCACATTGTTTTCCTGTTCGCGGTATAGTTTGAACCATACGGCTCATAGTCCTTAACTAGATGCACGAATTGTGAGCTGCAAATTCCTGCTTTAGTTACTTCTATGGTGTGAATGTACTAGAAAGAAGGAACCATTATCCACTTGAGCTATTATCTCAATTAAATAAAGAAATCTAGCCGCTACTTTTAATGAAGGTTTCTGTACCGTGAGAGATGTGAAATTTCTTTTTTCCCCGTTTTGTGTGAATTTTCATTAATTGTTTATGAACCACGTAAAGACAATTAAAAAAAATTTTCTTTTTCAAATGGATTTGTTTTTTTTTTTTAATATTTATATGTTTAATACATTTTCAAGAAGAATTGTTACAACTTATAGACGTTCATTTATATCACAATTTGCTAACATGTCTTCCTCCTCATCTTCAAACTCCACCAGACCAATTGTTATTTCTGGACCATCAGGTACCGGTAAATCCACATTATTAAAGAAGTTATTTGCTGAATACCCAGGCAGATTTGGATTCTCTGTTTCCAACACCACCAGAAAACCAAGACCAGGTGAAGTTGATGGTAAAGATTACAACTTCAGCAGTGTTGAAGAATTCAAACAATTAATCGAAGAAGAAAAATTCATTGAATGGGCCCAATTCTCTGGTAACTATTACGGTACCACTGTCAAGGCTGTCAAAGATGTTGCTGAACAAGGTAGAACCTGTTTATTAGACATTGATATGCAAGGGGTCAAATCCGTTAAGAAAACTGACTTGAATGCCAGATACCTTTTTATTAGTCCACCATCTATTGAAGAATTGAGAACCAGATTGACTGGCAGAGGTACTGAAACTGACGAAAGTTTGGAAAAGAGAATTGCTGCTGCTTCAGCAGAAATGGAATATGCTGAAACTGGTGCTCATGATCAAATCATTGTCAATGATGATTTGGAAAAAGCTTACGTCGAATTCAAAAAGTTTATCCTTGAGCAAGAATAATTTTAAACACAGTAGAAGCTTTGTACCTAGATATTTAGACATTGTTGAAATTTGAAAATAATAGATATTGTAGTAATATTGAAAAGGAAACAGGGGGAGATGTCACAGAAATATTTCTCTGAGTTTATTGCTTGATTGTGATATCTCTTACTCACTCACAAGACGCACTACACGTGATTTCCAAATATCGGGAAATTGAAAAACCAACCGAAAAAAAAAAAAACAAATCATGAACTGCTTTTTCTTTTTCCTTTCTTCTATTACTTGCTTCTCCTGATAACACATATAAATATTCCACCATTACAAACCAAAAATGTCCGGACTTCCATCATCAGTAGCATTTGGAGAAGAAGAGTATGTATTATTTTTCAATTTTAGAGACTATTGGAATAGAAACCACTGTTTTACCGCGACATGTATTTGTGACTGCGGGGTTTGAATTTCAACCATTGTAATTGTTCATAAGACTAACGCCACAGTAGAGAGCCTGATCTTCTTGATAAGATGTGGGAAAAATCAAAGCAACAGCCGTTAGTACCAATAGGTTCGTTATTGACGGCTGGTGCTGTTTTTTTAGCAGCCAGATCTATGAAGCGTGGTGAGAAAGTCAAGACACAAATCTACTTTCGTTATCGTATAGGTTTCCAATTGGCAACATTGGCTGCCTTGGTTTTGGGAGGGATGTATTATGGTACTGAAACAAAAGAGTATAAACAATCTCGTGAAGAAAAATTGAGAGAAAAGGCCAAACAAAGAGAAAAATTATGGATTGAAGAACTTGAAAGAAGAGATGCCATTATCCAAGCTAGAAAACAAAGATTAGAGGAAAGTAAGAAAGAATTACGTGAATTAGCCAAACAAGGTTTTGAAGAAGAACAAAATTCCCAGCAGAGTCAAGAAAAGAATTAATAGAGTAGTTTATCCACTCTTATATGTGTACATAGTGTAATTCATTCAACTTTTGGAAAGGAAATGAAATGAAATATATATATTAAAAGAAGTCACATTTAACTCACGGAGTTCTCATTTTCTGGGGTCTCGAGTACAATATTACCTAGATCTACGTAGTAATCATATTGGGAAGTTTTTTCATCTTCAGAATCAGGTTTTTGTTCATCTCTTATTACAACAATAACATCTTCATGAATAGATTTTAAAAATTTACTCAATTCCAAGTTTGCTTTCTGACCCAATTCATTCAATATTACTACGTCATATTCTTCTGAAACTTTTTCCTCTGATATATCATTAATGTTTTCTTGTAAAATTGTTGTATCCTTGATTTCCATCTTTTCCAGATTTTGATTTATACATAATATTTTTTCTTTATTAAAACCAATAACCAATTCTTCCAAAGTTAGTTTCTTTTCCGTTTTTGTCAAATCAGGAGAAGTTACTCGGGAAAGCGGTGGTGTTGGAGAATGTAATCTTGAACTTGGGGAAGATGATGGTAGTTTTGCAGATGTTTGCTGTAAGGAAATCTGCTCATCTTGACGTGGTAAACCATGAACTAAAAATGGAGATGGGGGAAGTTTGTTGAATGTTTTTTTATAAAACTTTTCTGGATCATATTTGGCACGTTCTTCTCTTGACATATATGGAAATGAAGGGATATACCGCCTTTGGTCTTGCTCTATTTGGCTTTGAATCATGGCTAGTCTTTCAATAGCTGGCATTTTTGGTGTAGCGCTGGTATGTATTGGTGAATATTTATAAGAACAGGAATCAACCCTTGATTTTGAAAATAGTTTACTGCTATCTATCGTGAGAAAGAAAAGAAAGTTCAATGGTTATAGAGAAGACAGAGGATGTTTCAAACTTTGTGTAGTCTATTTAATATTTCATCATTTTTCAAATTGTATCAACGCACGTGACTTTGGATTTGCTGATCTTTTCTTTTTTCCACTTGCTGCAGCAATTCGGGGTTCACGCAAATTATTTATCTTGTGCACTATTGAGATACTATTGGAAAATAATAAATAAAAAAAAAACCTACTCTTACATTATATCTATTAATAATAAAAGTAAAAATCATATTGAATATAACTCATGATTAAATAATTTGGTGTTTGTTTGTCTTATCAGCCTTGCTTTTTTCTTTTTCCTTCTATATATTTCTTTCATGCTTTTATCCTTTGTGTGTAACTATTCATCAGCATTATGAAGATTGTATAACTTTATGTAATCGTCATCCAAATCTCTCATCATCTCGATTACACCACGATTACCCACATGATCTGTATTACTAGCAGAAACTGGTTTGGTTTCACTATAAAGTGCAGTAACAGATGATGTAATCTTAACTGAACCTTCCCATGAAACAAGATCACTAAGAGCTAACAACAAAAAGGAAGAAAAATCAGAATACCATCTATGATTCCATACCAACAATTTGATTATACTTTCCAAAATCTTTTCATTCAATTGATTCATCATCTTGGTATAACTATGAATGAAAGCTGAACTTTGGTTGGTGGAGTTCTTTGTTAATAACTTGGAACGTTCCATAACATAGTATCTCAACAATTCCAATTGAGATTTAGCAGAAAACCTACCACTCAAGGCATTGGCAAAGGCAACAGACCCTTCTTTGAAATGTTTCAATCTAAAAGCAATTGACCCCAAGATTTCCCATTCCAATGTAGTCTTCTTGTATTCCATTTGTTGGGCTTGGAAGTGTAATGATTCAGCTTGCCACATGGTATAGACGCGCAAATCTTCATACAACAACATAAACAAATTGTCCAACCATCTTTCACATAATCTCTTTTTTCTGAATTCATCATCATATGAAGCTACATCAGCAGTACTGCTTCCTTTACCTGGTGATTTTATTCCGACGGTGGAAGAGGCATCAACCTCGCTACCACCTTCAGTACCATTTGCTGTACTTGTTGATGTGGTGGAGTTTTTTCTTGAGTGGAATCCATTAGAAGAAGATTGTCTATCCTTACGGTATTCTTCTTCCATCACAAAAACCTTGGCACGGTACTTCAATAAAACTTCCCATCCGGTCTTGACAACAATTTCAGTTAATAAATCATAAGCTTTTGCAAAAGTAGACTTTAAATTAGCCGCCGGTAAACTAGCAAGTGAAGGATCCAAATTTCTTTGTTCAAATCCAACATCATTACTTTGAACATTAGATACTTCATCCAAAGTCACATCCATTGGTGATGGCAAGTGCAAATCATCATTTGATCTGATTGGTACGACTCTTTTCAAATGGTATTTTTCCTTGTGTGAATTCATTGGACAGGAATTCAATGTCAACAAGGCATTTTCGAAATCACCCAATTTGGTGTATACTTTAACCAAAATAGCCCAAGTTTTGAAATCGGAAGGTGATGATTTTACCGCTTGTTTTGCCAATTCAAGTGCAAGATCTGGTTTCTTTTTATCTAAACAAAATTCAGATTGTAAAACCAACAAGTCGGAGTCTCTTTTGTTTTCCAGAATACCTTGGTTCATTGTCTTTACGGCTCCAATTTCATCTTGTTTCAACAATTGCAATCTAGCAATCAAAGATATGACGCCAGTTTCTACCTTGTGCAATCTTTGTAAAATTTCAATCCCACGATCATAACTTTGGGTTAACTGGATAATTTTAATAAAACCATCAACCAAATAGTTATTAATGGTAGTAGGTTGAGGAATCTCAACACTACATCCCAATTTCCCACCTTCAAAGAATAATTCTTCAAAGCTATTCAAAAAGTTATTCAATAGTTCCTTGGAGGCAATTCCATTATTAAAAGGATTAATTTTTCTAACTTCTACTAATCCACCAACTTTATTGACATCGTCACCATCTTCACTTTCCAAAACAGAACGAACAATTGATGTAAGAAAAGTTTCCATCCACAACTTTTCCAATTCATCGGTACTTAATTTCTCATGAATCAACTTACCTTCTTGATTAATAACTTGCACGTCAAATTTACCAGGAATATGGACAGTAACACGCATGTCAACTTTAGAAAAAGCATTAAAACTACAATAAGTCAATTCAGGAACTTTCCAGTGTTTCTTTTCGCCAAACCAATATTGCAGTTTATTGGTCATTAAATTAGCAATATTCTGTAGATGTGCTGCAATAGAAGCAGTATTGGAGGTATCAACACCGGTGAAATATAAAAAAGTTCCAATTTCATTTTCACGTTTAGCATTAGCTGAATATTTATGAATATTACATAAATCAGGTGGACCTAATTCAATAAATTGAGGTAATCTGGCGGTTCTTTCAATTAAACAAGATCCCGGGTATTCTTCTTTAACTTCTGGAATTGACGCCAATGTTGGAGGTAGCATTGTTGGAAATGTGATATCGAGATCAAAATATAACGTTAATGAAAGGCGAACGAAAAATAGTTGATTCGTTGTTGTTATTTTTTTTTTCGGTTTCGTTTTCACTTTCGTTTTCGACCTTTTTTTTTCTTCTTCTTTCGTTCACTGTGTGCATTATCTTCGTATTTTTTTAAACACAGCCCGTTGAACCATGACCGACATGTAATTGTTTGAATGGGTACTGATTTCTGACTTATTCTTTTTTTTTGTCTTTAACGAACAAGATGTTGGATAAATACAATGTATACTGTATATCTACATAGTTAAGTATACGACTAATGTACAATATTTACTATTGTCTTGTTGATTATTACTTTGTTTTCAATTTCTTCTTTTGTTGTGATGGTTGCTGATTCGGATCATCTTCATCTGGTTCATCATAAATACTATCCCAATCTTTGGCAGTTAAGCAGTATTTTTCAGGAGGTAAGTTTAATCCCCATCTCGGTATAACTGGAGGTAATGGTTTACTATTTCTTTCTTGGGCCAATTCTAGTAATAATTCTTTTGGAGGAACTGGTTTGAATTGATAATTACTTCTAGCAGCAATAGCCAACCTTATATCATCTGTATTAACCGTACTATTAGTATTAGTATTCAAATTTGTATTGGTATTGACTGGTTTCGAATGATCATTATATACCAAAGCATCTTTCAATACCGACTTCGTGTATCTATGGGCAAAATCCATCAACTGTAATGGTACATGATCCTGATAATTATGAACTGCATGTGTAGCAAATATTAAATGAAGAAGTCGGACATCTCTTGGTATGATCTTTTCTTTCTTTTCCTGTGTCACTTGACTGGACTGCGTTTGATTATTCGTAGTATTGTTGTTTACTGTAGAAGGGGTGACAGTATTGGCAGTGGAAGGTTTCTGACTTTCACTTTCACGTTTCTGTTCTCCACTTGTCATTGATGTATTACGATTATTCTCCGATGCCTCAACACTCATACTTGTTGTTGTCGTTGAAATTGATGTTTTGCCGTGGATTAGTTTTTGTTCTCGCTCAAGTAGATGGCTCAGAAAAATCCACTTTTAGTCTTTGTAGTCCTTTAAACGCATTAAAAGTTTTTTTTTTTTTGGATTGTCGTGCACACACACTATGTAACTAATCTTACTTCTGGCGTCGGTTTCAATCTCACCAGATGATAATGCAATCTTTTTTGAAAATGTGGAAAACCATGATAATCTTTTCTTTTACAATTGGCTAAGAATGTCGGAATTGACAAGTTTAGAAGAGAAAGTTATTGAACAACCAGATAATATAATTATTCCTCCTCCTTCAGATGATACAAAATATCATCGTATTCAACCATTTTTACATTTAAGTGGCAAGATTCCATATGTTACAAATCGTGCTCTACTTATATTAAACCAGAAAATTAACATTGACTTGATTTCAATTTGGGAGCAATGTGAACTTGTTGTTTGTGCTGATGGTGGAACCAATAGATTATATGATTATTTCACTGATGAACAATCAAGAATGAAATGTCTTCCTCATTATATTGTGGGTGATTTTGATTCTCTTCGCCCAGAAGTTCAAGCATATTATGAGTCTCGAGGATGTATTGTAATTCCACAATCATCTCAATATAGTAATGATTTTATGAAATGCATATATTGTATTCAATTACATTATCAGTTGAAAAACACCACTTGGTATGAGATGCTTGATACAGTGAATGGTTTGGAAGAATTGTGGAATTCTATTCCTCATTGTAGTGCTGACATAACCTTGTATGTTCTAAATGCCATTGGGGGAAGACTTGATCAAACCATTCAATCAATAAATCAAATGTATATCTTGAACAAATCAGATGCAAACTTGACGTTGTACTTCATAACTGAAAGTGATGTTATATTCTTGCTAAAGAAAGGTCAAAATTATGTCACATATGAAAACAGATCCTTGTTTTGCGATTCTGGAATCCCAAATTGTGGTCTTTTACCTTTAGGAAATGGTTCTGTGGTGTTGAATTCGTTTGGATTGAAATATGATGTTAGAGAATGGACAACACAGATGGTGGGGAAAGTCAGCTCAAGTAATGGTATATGTGGAGAAAATGGATTTATAGTAGAATGTTCTGAAGATATAGTAATGAACATTGAAGTAACTAAGTAGGGTATATCTATGAATTCGATTCTATGGTGTTTTTTTTTCTTTTTTTCGCAATCATGGAGAATAAAAAAGACTGTATAAAACACTACCAGTGAGGAAGAAAAAAATTTTCGACCAAACAAAAGAAGCACGAAAAAAAAAGAGAGGTGAAAAAAAAAACGAATAACCTGGACAAGTTGATTTAATATAGCCCATTATCCAAACCAAAAATACATTCCTTCCCATATGTTTAGATCGTTGGTTAAACTTGTCCCTAAGTTTAATAATGGTGGGGCATTAGTATTGTCCAGATTTGCTTCATCTACCCCTACATCTACTTTTCCAATCAGTCATTCACTCATGGCTAGATCATCAATAATAGGAAACACTACATCACCAATAGTCCAACAATTGTACATGAATAAACTTGTAAATTTCCAACCAACACAACCAAAAGAATATAATTTAGATACTATTGATGAAGATGATGATAGTAATACCATGCATGCATTGTCAGTTTTAAGAAAAAGAAGATTAAAGATGAAAAAACATAAATATAAGAAGAGAAGAAAGGCTCAAAGAGCTTTAAGAAAGAGATTGGGTAAATAGAGGTTAATGTGATGTCTCTTTGATTTGTTTTATATATAGATATATAAATAATGGAATTTAAATTTCCAAAATCTGTACATATTTTTTATTTGGTCGTCTTTTATACAATGAATGGCATGAAATTTAGTATTTATAATCGTTATGTTGTAGATGTGGGTCTGCTTTGTAATAGTAGATGAGTAATCAACCAATGACTAATTATACTGGTGACTAATCTGGTCGATATCGATATCAGTTTCATGAAGATAATAGACATAAAAAGAGAGAGAGAGAAAAAAAAATTCAAGGAACATAAACCCATCACATCTCTTATTATACAATCATCCATAAACCATGTCTACTATTACATTTGTTACTGGTAATGCAAATAAATTAAAGGAAGTTATTCAAATTTTATCCAATTCTCAAGATATCACTTCTAGTGAATCAAATAAAGTTGGTAAATTCAACATTACCAATAAATCAATTGATCTTGATGAAGTTCAAGGTACTATTGAAGAAGTGACTATTCATAAAGCTAAAGCTGCTGCTGAAGCTATAAATGGACCGGTTTTAGTTGAAGATACATGTCTTGGATTTAAGGCATATAATTATTTGCCTGGTCCTTATATTAAATGGTTTCTTCAATCTGTTGGTTTAGATGGATTGGTTAAAATGTTGCAAGGTTTTGAAGATAAACTGGCTCGTGCAATTTGTACTTTTGGATATTGTGAAGGTCCAGGTAAAGAAGTTAAAATTTTCCAAGGTATTACTGAAGGTAAAATTGTTCCAAGTAGAGGTCCAACTAATTTTGGTTGGGATTCTGTTTTTGAACCTGTTGGATTTGAACAAACTTATGCTGAAATGGACAAAAGTGTCAAGAATACCATCAGTCATAGATTTAGAGCATTAGATAAAGTTAGAGACTTTTTATTATCCCAATAAATTATAGAGTGTATATATATATATATATAAGTATAATGAAATATTAAATCTACAGATGCAAATGGACACTTTTCTGTCTAAGTAAATATCTCTTTGATCTTACCCAAGAAACCTTGTTTCTTTTTGGCTTTTTTATCTGGCTGTGAAGTCACAGTGTATAAATTAGGAACATCTTCATTAGGCAGTTCGGTAGATCTACTTCTAGAGATCATGTTGCCAAAACCACCTCTTCCAACACTAAATGATCTATTCGACGTCACAGCATAGAGATCATCTTTTGGGGACGATGGAGCACCATCCACATCTTGTAATTTTCTTGTTAATTCAGGATCTTTATTATCCACCATGTTACCATACCCACCTCTACCTGTGGATACTTTTGCTGTATGTAAATATGGGGTATTTGAGCCCTGAGGAGCTAATTTTGGAGATGGTAATTGATCTGAGGCTTGGATGTTACCAGCACCTCCTCTACCTGTAGAATAATAAACCTTTTTACTGTTGTGTGATGTTACTTTCTGAAGACCATTGCTGTCTTGCAGTTGTTGTGGGGTTGGAGAATTTCTTGATTTGGTTGGTTGTATGATATTATTCTCTGAAGTTTTGTTCTTATTGGAGTGGATGTTCCCAGCACCTCCTCTACCAGTTGCAAATGTCATATCGAATGATGAATAGTATAATAAAGGAAAGAAAAAGAATTATTGGTGAATAAAGTAAAAATAAATAAAATGGGAATGAAGAAAGAAAAAAATATAAAACTGTGGGACTGAAATTGTTTTTATTACGGCAAAACAAAACAATAAAAAAAGAAATGACTTTTTTTTTTCTTGTGCGGAAGTACACTATCGATGTGGAATGGAATGCAGACGAAGAAAGATGGGCAAATGGACGAATGGGTGAGTAATTAAGATAACTGGAGAAATCTATCGACAAAGAAATTGTAATAATTGAAAAAGTTATGTTTCAAATTGTTGATAATACAAAACAAAAACAAAAACAAAAAAAGAAGAAGAAGAAGAAAAACAGGCAACTTCGTGTGTTTTATAAAAACCCATTATGTTGTCTTTTTTTTAACAATTCGTCACTAGGTGGGAGTAACGGCTAATGAATAATGGAGTTGGTAGCAATCAGATGACCGCACACATTTGTCTATTGTATCTCTATAGGAAATTTCCTTATCAGTTTGAGAGCAATAAAAAAAAAAAAATAAAAGACAAAAAAAGCTACCCAGCAAATAAATATTGCGACGCATGGTCCAGAAAATAGTAGGAGTTGCCACGAGAGATAATTTGTACTTAATCAGCAACCAATTAAATCTCAACCACAGATCTAAACAAATCCCAGATAAGATAAAAATAAAAATCCAACTCCAACTCCAATATCTCAATCAATACTCAGATCTTTGACCAGCCGTGAATAATAAAACACGAGAATATATCCTTTGTTACTTAACTGTAAATGTTTATTTATTTACTTGTTTATATAAGATCTTATATTATATTATGTAATCACACACGGGCACACCAGTGTTGCTGCTAAAAATTTTTTTCTTTTTTATTTTTTTTATTTTCATTTTCATTTTCTCATTGGATTACCTAAGATTTACAACCAAATCAAGTAAAAGAAAATCTGTAGGATTAGATGTTGGATGTTAGATATTAGAACTATGGTTATTATTGTTGTTGATGATATTGATATTACTAGTGTTAATGCTACTCTGATAGTATTCTTCTTCTTCTTTATCAAAAGAATGTAAATTACAATCACTTTGTTCATCATCTCCATCATTTGAACTTTCTTCAATTTTATCTAAATCCAAAACATCATCATCATTATTATTATTATTGTTATGAGTGTTGGTATTATTGTTATTACCATCTTCCATGATGAAATTCTCTTGACTATGAATACGACTTTGATTCTTCTTATTGTTATTATTATGATATTTTAAATGAAAAAACAGATTTGAATTCAGATGAAGAATTCGATTACGATAATATGACTCCTGATTAACCAACTTTTTTTTCTCATTACTATTACTATTATTATGATTATTATTATTGTCAGGATATTCACTAATTATATAAAGCAATGCTCCTGCAACTTGATCATCTTTAACAAATACATCATCTAATGTACTTACATTATCATCATGGTGATTATAATGATTATGATGATTATAATTTTGATGACTATGATTATGACTATGACTATATTGATTAAATCGTGATGTAGTAGGAGTTAAAATGTTGTCATTATTAACTTCTGGTTTTCGTTTCCCACGTTTTTTATTCAATAAAAGCCTTCTTCTTGATGAATTAATCAAATTTGAATTTTCATGGGTATATATAGTTTGAGTGACATTATTATTGGTATTCTCTGGAATTAAACTAGAAGATATTTGTATTGAAGGTTGTGGTTGTTGTTGTGGTGGTGGTGGTGGTGATGATGACAATACATCGAAACCAGTTCCATTATAAACCATTCCAGGAGTGGTTGTTGTAGTGGTTGCTTTTTGAGGTTTTTCTGATCTAACCAACCAATAAGTACGTACATGTTTCACCTTTTTCTTTACAAAATTTAATACTGTATTTATACAATGTTTTGTAGTTGAAGAAGCCATAGTAGATGTAGCTGTGGCGGTACCTGTCCCTGTTGAAGCACATGTACTAGCAAGGTTAGTTCTATATGATGAAGACGTTGGCGGAAGTATTGTAGCAGTAGAAATAGGTTGATGTAGTGATGATGAACCAGGAAAATTTGTGGGTAGTGATTGTGGTGGTGGTAGCAATGGAGTTTGAGAAGCATTAATAAAAGGAATTTCTAGATTTGATAACTGACTATTTATACTGGTAACTTCTTGAATTGTAACTTCTTCATCATTATCATTAATTCGAGAAATTTTCTTCATATTTCTTCCTCCTCCTCCTTTTCCACCACCATATAAAGTATCTTTGGTTAGCATTTGTCGTTCTAAACTTTGACGAATCTTTAAATGTATTTGATTATGTTGTTGTTCTTCTTCTTCCTCATCTACTTCGTGATATTTATCTTCATCATCATAATCGACATTGTAATCATCATCTTCTTCTTCTTCCTCTTCAATCAGAACATGATCACTTGTATAATCTAAAGAAGCATACAATTTTTGAACCAGTTTTCGTCCTGTGGTGTTTTTAGTACTTGATGCCGTTCTAATTGATCCATTAGGAACACCATTGGGATTAATCATAGTCCCACTAGTACCTACACTATTATTTTGAAAAATTGTATTAATATGAGGTTGAAAAGAAGCATCATCAGAAATTATATTCAAATAAAAATTATCTTCAATACCAAGACTAGAAGATACAATTGATAAATTATCATTTGTCCTTTGAATCACCGTACTTGAAGTTGAACTATTATTATTTGTATTTGGTTGTTGATTTTGATGATGTGCAACTGGAAGTGGATGTTGTTGATGATGAAACCTATGATGTTGTTGATGGTGATTATTATGATATTGCTGCTGCTGCTGTTGTTGCTGCTGTTGTGAGTAATATGGATTAGCTTCTCTATTATTAGTATCCCTAAGATGATTTCTCCTTGAACTCCTTGTACGAGAATTTAGAATAGTACCACGGTGAGAAAATTCAAATTCATTGAAATTTATAAATGGAAACAATTCATCGTGATCGTTATTTCCTTTTAATGAAGAAGCTGAAGATGATGAAAATAATTGTACATTTGAATCGTGTTTAATCAGTGGATTTAATGATACTCTGGATGGTTCTGAAACATACGGCTGTTGTCTAGATATTACTGACTTTTGTCGTTGTACTTGTGAATTTCTTGTTGATGATGGTGGTGGTGGAGGTGGTGATAGTGGTGGCGATGTTGAAATTAAAGGTTTGATTTCTGTATTTTCATTCAGTTGTATTCGTTCTTGATTTATCAATCTTTGAATGATTTTATTGACTTTAGGCATATAAATTAACACTAAGTTTGAATGATTCTTTTAATTGAATTCAAATTGAAGAAAAAAAGAAAACCAGATGATACATTCTTTGAGAATGGTAAATCATACATTAACAAAAAAAGAAGAAGAAGGGAGAAAAAGAGAAGAGGTTGAATTCCATAGTATAAGTTTCAAGGAAAGAGCTTGATTTAAATTGAAATAGTTTAAGGATTTCGTTATGCTGATGATAACTAGAGTTGTGGTGTCAAATTTATTTTTGTTGATATTCTTTTGATATGCTGCGAACAGGAAAAAGAAAAAGGGCATAGTTAAAGATCTGGACCTATAGATTTTCAGTTTTTTTTTGCAACCAAAAATGGAGTGTCTAGTAAACAACAATAATAATTCACATTGGAAAGACCGGGAAATTAACCAATAGAAGAAACTCCATATTGTTTTTATTCAATAATAATCTCTTCACGGACCATTCGGTAGTAGTTTTCTTCTGTATACATATATCCTATCCGAGAACTCCATGAATTTCGCACATGTAAATTTTTCTGAAAAGTTTGTTTCAGAAGTTGCTTTTTTTTTGCCTTGAGTTGTGCACACCATTAAACCTCGAGAATTCCGGATTAACTAATGATCCGGAAATACCTTGCTGTTCCTGTATCTTGCCCCACCTACCATCCTGTCAATTATAGTAAACCTAAAAACAAATTAAACCCAGTGGGAGGAGGAGGAGGAGTAGAAGGAGGGCGGGGTCATTCGATTGTAAAGAAGACGAATTCGGTAGAGTATACAACGGGTAAACTACCTTCTTTCTCAATCGTGATCTCTTGCATTTAAAAATAGAACAAAGTGTAGATAAATAATCGAAACCACAATGAGTTTTATTTCCGCTCACTCCTCCAAAGTACACGATTATCTCGACGTCAGGTTGCTTTTTTATTTCTCTCCTAATTTGACGAGTCGTGTGAGGAAAATGACTCAATAAATGTATGCAAAAATATAAACCTCGCTATGATTTATATTGCATCTTGCTCTCATTAATCATGTATGAATGAACAAGCCAAGTCAAGTCAAGTCATGTAAATGCCATATATTCTTACATTTTATACTATCTCGTGAAGCTAGACTAATTTCTTTTCTTGTTGTTATTTACTGATATCCAATTTTTTTTTTGCAGACTCGTGAACACCCGGGAAACGCGTTGTTTCAATAGATGGTTCTAGAGTTTCTATTCTTACATTATTATCCTTGTCCTTCATTCTTTCTTTCCTTCCTTCCCCCTTATTTTTCTGTGACACGAAAGAAGAAGCAATAGAATTCTCTTTTTTTTTTTTTTTTTTACACGAGTCTATTTCAAATTTCTCTTCTGGTGGGTTTTTGTGTATTGCGTACTTTTTGACACGAAGAATTGAATTTTTTTTTTTCTTTTTTTGCTGGCTATGCTATCTTTTACCTTTTGTGTGATGGTGCCGCCTTATGCACGTTTTTTTCTACACCCCTTGTATTTAAGTGATGGTGCAGATGTACACTACCCACCCACCCACACACACACACACAAGCGTGTACCTGGTGTTAGATTACTTTTCGTTATCGAGTGAGCAAAAAAAAAGAAAAATTAAGGAAAGTATAATTATAGAAACTGGATTATTCTTCGAGGCTATTTTGTATTAAAACGTTAAAAGGGCAATTAGAAAGACGTAAGTTGAAGGGGAATTATGTGGGGGGGAATAAGGGAAGAGTGGGAATACAATGTGTACTACGAAGAGTATGAATAAATGGATGCAAATTTACGTTCGCTCAGCCTCTATATTGTAAGAAAAGAGATATATCTTGATTTTAAAGCGTAATCTTGTTACGAGTGTATATGTGAATCGGTTAGTAGTAATGGTGACATAATCTTTGGAGTTCTAGTAAAACAACGATTATAAGAATTTTCAAACTTAAGAATCAGGAGGAGCTAGAAATTACGTTGGTTGTAGCCCTTCTTCTCCTTCTTGTCCCTCTTTCTACGGCGAGAAACAAAATTGAAAATATTTTCATTGAAATTTGGTTGATTAATGCAATTAATAAATCTATTTTAGGGAATATCTTATTATTGTAAAGGGCTGATTAAAGAGGACAAAGTGTAAGTAGAGAGAGAGAGTTAGACCTAGCGATGGTGCAAAAAAAAAAAAAATCAATGTAAAAACAATTAGTACCATCAATCAAGGTGCAAATTTTTAAATTTTTGAAGTTACACACTTTATCTCGCCTCGTTGTGCAACTCATCAATTGAAAATCTTTCTAGTTTTTAATGAAACAAGGTTATTTTTAGAAACATTGGATCAATAAGATCCACAAAAAATTATTTTTGATGTGGTATTTATCATAGGGCGGGTTTTCTAAAGCGCATGAATCAGCATGATAATATCAAACATCATGATAATTTCATAAACCGTCCAAAAAGGTCTATTACCGGGATTTCATTCAGTATATATTAATCATTCATCATTCGTTAATGATCCTTTGTGATCTCTCAATTCATTCACACGTTCTTGGCTGTTAGTTGGCTTAGATGAAATGAAACGGGATTTCATGAAAAAAAAAGAAAGAAACAGGTTTTTTTTTTGTTCTTGCTCTAATAATTTTTTTTTCTGGGTGAATACCATCTTTCGACGTAATTTCCCATACCCACGCGGAGGATTCCATGAACACCGAAAGACACAGAGTCAAACAGGTGGGATACTGTCACACAAACATAGAGTTTATTTATCCAATTACCATTCTTAAAGTAGAAATGTTGTGTAATAGCCCTTTGCTTTTTCTTTAATTTATCGTCGTGCCCCTTTTTATTTTTATCTCTTTTGTTCACATTGCTTTTTCTTTTTTTTTACTCATCTATTATTATTTGGTTTAATTTCATCATTGGAACATATCCACACGTTTACAAGATTCAATCGTCAGGTTCAATAATAATAATAATAATAATAATAATAATAATGATAATAGTGATGATAATAATAATAATAATGATAATAGTGATGATAATAATAATAATAAATACGTAAAAGAAAAGGAGTGGAACACAGTCAAAGGACACTACCATTCTTATCTATTATTGAAAAAAAAAGAGTTTCTCTCCTTTTCATTTGAATTACGCTTTTTTCTTAACCATACAAAGTGTCCCTTTATCTTTCTCTCATCAAGGCAAAGAATGTTACACGATGCGTCCCTATGCTGTGTTTGTTTACATACGCAGACGTGAATCAATCAAATGTAAATAAACAATCAATCAATCAGTCAATAAGAGTGGATTTTTTGTTTTTTTTTAAAGAAAAATGCCTAGACGACCATAATATCCCCAATTCATGAGAATGATAATGGGGGAAATTAAACAAACAAACAAAAAAACAAAAGGCTCATTGAAAGTATTGTCGTGTACGTATGGTAGCATTCCTAGGCGTGTGTGCATCCTTCCTCCGCCCAAAAATAAAAAACCCACGATGCAAAAAATGGCAAGAAAATAATAATAATAATATTAAGAATAATAGTCAAAATTCCTCTTTTTCTAATTCTTACTCTTAGTCTTAGTCTTAGTCTTACTTTTTACTTTTTAGTCTCTGTAATGTATTGTATCTGACCACCACCACCTCCACTCATTAAGGCGGAATAATTATTTTAGTCATTGACTGGAGTGGAGGAGGAGGGCAAGCGGGTAGTGTACAGGTTTCGAAAAAAAAAATAGGGCGAAGCTCTGGAAAATTTCACACCACAAAAATTACCGTGGTTCAGTAATAAAAAAAGAAACAAGAAATTTTTATATGACTGCAATAATAATAAAAAAAGCAAAAAAGAAAAATCTGGACTTCCTCATAGTTAAGGAAAGATAGTGCGATACTAAGAGAGATATCTTAGAGCAATGATAATTGGTTAAACAAAAAAAAGAAGATACATCCCTTACATCTTATATTGCTTTTTCCGAATCTGTCTCTTTGATAATTAAGGAGATGGTCGTGATAGTTAATGATGATGAAGAAGTTGCCATTTCTTTTCTTTGTTTATTTCACACAATTATTCACCTCGTGTGATTTCTTTCTCTCTGTCTCTCTCTCCCTCCACCCAAGCTCATCTTATCTGTTTCTTATTTTTGTTTTGGGCTTGATTAACGTTAACCTTCTTGTTCTTTTTTTTTTTTTTTATTTACTCCGTAACAAATGTAATTGTCTTTTTTTCTTTTTATACAGGGGGTGAAATAAATTGTAACCTTTACACAAAACCCAAGAATACTTGGGAAGTTTCTTTTTTTTTGTTTGGAAAAATTCTAAATTAGGTAACAATTTTGTCCAAATTGGGTAAATTTCGTCCTGCACACACTAACCAAAGTGTGGTGCCAGGGGGCGTGCCATGACTAATATACATTTTTTGCCATTGTTGTTTTCGATAAAGCAATAGGAGAAAAAAAAAAAAAAAGAAATTTTCATTTTTTTCCAGGAACTGCATGCAGGAATCTAAATTAGTAAAATGAGAACGTGAAGTAAAAAAAAAAAAAATTTTTTTCCTTTACTTGAGTATCGCCTTTAAACAATTTTCAGAAATATAAAAAGGGTTGAACATTTCCAGATTCTGAAGATTTTTGTTTTTTCATATTTCCTTTTTCTTTTCTTTTCTTCTTTTTTTATTCAAGGATAATTTTAATTATTATAGAACACTTTATTCCATATCATCAAATATTCTAACAATGCAATTCACCAAAGTTATCGCTTCATTAGCCTTAGTTGCTTCTATCAACGCTAAATTTGCCAACACCACCACCAACGGTACTGTCACCAACGGTACTTCTGCTGGTAACGCTTCTAACGGTACCACCACCACCACTGCTGGTAGCGGTGCTTCTTTGAACTCCGTCACTGGTTTGGCTGCTTTGGCCGCTGTCGGTGCTGCTTTATTATACTAGATATAATGGATATTTAATTTTTTAACTTAACTTTTATTTTCTTTAAAAAAAAAAGGATGTTTGATTTTTGAATTTTTTTTGTATTATACAGTTTAATAAAGTAATTTTAATTTTCAGTTTCAGTTTCAGTTTGATGAAAGAATAGCAAAATTAAAATAAGAGGGAAATTTTACTTTTTAAGGTCTTTTGGTTATCCAAATAGTTATATAGATTATAATTTTTTAATATTAATATTATTTTTTTTGTTCATATTTTATACACTCACATATATATTTGTATATGAATAATCCAATTATAATGTAGAATCAAATTCTTCTTTGGGGTTGAAGATATCTTGCAACTTTTTACATATCTCGTCAGCAGAATTTGGGAGATTTTTAATTGGTTCATCTCGAGGATTATTGTTAGGTGATGTGTGTTCCTGATTTACTTGTTTAATCATGGAATTGATAATCTCATGACATTTAAATTTAATCAAAGTTAATTCATTATTCTTATTAATCATCAATTCAATTAAATGATTATAATTAACTAACAATTTATAAAATTCTTGAGGATTATCAAATTCTTTAAGTGATACAGGTGGTGTACTAGATATTTTGGCCATGGAAATATTCTCAAATTCTAATAATTTAGATAACCTGTGCAACTGTTGTGTTATCATGGTTACATTTATACCATTATCATTAAGGTGAATACCTCGTCTTTGTTGTAATAATTCATCATGGTCTTCCTCCTCGGAACTATCACCTCGTTCTTCACAAGTATGAAATTTAGAATATTCCTTCAACATGCTATTTTTTCCATACCCAACCACACTCTAAAGAAAAATAATATATATATAGATATAGATAGATATTCCACTCATTTATATATATATATATATATATATATTATACTCGACTATATCAAACATAACAAAATAATAATATACACCTTAAAATACATCAGGTAATCGTTCAATAACATAAGAATGTCCACCAACACTTAAAATAGGAATACCAGGGACTTTTCTAATTCTTCTTTTTAAATCAGCATCATTAGTGGCAACAATATAACATTTATGTTGCATAACTCTATGAACCAAACAATCATCTGCATAAGTACCTTTATGACTACAACTTAATCTTTGAATTCTTGGATCTTTAGCTAATTTTAATGCTATTCTATACCTACTTCCTAATTTTTCCAATTCTGCTAATACACAATCAGTTATTATTGGAATACATTTTGCCATTAAACAATCCATTAATCCTCTAATTATATCTATTTTCTTTTGAATTGAAAAATTTATAAAATTCGTATCAATTAATACTTGATATGGTGGTTTAATAGCTTCATTATATTTAAAAAATAATGCTGATGATACTTGTGGTACTGATCTTGCTAATTCTGGATCATCTTTATTATTTGAGTTCTTGTTGTTGTTGGAGGATGAGGATGAGGATGTTTGTAGACGTTGATCTTTTTTAGTATTGATTACACGTTTGACAGCAGCAAACTTTCTTGTTTTCTTTGCTTTACCCATGATGTATATATATTTCCTTTGGTTGTAAGATAATGAAGATGGTGATGATAATTATTATTATTGTTGTTGTAGTAGAAAGGAAGAAAAAAGCGATGAGTTACTTCTCAGTTAACAAAAAAAAAAGAAAATTTAGAAAAAATTTAGGTTGCCATTTTTTTTTTCTTTCTTCTAGTATGTGTTGCGAACTTTGCCAATTTAGAACAAAACTGGGCTGTCTGGGAATTACAAGTGTAAAGAAACAATAAATGATAAATGTATTAAACTAAGAAATATACAATTTTAATAACTAACTATTCATAAGAGGAGGTGGAGGACAAGGAGAAGGAGAAGGAGAAGGAGAACTATTCCTCATGTTTTGTTGGGTTTGGTATAAATCAATTGGTAGTCAAATGTACTCTTGTCAACTTCTCTACGTTTCCAACTTAATATTCGTTTATCAGCAAAATCAATTTCAAATATTCTCAACTTACGAACATAATTGTTATCTAATCTAGTGATTCCCGAATCACCAGTGATACTATTATAACATAACCATATTGAATTATCTTTCAGTTCACTTATTAAACATGCATCATTTTCATGTTCATGACCAACCCCTATCACATTATATCCACAATTTATTATATCATCATGGAATTTAACATTTGTCTTATCATCCAATCTATGCTTCTCATTATATGAACCAATAATCTTGAATTTACCCTTTGGTCTAAATTGTGGAATTGGATAATGGAAAAACAACAACTTGTAATCGTTGCTCATTTCTTTGTTGATACGATACAAGAAATTAATCTGAGAATCATCCAACAAATGACCTTCGGAATCCAACACAGTAATACTGGCCGATTGTTTGTCATTCTTGATTTGGAAATTATAATTAGTAACACCATGTAAACTATTATCTTGAGGTAAGGTATTTAAACAATTTGGTAAAGTAGACAAGAATGAAATCACGGAAAGTTTAGTTTCAGTATCTTGAATTTCATCCCCAAATGTATAAATAAAATTGATATTATTTGCCAAAATTGGTTGTAAAGATTTCAATAGTATTGATTTAAAATCGATTGATCTATGAATATCAATCAAATCCCCAGTAATAACTATCAAATCTGGTTTCTCTCGATTGATTGAATCCTCAATGAATTTCAAAGTTTTCAAATCAGAAGTACATTTTTCATCATCAACATTATCTTTATCTTTATCAGCAATGACAGTTTCACATCTTCCTAAATCTTGACCAAAATGTAAATCAGATAATTGCATCACTTTATAACGAGGATTAGAGGTATCAATCAATTGTGAATTCTTGACATTATTCAAATATTTACTAGTTTCCTGCAATTTTGCTTGTTGTTCCAAACTCATCATATTCATCGATAATATAGTATGAATGGTGTCTTTATTGGATAAATGCAAAGTGCTATGATATGGTCGGGAATCTATTAAATCATTATTTCCAAACAACACGTCAATAGATCGTAGTATAGGTAAATCACTGGCAATTGGTTGCTGGGTATTGGAGATGACAATTTTTTTATATAAAGTCAATTGATTATCGATTTTGATTTCTTCATAACTATCATCCACTTTAGTGGTTGAAATGTCAGTGATGATTTTAGTTGCTTCATCTAATGATTGATATCTAACAATCAAATAATAATCATTTTTAATTTTGGAATTATGATAATAATTCAAGTTTGGAAACAATTGAATGTAACTCTTTGGGATGTTACATTTACGATATAAATTACATTTTAACACACTGAAATCAGTAATGACACGAATGGATTTGGGATTCGACGCGATGAATTTGTTATTTTGTAATTGTTGAGTTTGAAATAATGATAAATCGGGAGATATTGGATCATTTGGTGTTAAAAGTTGAAACAATACCGTCATGGTAATGCAACTAATTATAAAGACGATTAGTTTGGTGTAATGTTTATTGATCATCTTTAAGTTATTAAGAATTGAGATACCTGATCCATTCAGTTTATTATTCATGATCTCTTGGATGGGGAGGGGACACGGCAAGGACTATAGAATGATGGTTCTTTGGGTGTGGTTTGGGAAGACCTTTGGAGTCCTGTGTATAATACTGTTTCTAATGCAAAACAATCTTTCTTTTTTTTTTTCCTTCTTTGTTCCTTATATATATTTATCTCTCTCTCTGTGTATATCCAATATCACGAGATTTATCTATCAATATGATATATTAAAGTAGATGAAGATAGATGAAAATAAAGGAAAACACACACACACACACACACTTTCCTTAGTTATCTTTTCTAAATCAAAGGATTGAGAAATCAAAATAATGAAGATGGAAAGACAATAATAAAAAAAAAAAGATTCGTTAATAGAAAAGAATTAAACAATTTTTCTTTTTTAAACTATTTAACGTGAGTGTGTTGATTAAGGCGGGATTATTGGTGTTTTTTATAAAATTTATATATTGGGATCAAAAATGACAAAAATGACAAAAAAAAAAAAAAAGAAAAAGCCTACATGGAAGAAATGTTTCAATGTATATTTTTTTTAAAGAAAAAAAATTTGCTTATTATTATTATGATTACTATTATTATTATTATAAGAATGGGTGTGTAGTAGCAATAGTTTGTAGTAATTGTTGTTGTAGTATTAGTAGTAATTAATCGTTGTATTAGATTAAGTAGTATTAATACGTTATACAGAAAATTTTAGCCCCAAAATAAAAAAAAATAGAATTTTTTTGTGTGCATGTTTTTTTTTTTTTTTGTTTTGGTTTATTAAGAAAAAAAAAAAAAATGTTTGTCAAAGTACACGACCATATTTTGTCAATTCTTGTTTAATTTTTTTTTTTTTTGGTTGATTATTTCCTCTTTGGTTTTCTCTATCATTCCCTTTCGGTTGATGGAATTGCTTTTTTTGCATTTTGCATTTTGCATTTTGCATTCTGCATTTTTTTTTCTTTCTTAAATACACGTCTTGTCATCATCGTCTAGTTAAAGCTTTGGTCTAGACCTGGTGTTGAAGACTACTAGCATTATACAATACCTTGGTATTTGTTCTTTTTAATTTAGGGTTTACAATTTTATGGATTGTTTAATTTAGTTATTATTTTTTTTATTTTGGGGAGGGCAGCCACGATCTATAAATGGAATTCTATTAATAGCTATGTGGAGGTAAAAAGCCCCCGATAAGAACAATAGAAATGGATATACAAAAAGAACGAATAATTTTAATTGTTTTTGATTTTTCAATAACGAACCACGCCCTGATATTTGATATATTTTATCACACAAGAATACATAAACGAAGAAAACCTTCCCTTGATCAACTGCTTTCTATTTGTTACATTTAAAGATGAGGGACAAAGTAAATGACTTTATGGTGTGTATATTCAATTAAAGATCAACGGTTCTTGTTAAATTGTATTCCACTATCATGCTTTACATTGCCTGCCCCGCCTGGTTCGCTGTAAAGTACATTCAAAGTTTTAAGGCTTCTTACTTTTTCATAGCAGGGTGTTGTTGTTGATGATGCATCTTCGCCTAGATCTCTAATTTTTTTAACATTGCCGTGGTATTTTACTGCTGTCGCTCTTAGCTCTCTTCTCTTCTCTTCTCTTCTCCTTCTGAAACGGGAATGTAAGATGCAAAATAGTGAACGGTTTTAGTTAAGTAATGGTTCACCCAAATTCAGTAATCATGTTGAGATACAATCAAACAATGCTTTTCTCTTTATTGTTTCTTTTTTTACTCCTTTTTGCAATCCACCATTAACGCAAAATAGAAGGACTTTTTGCTCTGAATTACTTACGTGAATGTCACAAAATTACTTTTAAAAGTTTTTCATTCTCCTCTCTCTCTATCTATCTAAAGTTTGGTTTCGCTTGTTTTGCCGTACAACGTATTTACGGGTATTTCTATAGTTGATGCTGTGATTTATTAGTAAATTTAGATGTTGATAAACACGATAATAAAGAACCTGATTGTTGCTCTTATTGCTATAGAGTCAGTTCTAAACATCCAATGAACTGTTCGTAAATTGAATTCAGGGCTAATAACAAATATCAATGAAGTTACGAATGTAACTGTTCTACAAGATCAAATAGGTGGTTATCAACTGGAGGCGCAGTTAATTCTCACAATTTATCCGGAACATCTTTGTGGATTTGTTCAATTAGTAGATTTTTGGAATATTGTATTAATTTTACTTTGAAAAATTTACCAATTTGGAATGAATTCAACAATGAAAATACACCCCAGTGGTAAAGTATCTCCTTGAAAATACTACATCATTTAATTGAATTTCCGAATTATATATCTAAAACTATACTTACAATGGAACATCATTTAAACTCCAAAACTAATGACGTTGACAATCTTGAAAATTATCTAGTCCATCACATCATGTAAATCCCAATAACAAAGTGCAACATATCCATTTAAAAATAATATCATCTAAATAAATAAGAAAATATATCTAGTTAGATAGATAGAAAATAAAAGAAAAGAGACACATTCAAACCCGTTCTCAAGTGATCCCGGATTTAAAATCTAATACACTCAATGATCAATTATAAACAAATCAAATCCTGTCGTTATATGCATCAACTATTTTTATGAATTAATCAGATGTTTTTTTTTTCTTGCTTCTTCTACTACTATTTGGTGCTGCATTAATTGATACGACGAGGGTGTCCCGGATTTTAAATCTTTTCTAGCGAAAACATGGGGGGGGGGGGGAGAGAGAACTTTGCACTGATTTGACTGATTTAGTCGAACTAGATTGTAATATAGACAACACTTGATTAATTGGCCCCACTTGACTCAGACCCACCTTGCATAAGACTAGAAATTTATACTACATTTGAGAATAAGAAAAACCATGTGCATTATGGACTAAATTATTGGAGTAAAAATCCCCCCAAAGTTTGAAAAAATCTCAATAGATATTTTTCTCCACAGTCTCGGTACGAAATGTGTGTGGGAGAGTTTTATTTGAAAATATAATCACAAACTATCATATATTGTAATTTTTCCTAAAGTTGCTTTTGATTGTTTCTATTATTATTGTAAGTTAGTTAATTGTATCATCCCCGCCAATTACATGAATGCGAATATGTAGCATTTTAATTTTCCCACAACGAACAATAAGAGGTACTAGGATCAATCAATAATAATTGAAAATTAAAAATAATTTGCCAAATAAAAAAAAAAAAATGATCAATTCCAATCACTCGGCGCTTAGCATAAAAACATGAGCAGAAAGACAGCTACATCTATCATAATAGTACAAGAAATTTTACAAACAGGCACACAAACAAACATTTACTCGTGATTGATTGGTTGTAATTCAATTTCTAATCAGTCATCTATTCAAGACTCTGGTAGATATCGCTCTTTTTAGCGCGAGTGAGTGAGCGTGGGAGTGTCATTAATGTTCTCTCTTCCTCTCTCACACACTTGCATGCCTTTAATATTTTTCTCGTCTTATATAATTATTGTGATTCGTTTGTTTGTTTGCTTTTTCTCTCTCTCCTTATTCTGTCCCAAATTAACAAAAAAAAGAACAATAATACAAAACGAAAATCAGAGAGTTTCATTACAACGACGACCAGAGAGAAAATCCAAGGCAAACAGAAAAATCCAAACCAAACAAAAAAAAAAAAAAATCGACCAACCAGACAACAGTTTTAAATAATCTATTAAAGCATTACTTATTTCAATTAGTATTATGGTTAACCCACCTCAACCGAGACAAATGCCTAAATCACCACGTATTACATCGTCGTCAGGCCCAACCCCAGTTCCATTGGGTTCTCCGCGCAGTTCACATCCACAATTGCATCATCAATCTTCAACCGCATCCAATATTTCAACCACTTCAACTACATCGACGAGTTCAACTATAGGAGGTGGAGCAGGTGGCAGTGTTAGTAGTGGCACTGGAGGTCCTACTTCATCTCCACCAGCAACCTATCTCCATCATCATCCTTCTCGTAAACCATCAATTGTTGAAATGTTGAGTTCTCCACCACCTTTGCCAACAGATCCTTTGGACTCAATCCATAATTTCAGTTTATCAAGACACGCTTCTACCAGTTCAAACAAATCATTTACTCAATCAGGATCAAATGTTATAGCGCCACCTCAACTCAGTGGTGCAGCAAATGTCGGTTTAGATTGGAGTGAAATTCCATTGACTGAATTGACCGAATCCAATAAATTGATTAGCATCCATAGCTCTCTTTCTGTACAAGCTGCTTTTGAAACGTTACTTGACAACAACTTAACTAGTGTTCCTGTATCTATTTCCAAGAATGATCCGACTGATTTAACCAATTGTTTGACATTTGATTATAGTGATTTAAACACTTATCTTTTGTTAATCATGAATAAAGTGAATTATGCCGATTTGAATGTTGAAGAGATCGGAGATGCCAAATCGAGTGCCCAAGAAAAACACGATGTTGTTATCCAAAACATTAATAAGGCGAAAAGAGGTGAAGAAGTTCCTGTTGAGTTTATCATCAAGTTGCATCCAAAGAATCCATTCATCAAGTTTAATGAAACCGACACTTTGTTTTCTGTGATGGAAACTTTAGGAAATGGAGTTCATAGAATTGCTATTGCTAATGAAGAAGGAAACAAGATCACCGGTATCTTATCTCAAAGAAGATTGATTAGATACATGTGGGAAAATGCCAGAAGATTCCCTTCATTGGACTTTTATTTGACATCTACTTTACAGGACTTGAAGATTGGATCTACAAATCCAATCACCATTTATGAAGATCAATTGTTGATTGATGCATTGCACAAGATGTTTACCGAAAGAGTTTCCTCATTGGCTGTGATTGATAGATCAAGAACATTGATTGGAAATATTTCCATTGTTGATGTCAAGAATGTCACCAGCTCCAAAAATTCACATTTATTGTTCAAATCAGTATTGAATTTCATTAGTTACAACTTATCACAAAAGGGAATTGAAGAAGGACAAGATCAATTCCCAATTTTCCATGTTAATTACCAAACTTCTTTGGGTAGAGTAATTGCCAAGTTGGTCGCTACCAAATCACATAGATTATGGATAGTTGATTCATCTCGTCAACCAAGTTCAGTTAGTAGTGCTAGTGGTCCTACAAATGGAGTAAATGTGGGTTATGGTAACCCTGCTGATGCTAATGTGACAGACAAGGCTGAAATTGCCGATAGAAACATTGATGTTGCACAACAACTGCCTGTTACTCCAACTCCTTCTACCATTGCCGCTGCCGCTGCCGCAGCAGCTTCTGCTACTGCCCCAACACAACCAGAGCCAACCTATCAAACAGGTACTGGTAAATTAGTTGGAGTTGTTACATTAACTGATATCTTGGGGTTATTTGCTACTTCTAAAGGAAGAAAAACTGATCCACTTGCAGCCAGAAATCAGAGAAGAAGAAGTTCCACCTCCACAACCAGATCATCGATTGAAAGTGCATTGAGTGCTGAAGGTATCATTCCTGGTGGATCCAATAATGGACGTCGTGGAAGTGTTGATGCTTCGAGCGATGTTTTTAGAAAATCAGTTAGTAAATCATAATAGGAAGAGTCCATTGAATCATTATAGGAATAGTATATTATACTTTTTTTTTTCTTTTTCTTTTTCTTTTTTATTTTGTTCATATTATTTATCAGCTTCTTTATTATTATCATTATTACTAGTACATACATACATGTAATTTACCGATTTACTTTCGGATACTTTGTAAGATTTTGATTTTTTTCGGGTTTTTGCTACCGCATAAACTATAGGACAAAACGTGTACGTATTTCCAGCATACAATTTAAATTTTTGTATCGTGGGCAATGTACACGACGTTAACTTTTGCGATGGATCAATGTTATGTAATCAGACAAAAAAAAAAAATTAAGGGGAGACTGAAAAATAAAATAAGAAAGATAAGGAGATGAATGGGGGAGGAAGGAGGGAGGGGGGTAGAATAAGAGAGACTTACTAGGGATATATCTATCAACTTCTCTTTGATTTATTCAATGATGTTGGACCAATGAGTCCCCAACACCGTGTTTGTTTCATCAATTGGTGTTTTTGTGAATATGTAAATGCTTCAATTAATTATTTGCTGGATGAATTGAATTTGTGATGAGGACAAACCAAAAAAAAGAGAGAGCAGAGAAGAGAAGAGAAGAGAAGAGGAGTGGCAACAAAAAAAAAAAAAAAAAAAAAAAGAATTGCCCATGCAAGATGGCAATGAAATTGGTCAATTACAGGGGGGAGGAAGAGGAAGAGGAAGACAACCAAAAGAAAGATCAAATTGACTAAATGTTGAACAGACCAAAAAAAAAGAACAACAAATAGATAAATTACAACATATTAATCTTTTGATATGTTGTTGAATATTCTAGTAAATCTAATGATCTCAATAGTGGTTATCATTCACTCTCTTCGTCCTCCTCTCTCCCCTCCTCCTCTTGCAGTATATTAAAAGCAATAAAAAAAAAAAAAAAAAGAAAATCTGCCAACACACACAAAAAAAACTTACATAGTCGTGTACCAGTGTCAATATTTCACCAGCGCAGAGAAAAGAAGATGAACAGAAAAATTTTCTCTTTGGTTTTGTCTTTGGTTTTGTATTAATCTCATTGAAAAATTTTTTCTCTCTCTCTCTCTCTCTCTCTCACTCACACACTCACTCGCATTTCGTTTGGGTTACAGCAGAAGTCAGACAGAAAAAAAAAATCGTATATAACTCTCATCAAATGCCCTAGAGAAAAATTTTTCTTCTATCCTTTTTTTTTTCTTCTTCTTCTTCTTTTCCTTTTTTCTTTTAGAAGATCTTTTTGAATTCATCAAAGATATATATTTAATCAATCATGGGTAAAGAAAAAACTCACGTTAACGTCGTTGTTATTGGTCACGTCGATTCTGGTAAATCTACTACCACCGGTCACTTGATTTACAAGTGTGGTGGTATTGACAAGAGAACCATTGAAAAATTCGAAAAAGAAGCCGCTGAATTGGGTAAAGGTTCTTTCAAATACGCTTGGGTCTTGGATAAATTGAAGGCTGAAAGAGAAAGAGGTATCACCATTGATATCGCTTTGTGGAAATTCGAAACTCCAAAATACCACGTTACCGTTATTGATGCTCCAGGTCACAGAGATTTCATCAAGAACATGATTACTGGTACTTCCCAAGCTGATTGTGCTATTTTGATTATTGCTGGTGGTACTGGTGAATTCGAAGCTGGTATTTCTAAAGATGGTCAAACCAGAGAACACGCTTTGTTGGCTTACACCTTGGGTGTCAAACAATTGATTGTTGCTGTCAACAAGATGGACTCTGTTAAATGGGACAAGAACAGATTTGAAGAAATCATCAAGGAAACCTCTAACTTCGTCAAGAAGGTTGGTTACAACCCTAAGGCTGTTCCATTCGTTCCAATCTCTGGTTGGAATGGTGACAACATGATTGAAGCTTCTACCAACTGTCCATGGTACAAGGGTTGGGAAAAAGAAACCAAGGCTGGTAAGGTTACCGGTAAGACTTTGTTGGAAGCCATTGATGCTATTGAACCACCTTCAAGACCAACTGACAAGCCATTGAGATTGCCATTGCAAGATGTTTACAAGATTGGTGGTATTGGTACTGTGCCAGTCGGTAGAGTTGAAACTGGTGTCATCAAAGCCGGTATGGTTGTTACTTTTGCCCCAGCTGGTGTTACCACTGAAGTCAAATCCGTCGAAATGCACCACGAACAATTGGCTGAAGGTGTCCCAGGTGACAATGTTGGTTTCAACGTTAAGAACGTTTCTGTTAAAGAAATTAGAAGAGGTAACGTTTGTGGTGACTCCAAGAACGATCCACCAAAGGGTTGTGACTCTTTCAACGCTCAAGTTATTGTCTTGAACCACCCAGGTCAAATCTCTGCTGGTTACTCTCCAGTCTTGGATTGTCACACTGCTCATATTGCTTGTAAATTCGACACCTTGGTTGAAAAGATTGACAGAAGAACTGGTAAGAAATTGGAAGAAAATCCAAAATTCGTCAAATCCGGTGATGCTGCTATTGTCAAGATGGTTCCAACCAAACCAATGTGTGTTGAAGCTTTCACTGACTACCCACCATTAGGTAGATTCGCTGTCAGAGATATGAGACAAACCGTTGCTGTTGGTGTCATCAAATCTGTTGAAAAATCCGACAAAGCTGGTAAAGTTACCAAAGCTGCCCAAAAAGCTGCTAAAAAATAAGCTGATTAATGAATAATTAATAAGTATTGTTTTTTTTGTTTTTAATATATATATATCTTGAAATTAGTATAAAAAAAATCTTTTTTTTTTCTTTTTTATTTATTTTATCAATAGTTTATATATATATATATATAAACTTGTAAGAGATTAGGTATATCTAACAGTGATACTACTAATAGTGCTTAATATCTTTGTTAAACAAGAAAATAAAATAAACTTATATCAGTACAGCTTGAAATCCTTTACCACTAACTACACCCATCCAATCACCTTGATTTTGTCTCCAACAAACATTATTAATTTCTAAATCTTCCGTATAAGCCAAAACAGGAGTATCAATAATCATGCCTGAATGACCATTATTACTACCATTCGTATTACCATTACTAGTTGTAGTTCCACCACCTGAGCCAGTAGTAGTAGTAGTAGTAGTAGTAGTAGTAGTATCAGTGGTATTGACAACACTATTACTATTTGGTAAATTATTAATATCCCATACTAAAGCTTGACAATCATCACCACCAGTTAATAAATAATTCGAAGTAGGATGCCATTTAATCAGATTAATCAGAGAATGATTTATACCACCTAATGAACCATCAATTGTTACTACTGGTAAACCAGGCATTCTCATATCAATAATTATAACTTGATTTGAATTAATACCAACAGTAGCTAAATGATGTTGATCAATATTTGAAGTAGATAATGTTAATAAAGCTTTTGAATTAAATGTAGAAGAATTTGGATTTCCAAGAGTTGATGAATTTGAAGAAGAAATTGGAATTGGAGGTGGTTCATAAATAATTGTTGAATGTTCTAATGATCTTAAATCAAATACTCTCATTGATCCATCATTACCAACGGATGCAAATACATTAGTTGATTTATGCATGAATTTAACATCAAAAACTTCAGAATCATGTGCAATTAATTGAGTCTTGACAGTTGCAGTATCTGTCATATCATCATTAGAACCACCATTATTAGTACCACCACTAGAAGTGGCAGTGATAGTATTTCCAGTTGTTCTTGGATGAGAACGATGTAAATCCCAAACAGTACATGTGGTATCAACACTTGAAGTGATCAAAATATTTGGATCAGTTTTATTCCAATCAAATGATGTAACTGGTGGATAAGTATTGATATCATCAACATTTTTGCTATTACCTGAACTGGAAGAGGTGGTACTATTTGATGAAGTTGTTGATGCAGCAGTATTATTAGCTAAAGTATGAGTTTGTTGTAGAGTGAATGAATCACCTCCATTATCAACAACTTTATATAATCTTAATACTTCACTTGAAGCTGCTAGTCTTTCACTTGTTGATGATCCATATTGTAACATCAGAGGATCCCATTGTAAATGAGTAACTGGATAGTCTAGATTAACATCACAAACTTTTTGAAAATAATAACCTTCACCAGAACTTAAATCATCATCTTCATAATATCCACCAGCATTATTATTATTATTATTATTATTATTATTATTACTATTACTGTTGTTATTATACATTAAAGTGGTACTACCTCCAGGACTGGCAAGATTATCAATATTATATTCATTTTCAAATTTATTCCCGTGAACAATTTCCAATTTATTCGTAAACCCTTCTTTATAAGAACCCAAAGCAATACAATCCAACTGACTATTATTCAAATAAACCCAATCACTAGCATAAAGAGGGAACTGACTAAAATAATATGAATTACGTTCCAATGGAGTTGTTGGTACAGAAACTACAGGGGAAGCAGAATGAGATATAGGACTTAAATTTCTACCAGGAATTGTTGATTGTCCAGATAATCCAAGGGAAGGAGTTTGTTGATTAACAAGCAGTTGCTGTTGTTGTATATGTTGTTGATGAGGTTGTTGTTGAGCCAGTTGTTGATAAATATTAACTTTTTGTGATCCATATAATGAAGATTGATATGTATTTGTATTAGGATTATTTGATAATGAAGCAGAAGCACTGAGGTTATTATTGGTCATGATTGTTCCATGAAATGCGGGTGATGGGTAAGTTGGTTGACCAGTTGTTATTGAACTTCTTTTAGAACTGTTATTATACCAATCCATGAAAGTATTTAATTCCAAATGAAACAAACAAAAAACAAAAATACAGAGATTCTTTTTTTTTAAAAAAAAGTAGAACAATAAAGATTTGAAATTGTAAAACTAGTTTCCTATTGGGATTTATGTTTTCAAGTTTTTTTTTTTTCTTCTCCTTCTATCGACTTTTATTTTTCAACAAAAAAAAAAAAAAAATTATGAGTATTATTTAATGAAGGATTAAAATTGAGGTACAATGCAAAGCAATGATTAATTATACAAGAAATAACAATTCTACAACTGGTATTAGTATATACCACATGACTATGATTTGATTTGATCTCTACTATACTGTGTACCAACATGCATTTTCATATTGAAACCAATTGGTTAGAATCATTGAAAAAATTATTGAATGAGGGGAGGGGGGAAATTACAGTAATCAAAATAGATATCCCAAATATGCAGGAAATTCTGATTATAGATGTTGTGAATCAAATACCAATATGATTCATCCAGATGATACTTATTATAAGGTAGTAGTCTATATCCTACAGTATATATAGACAGAGATCACAATTAACTTAATAAGATGATTGAATTCCAAGTAGAATAGTATTTATATGATTCTATTGTATACACTTGGTGATAAGGGGTCTGACTTCTTTCTTGGTAGAGTGATTACTCCTCCAAAGAAGTGAAGAATCATCTGACCTATAAGAAAAAAAAACATTATTGGCGAGTTATCTTCCTCTCTCACTACTCAATGATGAGTTCCCCGTTTCGTGTAAATCAACAAACGCTAATAAATGAACTTATTTACTGAAGTGGTGCATAGTAAATACAACTTAAATGAGACGAGAGCAACACCCCATCAATTTTAACTGACCTATACTACCAGTATATGAAATAGAATAAAACAAGATCTTGAATAATTATAAATCAGAATTGGTTATTTATTATTCTCAATATATATCAGGATAAAATAGGCTATATTTAGGTTGAAAAACATTTGTATTTTGGTTAATGGCACGTACTGAAAATTTAGAACTAGAATTATAATAAATTGTCTCCTATTGAATTGCTATAACTATCAGCACTTTTAAAATACCTTATAATAAATTATACTTCTACAATATCCTTATATTAAATCTACTATAGATTATATTCCTTATTAAAATATCTGAAATAATTACAAATTTCGTCTTTTGTATGCGGAAAAGAGATTCAAGTCATTTTTGAGGGATTTTTCGTGCGTGAACCAATTTAAAAATCACGGGAATAATGCAATCGAGTTCCTGATGAACCCCTTTGGAAACACTATATGGTTTAAAAACTGGAAATTGAATATAATAATGGTATGAAAGAAATACCAACAATATGAATATTTTAATTAATGTAGTTTCACCTAGGTCAGACACATATTTATTGAGTTATTTAAAGAAGTTGTAATTCCCGATAAAAAAAAGATACTTTGATTTTTGAAGAGTAAGGTTTGATAGATAACTCCACCAGTTTTCATTGTAGTGGCTCAAAAGTTAGTGTGACAGTATTAAACAGCGATTAAAATAATGTACTGTTGTTCAAACGACGAGAATCGAGCTAGAATCAATAGATCTAGCAAAACATGGACAACTTCATGAAATTACTTTTGTTTTAAATATAAGCAAATTAATCTTTTGTCGTCGCATTTTTGGAAATTCTCTAAAAATTACTGAGGTTTCTAATTTTCCACCTTTTGGCAACTTTTGGGCAACCTTATAATGTTGCCACTTTTTAGCAACTTAATAAGGTTTTCAGCAATCTAAAAAGAATGCTACGATTTCTCACTTTTGGTTATTTCAAAAAGACTCCCTCAACTTTATTAATTCACCTTTTTTTCCAAAATTTCGCAACAACATCAATTGACTGCTACTAGCTTTGATATTATTTTTGTTATTTGAAAGCACTAGAAAAGTAGCAAAAACAACAATATCGACAAATAATATATTGGAATAATATGAATACTTGGATAGGCTATCATTATATATGAAATAGGGACAAATATACATCAGCGGCAATTAATGAAACTATACTGTATCGGTATAAAAATCCAGTCTATACTTCATTTTCCAAAGGAGGTGAACTTGAATTAGATTTGAGCGAAAAAAATTTATCATTTAAATAAACTATCAGTAGTCGATGGCTTGAAATGAATCAGCATTACAAATACTTACCAATTGAGATCGGTTATTAGTTATGCTCAACCTATTCTCGAAGTGCAAGTGGTGCGAATTTGTAAATTTAGGTCCTTGGTTCATACCGAAAAATCTGAAAAAGAAAAAAAATTCAAATATCAAATGAAATGAAACATATAATGTAAAAATCAGTTTGTAATCCATCATTGCCACTATTAATACTTACCAGAGACATACATTATGTTATTCTTCTATTATATCATCGAATTAAATGCATAGAACCCATAATGGATCATGTTTCCTACAAATTTAACTAAAAACGTGCTATTGGTCACTTTTTGTATGGGGAAAAGAGATTCACGTCAAATTTTGAATTTTTTCGTGCGAGAACCATTTTGAAAATTACGGAAATAAACAACTTGGGTTCCTGATCAACACCTTTGGAAACACCAGATAACCTAAAAATAAGAAATAGAATATAATAATGGTATAGACATGATGCTATTCACATTATTATTCAAATGAATACAATTTGAGATGTATTAATACAGTGATTGCTGACTTATTCAACAAAATGATAATTCCCGATAAAAAAAAAGATACTTTCAAATTCCAAGAGTAAGATTGATACATAACTCCTCCAATATTTATTCAATTGATTCAGAATTAATTGAGATAGCATAATTTATCACTGCAAATTATATGCAGTTTTCAAAATTGCAAAAATCCGGCTAGAAGAGATAAATGTTACAAATCGTGGAACATTTGCATGTCGCACTGTGACGACCATAGAAAACAGAGGTCAAAATGCTACTTTTGTCTGAAGCATCCAAATATTCCTCAAATTTGGAACATTGAAATCTATGCTGCATTGGATGGAACATTTGGACATTATAATACAGAGAACAACCATTGGGATATAGAAATACGCACTACTTAGGACATTAAAAATCCGTGAATTAATGAACGGAAAATTTGAATACACAGATATATATGGCTCAACCATTGGAATATGCCAATATTCACCAAATCAGAAACATAAAATCTATGATTTAATTGATGGAATATTTGAATATATGAGTTAACGCCATCAAATACATGAATATAATCATCTATCATCTGTCTCTTTTTACTCATCATTGTGTCAAATAGGCTAATTTGATTGATTTTTATTACATTAAAATAGATGATTTTGATTGATTTCTATTAAATTCAGATGAATTAGAAGATATATATTTGAAAAAGGAACTATTCAAGAGTGTCTAAAATACTTCTAATTTTTTCTGTATATCATATTAAGGAAAAAAGATCTATTCTCGCTACATAACACTCACTACATTTTGTATGGGGAAAAGAGATTCACATCAATTTTAACAACTTTTTCGTGTCTGAACCAAAATTAAAACTACGGGAATAAATCAATCGAGTTGCTGATGCACCCCTTAGGAAACACCAGATACCCTAAAAATTAGAAATATAAAATAAGAATAGGATGAAAAGATTACTATTTATATTAGTATTCTAATGAATTTAATTTCAGCTAGGTCAGACACATATTTACTGAGTTATTTTGGGAAATCATAATACCCGATAAAAAAAGATACTTTGATTTTTGAAGAGTAAGGTTTACATCTAACTCCACCAATTGTTAGTCAATTTACCCAGGAGTGCGTGTGGTATTAATAAATAGTGATACAAATAATATGATATTGCCAAAATGACGAGAATCGAGCTAGAATTGATAGATCTAGAGAAACATGTGCAACTTTATGAAATATCTTTAGTCTGCAAAATAAGAAAATTAATTTCCTGTCGTCGCATTTTTGGAAATTTCCATAAAATTAATGAAGTTTCTTATTTTCCACGTTTTGGCAACCTTTGGGCAACCTTATGACGTTGCCACCTTTCAGCAACATAATGAGGTTTTCAACAAACTAAAAGGAACATTGCGGTTTCTCACTTTAGGTTATTTTTCAAAGTCTTCCGCAACTTTATAAATACACCTATTTTTCCAAAATCTTGCAACAACATCAATTGACTGGTAACAGCTTTCATCATATTTTTGTTAGACAATAATATTGATAAGCAATATAGTGGATTACTATGAATGCTCTTATAGACTATCTTTATTTATAAAATAGTAACAAATATACATCAGCGGCAATTAATGAAACTATACTGTATGGTAATAAAAATCCAGTATGTACTTCATTCTCCAAAGGGGTGGACTGTAGGTAGATTTGGAAGAAAAAATTTACCTTTTGAATAAAGTATTAGTAGTAGATGGTTTGAAATGAATCAGCATTACAAATATTTGCATATTTAAATTGGCTATTAGTTATGTTCAGCCTATTCTCGACATGCAAGTGGGGAAACTTCTTGAATTTAGGTCCATGGTTTGTACGAAAGAATCTGAAGAAAAAAAAAGAATTCAAATATCAGAAAGAATGAAATATATAATCTATAATTTGGCTTCTGTTCCATTTCTACCACTTTTAATACTTACCAGGACAATCTATTATGTAATTCTTTTTATTATATAAACGTGTTGAACGCATAATACCTAAAATGAAACATGTTTCCTTCAAATACAACTGAAAACATTCGATTTATTACATTTTGTATGGGAAATAAAGATTCAAGTCATTTTTGGTATTTTTTCGTGTGTGAACCGATTTAAATATCACGGGAATAAGTCAATCGAATCCCTGATCAACCCCTTTGGGAATACTATATGGTCTAAAACCTGGAAATTGAATATAAAGATAGTATATTAGTGATAATATTTATATGAATATTTCAATGAATACAATTTGAACTGTATTAATACAGTGATTGTTGACTTAATTAGAAAAATTATAATTCCCGATAAAAAAAAGATTGTTTGATTTTTGAAGAGTAAGATTTACGTCTAACTACACCAATATTTATCCAATTGATCCAGAATGAACTTATATAGCATAGTTTATCACAGCAAATCATATGCCGTTTTCAGAGTTGCTAAAATCCCACTTGAAGAGACAAATGTTGCAAATCGTGGAACATTTGGATGGCGCACTGTAATGACCATAGAAAACAGAAATATAAATGCCACTTTTTTCTAGAACATTCAAATATTCCTCAAATTTGGAACATACAAATCTATGCATCTATGGAACGAACATTTACATCAATGGATATATGGACGGAACATTTCTATATACGGATATATGGAGGGAAAATTTCTACATATAGATGCGCACCAAATCAGGAACATACAAATCAATGGTTTAATGTATGGAAAATTGTGACACACAGATATAGGGCGCAATCACTGGAACATATGCATGTATAACAAAAAGTGACATTCAAAAATATGGTTTCAAGGATGGATTATTTGAATATACATATGGTTTCACTTTTGGAATATAGATTTATAAGTTACCGCCATCAAATTGATGAATATAATCCACTGTTCTGTGTCTTTCCTTATTCAGAATCTTGTCAAATTGATTATCTTGATTGATTCCCGTTATATTCAAATAGATTAGAAGATATATGTCAAAATGAAATTGTTCAAGAGTGTCTAAAGTGATTCATTTTTTCTGTATCATTACAAGAATATGAACTATGCTTTCAGCATACCAAATCTACTAACCAGATTCACTCAATAGAAGAGTTTAATCTGATCATAATTTTAAAAAGATAATCTTCATTTGATTAATTACTTTAGAAGATTCATATTCATAGTGGATATCATCATTATTCACTTCTATTTAATCTAACTTATCAAAACTATAACAGTTATTACTTTTTGTATGGTGAAATAAGATTCAAAGCAATTTTCGTGTCTGAATCAAAATCAAAATTACGGAAATAATCCACTTGAGATCATAGTGAATTCATTTGGAAACACTATATACACCAATATTGGGACTTATCATTATGTAAGTATCTCAATGTGATGTTAGACATATGATTATTATAATAATACAATTTTCAGCTATATCAATAGCACAATTATTGATAAATTTATACAAATCATAATTCACGATAAAAAGAGGTGTTCTGATTTCGCCAAAGCAAATTTCGGGTATAATTGGTGCTATATCATTAGGAGAGGCATTTCAATGAATTTATACTGACATTAATTTACCATATTTTTCAAACGATTGTAGTTTCAGGGATCGTTTCCCTCAACAACACGTTGAAACTACAATAAGACCCGAATTTGACCAAATCATCGTATTTGACCAAAACTAGAATTTATAATTCAGTAATGTACAGTACAAGTTGAACAATGAAATAAATCATACTCCATCTGTTGTACTTCACTTAAGTGGAATTTTCTAGAATGTAAGCAGTAAATATAGACACAAATTTCATCCTCCATTACATGCTTCAAGTTTTCTACTTTTCATAGTTTGAAACAAACATGGAAAGGAATTATCTACTATTTTCAAAAGTTTCTGTTACTTCATTCAATTTCTAAACTTTAATCGTTGTCACTATTTGTAATATTTGTTTGTATTTAGTACTATTTCTGTCAAGTTATTACCCCATTCACCGAGCATTCTAATTTAGTTTCCAACTGACTCATAATCTAACTACATGACACGTGATATGATATCTGTCCATGATTATAATAATAAATTGTCTAGCATTTTGAAAGTAATTTTTATGGTCATAGATAGATACGGAAACTTTGAATTTGCAGTAAAATTGTTGTATGGAAAAAAAAAAAAATGCAACCTTTTGTGACAAACAATTTGCAACCAGTAGAATTCTTCTAATAAATACCATTCAATGATCTACAAATCAGAAATATATATATAAATAATGGGTAGATTTCACCTTCAAGCTCTGGTATTTTTTTTATTTCACCATCATCAAACAAAAACAAATTAACAATAGCTGCTCAAAAAACTAATGACAACGCAAGTACTAAATCTCAATAAACTAATCTATTTTCTTATATTCTATATATTTATGATACACCGTGCCAATGATGTGTCTTTTCTCACTCTCTCTCTCTCTCTCACAGCTCTGCAACAAGGTTGCCATATAATGTGGGGATACCAAATGATACACGTCACAATTATTAGTAGGTATCCAGAAATTACATCGGGGAGTGAACAAGGGTAATAAGAGCCTACACCACCTTTGAGTATTCAAAAACAAAAAAAATTCTTTCTATTAAAAATAAAATACTAATATACAGATGTGATTTTACAAATATGTGAAGTTGATTAATTTTCAGCAGCTACTTCTTCAACTGATGGACAAGTACAAATCAAGTTCAAGTCTCCATAAGTATCATTCAAACGACTAACAGTTGGCCAGCATTTATTGTGTTTCAAGAATGGTAATGGATAAGCAGCTTGTTCTCTAGTATAACCTCTAGATTCCCAATCTTGAGAACTAACAACATCTTCTAATGAATGAGGAGCATTTTTTAAAACTTGACCTAATGATTCACCATTTTTATAAGCATCAATTTCTTTTCTAATAGAAATTAAAGATTCAATAAATCTATCCAATTCAGCCAAATTTTCAGATTCAGTTGGTTCAATCATCAAAGTACCAGCAACTGGGAAAGACATGGTTGGGGCATGGAATCCATAATCTTGTAATCTTTTAGCAACATCAATTGCTTCAATGCCAATTTTTTGGAATTCACGTAAATCAAGAATAAATTCATGAGCACAATGTTTAATACCTGAATCAGATGATGCTTTACGATCAACAAATAAAATACTATAATATGGTTCCAATTGTGATAAAATATAGTTAGCATTCAACATAGCAATGGCAGAAACATATGGTAAAGCTTGAGAACCCAACATTTTAATATATGAATAAGAAACTGGAATAACAGAAGCACTACCAAATGGAGCAGAATTAACAGCTTTAATTGATTCAGAAGTAGAATGAGGAGTTTTAACAAAATGATGCAGTGGTAAGAATGGTTTTAAATGTTCTTTAACACAAACTGGTGCTTGACCTGGACCACCACCACCATGACTCAAAGCAAAAGTTTTATGAATATTCAAATGACAAACATCAGCACCTAAATCACCTGGAGAAGTTAAACCAACTTGAGCATTCATATTGGCACCATCAAGATAAACTAAACCACCATGTTCATGAACAATATCAATAGCTCTCTTGACACCTGGTTCAAATAAACCATAAGTAGATGGATAAGTAATCATAATAGAACACAAGTTAGCAGCATGTTTTTCAGCTTTAGCTTGTAAATCTTCTAAATCAATAGAACCATTAGACAAACATTTAACTGGAACAACTTTCAAACCAGACATAGCAGCAGAAGCTGGATTAGTACCATGAGCACTAACTGGAATTAAACAAATATTTCTTTGTTCATATTCACCACGAGATTTATGATATTCTCTAATTAATGATAAACCAGTATATTCCCCTTGAGCACCAGAATTTGGCATAGAAGTAGTAGCATCAAAACCAGTAATATCATTCAAATCTTTTTCAAATTCACCAATTAATTCTTTATAACCTTGAGCTTGATCAATTGGAGCAAATGGATGAATAGAATTGAAACCTGGCATGGATAAAGTTTGCATTTCAACAGTAGCATTCAATTTCATAGTACATGAACCTAATGGAATCATACTATCAGCTAAAGATAAATCCATTTTTTGTAAAGAATGTAAATATCTCAACATGGCAGTTTCAGAATGATGAGTGTTGAAAACTTCATGAGGTAAAATTTCATCAGTTCTTAATAATTCTTGAGCAATAGTTGGTAATTCTTGTGGTGGAGTATAAGTTGATTCACCAGTGAATACATTGACCAAATTGATCAAATCTTGCTTTTGAGTGGTTTCATCCAATTGTAAAGAAACAGTAGAATCATCAACTTTAAACAAGTTAATATCATAATCATTCAAAGCTTTAGCCAAGATTTCATCAGCAGAAACACCACCATTCAATTTAACAGTCAAAGTATCAAACCATTTCTTATTGGCAATTTCATGTTTCTTGGAAATTTCATTGGCTAATAAAGTAGTCAATCCATAAACTCTATTGGCAATATCTTTCAAACCTTGTGGACCATGATAGACAGCATAATTAGCAGAAATGTTAGCCAACAATGCTTGTGCAGTACAGATATTAGAAGTAGCTTTTTCTCTTTTAATATGTTGTTCTCTAGTTTGTAAAGCTAAACGTAAAGCTGGTTTGCCTAATCTATCTTTAGAAATACCAACAATTCTTCCTGGGATTTTTCTTGCATATTTAGATGAAGTTGCGAAAAATGCAGCATGTGGACCACCATAACCAAATGGAACACCAAATCTTTGAGAAGTACCCAATGCAATATCAGCACCAAATTCACTTGGTGGTTTAAGAACAGTCAATGCTAATAAATCAGTGGCCATGGCTAAAAGACCTTTATTGGCATGTAAAATTTGGGCAATTTCAGAATAATCAGTAATTTCACCATTAGTATCTGGATATTGAACCAAAGCACCAGAAACATCATCAATAATTTTGGTCAATTCTTCAATACCTTCTTTAGTAGATAATGGCAATTCAACAAGTTCAACACCAATGTTATTAGCTCTTGATCTCATAACATCAACGGTTTGTGGATGAAGATTAGTATCAATAACATACTTCTTTTTCTTGTTTTTAGTATTGTGGAAAGATAAAGCCATGGCTTCACCAGCAGCGGTACCTTCATCTAATAAAGAAGCATTAGCCATGTCCAAACCTGTAAGGGAAGTAATTAAAGTTTGGTAGTTCAACAAGGAATTTAATCTACCTTGAGAAATTTCTGGTTGATATGGTGTGTAAGAAGTATACCATTCTGGAGATTCAAGAAGATTTCTTTGAATAACAGGTGGTAAAATGGTACCGGCATAACCTTTACCAATGAAGGATTTTTTTATTTTATTTTTATTAGCTAATTTTTGTAAATGATCCAACATTTCAGATTCGGTAAAACCTTGTTCTGGTTGAATAGATAATTTTCTCTTAATTAAAACATGTTCAGGGACCACATTGGATAAAAATTCATCAATATCTTTATAACCTAAAGCAGATAACATATGTTCAACTTCTTTAGGATTTGGACCAATATGTCTTCTAGCAAAAACATCGAGATTATCCAATGATACTTTTGGTTTAATGACTTTGGCAAAATTTTGAGATGATGTATTTGCCTTAGTGGCCAATGATCTAATAGCTTGCTTAAGCAATGATCTCGAAGCCATTCTAATATTATGAAAAGGAGTGTGTGTTTAATGAGAATAAATTCAAAGAAGAAGAGAAAGAAGAAGATATATAAATTTTTTTTTAAACAAGATAGGAAACTTAACTATATTTATATACTTTTTTTGAAATATCTAACGGGTAATTTAAAGATAGACACAATGGAGGAAGAGCATTTCTAGTGATTTTTGACTTCTCATATGAAAAATTTCTGGAGATGCAATCCGATGATTCAAATAATACTTAGACGTGCACTATCTATGTGCGCGCGCGTACGATACGGCACTGAAAATAAAATAGTCAAATCAGAGTCAGAACACACTTCCATCTATCCACTGTCCTCGCATTTGCTCGCATTCTGATGAAGAGCAATCATCCCCCAGTATTTTTTGTTTTGATTCAAATCAAATCATGTAAATACGGTCTGGCTTATGAAGAGGGGGGGGGGGTAAGAAGGTTTTCGTTTGCCGCAAGGGTTTTTATCATCAATCAATGTATAACTTGTGTGGGTACACATGTGCATACTCTCCCGGGAGTTCATGCGGAGGAGTCAAAAAAAAGTATCAAACAGAGTAAGAAAAAAAGAAATAATGCGTAGTAAAGTGGGAAAAAAAATAAAACGGGTAACGATTTATATATCAGATGTTTGACTTCGTAGGAATAGATACCAAACCAATGGTTTCGGTTAGTTATCGCCCTCCCTCACTGGAACATCAGGTGGAGTATCAATGGTGTATAGGAGTAGTAATAGAGTGAAAAATAAGAAGCATTTTTCTCAAGCTCTTTGAGGAATATGTCATCACCATGAGGAACACCATGGAGCCTAATGATTGTACGGCCCAACACGAGGATCTTTCCTCATGATCAGACATACAACTTCATAGTTGGGAAGTGATGGCAAAATCTAATGAAACAAAATATTAGAATCGAGGAGTAGGTAGAGATATCGATGAGTGTATTTGTAAAAGAGTGGGAAAGTCATGGTCGTACCACATTCAGGCTATATCTTCAATGATATTCAGAGTTCTTTCTTTTCAATAATGCAACACTACTGATCTGTATGATACACATAACTGGTCTGATTTGACATATACAAGATTTTGCACCCCTCAACCCAATTTCCTTCATCTCCTCCCATGTCAATCCAATGCTGCAAATCCAAAAGTTCGCACGGAACCAAACCTCTTCCCACGAATTGGGAAGAGAGAAGAACGAAAAAAAAAAAAAAAAATAAAAAATCATCGCAAAAAAAAAAAAAAATTATTCTGAAAAAAAAAAATTGCAATTATACACTAACTCATCATCATCATCATCATCATTATTATCAAAACTTTCACCACATAATAACATATTCAAACAATGGTTAAGTCATATAATCGTTATGATCAAGAGAAATGTTTTGGTGTAATTACTTCACAATCTAACATTGTTTGGTTACCACCATCAGAAACTCAATCAAATACATCAGTAGGAAGAGCATTAACTTCAGGACTTGAAGAAATTTTAATTTGGGATATTAAAACTGGTGAAATTTTAAATAGATTTAGAGATGGATTAAATCCAGGATCTTCAAATGCATCAACTACTGTACCACCATCACCTATTAGTTATTTAACATATCATGAAATTAATAATATTATAGCTGCGGGATATAATGATGGATCAATTAAAATTTGGGATGTTAGTTCTGGATCAGTTATTATTAATTTCGAAGGTCACAAATCTCCAATTACTCAATTAAAATTTGATAAAAGTGGAACTAGATTAGTTTCTGGTTCAAATGATACTACTATTATTATGTGGGATTTAGTTGGTGAAGTTGGTTTATTTAAATTGAAAGGTCATAAAGGTCCAATTACAGGAATTGAATTCTTAAGTGAATCAATAACCAGTGAAGAAGAAGAAGAAGAAGAAGATTTGGATGCTATGGATGATTATTTAGTTAGTGTTTCTAAAGATGGGTTAATTAAATTATGGGAATTAAAATCTCAACAATGTATTGAAACTCATTTAGCTCATTCTAATGAATGTTGGTCAATGGCTATTAAAAAAACTAAAGATATGTTAATTACAAGTGGTAATAAAGATCAAGTTAAAATATGGAGTTTGGATCTTTCTCAACAAGATGGATCTAAAATTCAAGAACGTGGAAGTTTTGAAAAATCTAGTAAATCAAGAAGTAATGAAATTTCATTTAAATCATTGAAAACTTCATCATCATCTGAAATCATTCAATTATTTTCTATTCAAAATGCTGATAGAACCATTGAAATTTTTAGAATTAGATCAGATGATGAAATCAAACGTGGTATTACTAAAAGAACAAAAAGATTAAAAGATAAAGGGTTAGATGAAGAAGAAATCTTGGAATCTTTACAAAATTCCGAAATAAGTATGTTGGTTACGCCATTTACAACTATAAGAACTATGGCCAAGATCAAATCTGCTTGTTGGACTAATAATATTAAAAAAATGGATATTTTGGTTTCTTTAGCTAACAATAGTATTGAATATGATAATATTCCAGTACCAGAAAATCCAAAGAAAGCACAACCAACTGATTTATACTCAGTAAAGTTACATTCGATTGATTTATTAGGTCATAGAACTGATATTAGAGCCATGGATATTTCACCAGAAGATAATAAACTATTAGCTACTGCATCTAATGGAGAATTGAAAATTTGGAACACAAGGACGTATAATGTTATTCGTACTTTTACATTGGAAGGTGGTTATGCATTGTGTTGTAAATTTTTACCTGGGGGTGCATTAATTGCTGTTGGTTTTAAAAATGGTGATTTAGAATTGTATGATTTGGCTACTTCATCATTAGTTGATAAAGTTGAAAAAGCTCATAGTCTTGTTGGAGGTATGTCCGATGATGATAGTGCCGCTATTTGGTCTCTTGATATAACTCCAGATGGTAAAACATTAGTAACTGGTGGTAATGATAAATGTGTCAAGTTTTGGAATTTCAAAGTTGAACAAGATGTCATTCCAGGTACTAATACTACTGTTTCACAATTGAAATTTGTTCACACACAAACTTTAGATTTGAATGAAGATGTTCTTTGTGTTAAGATTTCCCCTGATGCTAAATATTTGGCAATTTCATTATTGAATAATAATGTTCAAGTTGTTTTCTTGGATACATTGAAATTATTCCTTACATTATATGGACATAAATTACCGGTATTATCAATTGATATATCATCTGATTCAAAACTTTTAATTACTTCTTCAGCTGATAAGAACATTAAAATCTGGGGGTTGGATTTCGGTGATTGTCATAAATCATTATTTGCTCATCAAGATTCCATTATGAATGTTAAATTCATTGGTGATAGTCATAATTTCTTTTCGAGTGGTAAAGATGGATTGATTAAATATTGGGATGGTGATAAATTTGAATGTATTCAGAAATTACCAGCACATCAAAGTGAAGTTTGGTGTATGGCCATCAGTGATAATGGATTATTTATGTGTTCCACATCCCATGATCACTCTATTAGATTATGGCTGGCTACAGATGATCAAGTTTTCATAGAAGAAGAAAAAGAAAAAGAATTGGATGAAATGTATGAGAATAAATTATTGGATCAAATTGATGGCAATGAAGATGATGCAAGAGCAACCAGAAACGAAGATGAGGATGGTGATGAAATGGTTGACGAATCCACTAAAGTCAGTAAACAAACGATGGAAACCTTGAAAGCTGGTGAAAAATTAATGGAAGCTTTAGATATTGGTATTGAAGAAATTGAATCTGAAAAGGAATATCAAGCATTGATTAAACAAGGTAAAGAAGCCATTAAACCTACACCAAATTCCATATTATTGGCTTTTGATATGACTGCTAGTCAATATGTTTTAAGTGTGTTGACAAAAATTAAAGCATCTCAATTAGATGACGCTTTGTTGGTATTGCCATTTTCATATTCATTGAAATTATTACAATTTATTGAAATTTGGACCAATAAGGAAAACATTTCTGGTAATATCGTTAGTATTTCCTTGATTTGTAAAGTTTTGTTTTTTGTTATCAGTGCCAATTCCAAAGAATTGATTAGTCAAAAGGATCCTCATTTGAAGAACCAATTGATGAAAGTTAAAGAACAATTAAGAAGCGAATTACTGAATACAACAAAACAATTGGGTGTTAATACTCAAGGTTTGAAATTTATAAAACAGCAATGGAAATTGCAACATGCTAGTGAATTTATTGATGATGAAGAAGAAGAACAAAGAAAACAAATTGAAGAAAAGAAATCAAACAAGAGAAGCCATGCTAATGTATAGAATCAGGATATAGATGTTGTTAAATAGTTTGATTTGAATATCATCGCATTAATGTTTTGTGCAATGTCGGCTCTCTCCCCGAAGTATGAAATCTTATTTGTATTCTGTGTATAGTGGCTTTGTTGGAGCTTTACGTTGTATTGCAGTATCTTCAATGTACCTTTGGTGATTGTTCAACGCAGACAACATCCGAAGAGATACTTTAGCCAAATGATATATATTGATAGACCCACGTCTCTGGGTCATGTCGTGGTACAGTACAGTTTGTTGCTACCTTTTTTCTGTTAGAGATCAATGAGTTTATTGTGTTCTGTTTTGTGTAATGTATGTATAATGGGTAAAAATACAGGGTGGGACAAAATTGTTTTGCATTTTTTTTTTTTGGCAGTTTTTACTCTCTTATGAATTAAACCAATTGAAGAAGAATTAGCCATTGGAATAGATCTAAGGTAGTGTTGTTTTGTATGAGACTTCAATATCAACAAGGTTTTCACCTTTCTTTGTCATTGTCAGATAATCATTGATCAATTAGCCAACGGTCGTAAATTTGTTATTGTTCCTGGTTTCTTTTTTTTTTTTTTTGGTTATTGCTGCAATCGGTATTTGCGGCTGATTCGTATAGAAAAAAAATTATTATGTTGTTGTTCTCGCCAAGAAGGCGACCCGTTAAACTATTTTCTGAGAATTTCAAGTTGGACTTTATAGATCTATTATAACATCGTTGAATAAATGGAAGGTATCAAAAGATATGACCAATGTTAGTTATGACAGTAATAGCATTGAAGAAGTATCTGGATGTGATGTAATAATTGTAAAGTGGGGCTATTATCTCACAAAGCCTTTCGTTTTTTTTCTGCTTTGACATATTTGTGATAAAGCACATATCTCTCTCTTACACACATAATCCTGGCAGTAGTTCTAATAGTTGTTGGATGTCAATTGAATGATCTCTACTTTGGTTGGTAGTGATGGATGTGAAACACCATTGTGTATTGTTTGTATTGGTGGCCATAATGAATTGAGTGAATGCCTGAAAGTATATAAAGTTGTATTGACAAAAAAAAAAGGCAACACAATGAAATTTACAACAATACCTTAATAGTCGAAAAGTCAATTGATAGGTGTATGCTTTTACTTTCACTGTAAGTTAAATCATAAATGAAATATTAAACCTCCTCAGATAACTCGTGTTTAGGTATTGAGAATCAAGGGTTGGTAAAGGGTTGGGGGCGGATTGATTTGTTCTCATTTTATTATTGTCAAAGGTGATCTGCATTATCATGCAGTATGTACTTGATGTTAAATTCCGTAAATCACAAATGAAATTTTCCTGACCTTTCAAAGAATACAAGTTATTCTTATTCGTATACTAGTACACACAGGAGTACCCATTATCATTGAATTTGACATGCTTATAGAGTTTGTTATAATTTATGAAAAGGTCAATTGGACAGCATGCCTTGCGAATATTTCAGCTTAAAAAAATGGGTTTATGATGGTATCGATGAATAGATTGTTATGGTATCACCATTGGGTGTTAAGAGTTACCATTGTCATACGTCAACAGTTATATTTCAAATTAGCGAAATTAATGAAAACCAGACAACAACAAGGGAGAGGTTGTCCCCTCTTTTTTTGCTTTTTGCTTTTTGTTGTTTTTCCTTTTAAACAATGTTGCTGATTTTTTTCAATACACATTGATTTACCTGAGCTGGCCATTGTGGGTTGAATGAGATGGATCATTTGGTGAGTGGGTGGTTATTATCTACAATCAAACAAGGTGATCTGAGGTTACTGTTGCTGCCTTGTTGTTGATAGGGGATTGTGATAATTGAAGATGAAATGGGTTTTCTGTTTTTAGTCTTTTGTTGTTTCTTTTTACGTTTTGTGATCGGTAATATTTTCTCTTCTTTTTTTCTTGCACACTCTCACTCTCACTCTCACTCTCACACATTAAAAATTAAATACAGTACACTAAACAGAAAAAATAAAAAATAAAAAAAAAAACACACCACATAGATTTCATTCATTCTTTTCATTCATTTTGCTTTTCCTTTAAATTCCATAAATTTTTACTATTCCTGTTTAATTTCAAGACAACACACTTGTGACAATCAATTAAGAGAATAGAAACCATTTCTCACACACACACACACACATATATACACACTATACACCCAGATCAATATCATTCTTATTAAAGTTGAACTAACATTTTTTTGATTTTCCGTTTTATTTTATCATTATTATTATTTGTTTTATTTCTGTGTTAATTGAATTGAATTGAATTTAATATTAGTTTTAGTTTTAGTTTTAGTCTTAATTTTAATTTCTGACTGATCACTTTAAAAAAAAAAGAGAGAGAAATTATTTTGGTTGTCTGTCTCTCTCTCTCTCTCTGTTAACAAAAGATCACTGTTACAATACATTATATATAAAAAAAAAAGTGAGGGAAAAAAAAAAACTCACACACACACACAGTGAGTGAAAGACAGGAAGGGGAAAAAAAAATTACTACTTTCTTTATTATTTGAAAAGGTTCTTTCTTTTTTTTTTATTATTAGATTAATAATTATTTATCAATCTTTGATTACTTTATTCATCAAGAGTTTTTCTTTTTCTTTTTAGGAAGTCATCAAATCATTGACAGAATGAACATACCTCCCAACCAGAATCCCCTTCAAATGGGCGGGACTTCTTCGTCATGGCAAGGAATGTATTCAGGCGAAGAAAGACAAAAAGTTGTTCAAATTATTATCAATACTTTAACTGAACTCAATGGCACAAACCCAAATTTCAACCAACAACGATTAGCTAAAATGGCCCTGGATTTTGAAAAGATTGTTTATGAAAAGTCTCCTTCTAAAGAGGATTATTTGCGTGCTATCAAAATAAAGGTTCATCAACTCCGACTTCAAAAACAACAGATGGCTGCTAATCAAGGCGGTCAATCCATCAATCCTCAACAACAACAACAGCAACAGCAACAGCAACAACAGGTACCACCACCTCAACAACAACAACAACAACAGGCCCAAAGAGGAAACAACAATATGAACCAAATGAATTCGCAAAACTTGCAGTTCTTGCAGCAACAGGCGCAAGCAAGAAGTCAATCACAAGCTCAAATCCAAGCACGTCAACAACAACTTCGTAACATGGTCAACCAACAACAACAAGCACAACAATCTCAACAACAACAACAACAAGTTCCACAACCTCAACAACAACAGCAGCAGCAACCACAACAACAACCTTCACAACAGCCACAGCCACAACAGAACCAGCAACCAGGTGGTGGTCAAGCTCCTCCTCCAACTCAAAACCAATTACCTCCACATTTGGTGAACTTGATGAGAACCTCACCCATTCCACCTCCTTTACTTAATAAAATGCCAAAGTTGCCAAATGGAGTGAACACATGGAATCAAATTTTTGATTTAATTAGGAAAGAAATTATACCTAGAGATATGGTGCCCGCTATTAGAGACATTCATGGAATGCATTTACAATTGTTTATGCGCCAACAACAACAAAAGATGAATATGCAAAGAAATATGAATGAGGGACCTGTCAATAATAATGATAATTCAGCAATGCAACTGAATTTGAATAATAATAACAATAGTAATAATAATATGATGGGTAATATGCCTCCAAACTTTAACAATTTGACTCCACAGCAAAGAGAACAAATTTTGAGACAAAGAAGACTTCAACAGCAGCAGATGCAACAACAAAAGCAAGCTAACCAGCCTCAGGTTCCTCAAACACAACCTCCACAACAAACTCAACAACCACAACCTCAGCAACAAGTCCAATCACAACAACAGGGGCCACAACAAATGCCTCAACCAATGGTACAACAAAATCAAAACCCTCAGATGGGTCAACTGCTGAATATGCAACAACAGAATATTCCTCCTAACCAGCAGAGACCACCACAATTCCAAGTCACAGCAGAGGATTATGCAAAGTATAACAATGATGCATTGTTGTTTTTATCAAAATTGCTGCAGCAAAAGCAATGGCCTGCACAAATTGATGAATCAATGAAAGAACAATTCATCAAGAAGTTTATCATTCATCAAAAGACCCAACAATGGAAACAGCAACAGATGCAGCAACAACAACAGAGAGGTAATACTAATAACCTTGGAATGAATACTGGTACATCTGCTGCTCCACCTCCACAAGCGCAACCACAATCTCAGTCACAGCCATCACAACAACAGCCGGTTGGACAGATGCCAATGCAACCACAGGTTAATTTACAGAACCAACAACAACAACAGACTCTGCAAAATGGCCCTCAAGCACAAGTTCAACAACCAATACCAGGCATGGTTCAAGGTCTGCCGGTTATGAGCAATATGGCTACTCCACTTATGAAGCCAAATACTCAGTTGAATGCTAATAATGTATCATCGCCATTGATGGGTCAAAGAATGAATATGAATAATGCCAATGCCAACGCCAACGCCAATGCGAATGCAGCTATGCCTCCTGCTGGTAATAACAATAACAACAATAACAACAACAGGGTAAGACCAGTCACAGCCCCAGCTAACATTAATATGTCGTCAATAATTCCACCTTTAACCGACGAAGTAAAGCTCAGATTAAGACAATTGATTGAAGAGGTTTCTAGAAACAATGTTGTTTTACGAGATGTGACAAATTTGCTTTCACCACAGGATAAAACTACTGTTAGAGAATCAATGAACCAAATTCAAGAGCAATATGGTAATGTCGATAGTGTGATTAGTTACTTTTACTTGCTTACAAAAAATGGTGATGGAACCAAACGTTTGATTCAGATGAAATATATGACAAAAAATATTTTGGATAATTTGCATAGAGGTATTTATTTAGCCGGTCCTGATTTGTTGGAGAAGGTTAAGAGTCAATATGCAAAGTATTTTGACTATGTTAGAGAACAAATCAATATGAGAAGACAACAAGCTCTTCAACAAGCAGCTGGGGGTGCACCACAGCAGCAACAATCACAACAGCAAGTGCCACCACCACAGCAACAATCGCAACCTCAACAAGGAATGCCTAGACTGCAACCACCTCAAGGTCAGCAACCAATGATGCAAGGTCAAGTCAGAAACCAACAGTTCATGAACCAAAATCCACAGATTGCAATGCAACAGCAACAGCAACAGCAACAGCAACAGCAACAGCCAATGATGGGACAACATGATCAAATGAATATGAAGAATTGGAGTCCTGTTCCTGGAGCTGGTCCAAACCAGATGAACATGAATTCGCAACAAGCTCCGCAGCAGCAACAGTTGCGTCAAGGAATCAATAGTAGTCCGTTGATGCCTCAACAACTAACACCAATGCAACAGCAACAACAATTACCACCGCAACCGCAACCGCCACAACCATCACAACAGCATCAACAAATGCCAGGTCCACCACAAATGCCTATGCAACCACAACCACAACCACCGATTGCAAAACCTACTACCGCAGCTGCACAGAAGACAGCTGCCAAGACAACAGCCAAGAAAGGTACTCAAGGAAGAAAGAAGAGCAAGGCTAATAATAGCGCACCAACACCTGCAGCTTTACCTGCCGCTACTCCTGGTACTTTGGCCAATGCAATCAAAACCCCGCATAGCATTCCTACACCACAAATCCCACCACAAAGTCATAGTAACAAAAACACACCATCAGCTCATTCACCTGCTTATCCTGTGAAGGCAACACCTTCGGGAACAACTCCTGGAACTGGTAGTTTTAGCAATGTCAATTCTAATAATGTATATCCTACACCAGAGATTGATGTTTTTGCCATGAGTTCGAACGACTCCAAGGTGGCTAAACGTCGTGAGTTGTTGAATACTGATCCAGAAAAGTTTTTCTATGCTTCATTGGCCAATTTGCTTGATTTGGATGAATCGGTTGTTGATAATGTCAAGGTTTCTCCAAGGATGTCTAATGGTAAACCAATTGCCAATTCTCCATTATCCCCAAAAATTAGTGGTGAGTGGACTAGTGAGGTTAAACCTATGGCAATCACAACTTCATTTAGACAAGTTGATGCTATTAAAGACTTGACAAATGATGATATCATATCTTCATGTGGAATGTTGGCAATTCAAGAGGTTGAAGAACCAAAACAATTGAAGAGAGAACGTGAACAAGAGGATGAATTAGATACATTGTTTAATGATAAAAAATTAAAGTTGACTGATGGCAATAATTTTGACAAGTTCCTATATGAACCATCATCATTTGATGAATGGAAAGATTTTGTTGTTTCTTTTATACAGTAGAGACAGATGGTATAATAGTTTATTATTATCATTCTTATTTGTTTTATTTATACCAATAATCATTTTGCAGACATAAACTTAGTTTTCTTTTAAGGGTTCATTTTTTTTGATTTTTAATTAATTGTAAATTGTGTTTATTTAAATTACTTTTTTTTATTACTATTATTATTACTATTATTATTACTATTATTATATTGTTTTATAATTTTATTCGCTTAATTTATTTCTATAATTGCTTAATACATATATCGTTAATTTTTATAATGGAAAAGATACAAAAAACACGTGTGTTTTACTTGGTGAATATTAAAAGTAAACCCACTGACATTACTAATGATATCCGATCAATCAGACCATAATAATGATATTGGTCACACGGGAAATTCTCTCCCCCTCTCCCCCCCCCCCCACGAGTGTGTTATGAACTCTGAAAATGATATTGAATCCATGGTGGTGGTAGAATCATCTCGAATTGGTGCCAAAAAAAACTCACTTCATACCGCTATGCTACGCAGCCCGTATGAAGTTCATGCCACGACGTAGAGCACGTAAGAACAATAATACCGAGCGCAACCAAAAAAGACAAGAAGTACAAGAAGAAGAAGAAGAAGAAAAAAAAAAAGATTGAGATTATAATTCCTGTCAACAAAAACAAACTATCCAAGTAAGTTTTTGTTCCAGTATTAGAACAAGAATTAATAAATATATTATTATCATGGCACCTAAGTTTGATCCTAAAGAAAAGCAAATATCTGTTGCTTTTGTATGTTTAGGTAACATGTATGTTTTTTTCTTTTTTTTTTTTATCTAGATTAACCTATTATTTAATATTAAAGTGATGAATCATTGATTGAAATTTGATTTTTTTTTATACTAACTTTTTTGAAAGATGTCGTTCACCTATGGCAGAAGCTATTTTTAAACATCAAGTTGAATTACAAGGATATTCTAAATTTTTTAAAAGAATTGATTCATTTGGTACAAGTGGATGGCATATTGGAGAAACTCCAGATTCAAGATCAGTTAAAACTTGTAAAAAACATAATGTACCAGTTGATCATTATGCTCAACAAATAAATACTTCAGATTTTGAAGATTTTGATTATATTATAGGTATGGATCAAGCTAATATAAGTAATTTAAATCAAATAAAACCTAAAAATTCAAAAGTTATTGTTGAATTATTTGGTCATTGGAATGATAAAAATAGTGGTTTTAAAACTATTGTTGATGATCCTTATTATGGAGGTATTGATGGATTTGAATATAATTATAAACAAATTTGCCATTTTGCTGATCAATTCTTAATTCAAGAAATTGGTACTTTAGATTAGAGAGTTTATAATATTATATATATATGTGTTTTTGAAATGTTGAATTATAATCCCCCCTCTTTTTCATTAGATGTTAAAATTATAAGTCGTGTATTGGTGATCAATTTTTCTCTCTCTTTTTTTTATTGAGTTGTTGAAAATGGAAAACTTGTTTTAATTTTTTGTAATAAACAGAGAAGAAAAGAGAGAGAAAAATTTTGCCCTAATCGAACAATTCATTTTACAACCACCATTCCTCCTCCTCCCCCCGATAAAACACAATTCAAAACTTACAATTTTATTTTAATTTTGGAAAGAAAGGGCTAAATCATTAGTATGAGTGCTAGAAAACTACAACAAGAATTTGATAAATTAAATAAAAAAATTTCTGAAGGTCTTCAAATATTTGATGATATTAAAGAGAAAATCAATGTTTGTGAAGTACCTTCTCAACGAGATAAATTGGAGAATGATTTGAAGAAAGAGTTGAAGAAATTACAAAGACTGAGAGATCAATTAAAACAATGGTTAGGTGATAGTAGCATTAAATTGGATAAAAATGTATTACAAGAAAACCGTACCAAGATTGAACATGCTATGGATCAATTTAAAGAATTGGAAAAAGCTCTGAAGATTAAACAATTTTCTAATGAAGGTTTAGAATTACAAACTCAACAAAAACGATCCAGATTTGGTGATGATGCCAAATATCAAGAAGCGTGTACTTATATTAATGGAGTTATTGATGAATTGAATAATCAAAATGAAGATTTGGATCAAGAATTGGATTCTTTGAGTAGTCAACTGAAAAGAAAAGGTGGTAGTTCAGTACAACAATCCATTGATGATGTTAAATATAAAATGGAAAGAAATAATAATCATATAAATAAATTGGAAGAAATTTTGGAAAATTTAGATAATGATAAATTAGATCCTGCCAGAATTGATGATATTAAAGATGATTTGGATTATTATGTTGAAAATAATCAAGATGAAGATTACGTGGAGTATGATGAGTTTTATGATCAATTGGATGTTGAAGAAGAGGAAGATGAAGTGGAAGTGGAAGGTTCATTGGCACAAATGGCTGCTGAAACTGAAGATGAAAGAAAAAGGGAAGAAGAAAGAAAGAAACAAGAAGAAGAAAGAAAAGAAAGAGAAAAACAACAACAACAACAACAACAAGCCAAAAATACTCCACCTGCTAGTAATAACACATCTAATAACTCCCCAATTGCTCAAGTTAAAGGAATATCCGATCAGAATAATAATAATAATAACAACAACAATACACCATCGTCAAATTCGTCGTCTTCTACTCCGGTAAAGAAATTGAAACCTGTTGTGACACCAGCACCAGCACCTCCACCAATTACAACAGCCAATTCATATTCTAATGTTATTAAAGCTGCTCAACAGGCAGCAAATAATAGTGGTGTAACTACAAGTGGTGGTAACAATGATACTTCTAGTAATCGTTCAGCATCACCATCTACAAGTAACAATACTCCTATTTCTGCTAAAGTATTACCACCAGGATTAAACCATGAAGCTTCATTCAATTCTAATATGAAATCGGCGTCTGCTTCTCCATCAATTGCTCATTCTAAATTGACAAATAGTGATTTACAAACAAATAGTAGTAGATCACAACTGCCAGCTGTTAGTGCTGAAAACAAAATATTCAATGACACCATTTCACGTATTATAAATGTTACTCAAAGTAGATTAAATGATCCATTACCATTGACTTCGATAAGTAATTTATTGGAGAATTCATTGTTGAATTGTCCTGATTCATATGATTCAGAAAAACCTAGACAATATAATCCAATAAATGTTCATCCATCACTGATTGATTATCCTCAAGAGCCAATGTATGAATTGAATAGTGGTAGTTATATGAAGAAATTTGATAATGATACATTATTTTTCTGTTTCTACTATGGTGGAGGTGGAGAAGATATAGATAATTTTGCCAAATATAATGCTGCAAAAGAATTATCAAAAAGAGGATGGATATTTAATACTGAATTTAATCAATGGTTTTTGAAAGATAGTCATAAGAAACATAGAACAATGTCTATGGTTGCAAAAGAAGATGAAAGTAATGGATCAGTTGATAGTATTAATAGTAATAATGTGGTTGCTGAAATAAGTGAAGAAAGTGATAATTACAAGTATTTTGATTATGAAAAGACGTGGTTAACACGTAGAAGAGAAAATTATAAATTTGTCAAAGAAAAGAGACAAACTTTTTAAAACAAAATCAAAAACAAGGTTCATATAGGTTATTAGTTTGTTTTAATTATCGTTGTTATTATTATTATTAATTGCTATATATATATATATATATATATATATATATATTATTGTTATGTTTTTTTTTGCATATATACACTTAGTAAATATAAATATATATTTGTATTATTATTAATCTATTACAATCAATAAAAAGGTATGTTTGGAGTTAGAATTGTTTAATTTATAACAGATTTAATGATGATGAGATGAAGGTCGTCACCATGATATGTTGATGATATTAAATTGACGACTGATGAATAAAGGGGTAACATACAATTCTATCACAAAAAAAAAAAAAAAAAAAAATCCCGTCAATATATATGTATATGTGCATTTTACTCGATGAGAGTAACTTTACATAACTACAATAAGGGGGGACAACAGCAGCAGCAGCAGCAGCAGCAGAAGAAGAAAAGTAGTTAAATTTTGAGAGAAACACAGAGAGAGAGAGAGACATGAGATTATTATGCACAATACAATACAACAAACAATGTGCAAACAGGGTATCTATTATCGTACATACAGAATGTGTTTGAATCAATAAACCATTTGTTTCAGAATCATATTTTCTGTTGTCATTTTGTGTCAGGAACAAAAAATATAAAAGAAATCTGAAACGCTATTGTTTGAGGTATTGATAGAAACAAACAAACACAATAAAATGATGAATATACACACACTCGTGTAAAGAATGATTTGAATTTTGATAATTGAATCAATTAAGGGTGTTGTGAATAATCAATAAACATGAAAGTAAAACCAAACACCTAGTGATGATATTAATATAGTAGTTTTAGGTTAAATTGGTCTAGAAGTGATATGACGAATAATGATAATTTCATGTGCAAGTATAGCGTATTTCTCTCTCTCTCTCTCTCTCTCTTTGTTACATATATAATGTTTCTAGATTTGATCTACGGTATAAATCTATTAAAAGTACAAATTGGTTGTATTCTATTATATATTTACACTTTAATGAAAAAAAAGAATAAGATAATAAGCATAAGCATAAGCATAACGTACATTTTCGCCTTGTAGATTTTTTTTTATATTTATTTACATTTATTGTCCAATATCACTATCATTTCATCGTCATGATCAAGGGAAAGGGAAAGGGGAAAATTTGAAATAAAAGAGAGTAATACACAGAATAATAGAACCGTTGATGATATTGGTATTGATCTTAACGTAATACTAGACAGAAGGATGATGTTGACAATAATAGGATCATGTTCTATTGTTATTAGACGCTGTCCCCTCCCCCCTTATTGATATAATGACAATGGTGATGGTGGTGTTTTAATTACCTGAAAAAAGAAATAAAAAAAAAAAAAACGAAGAAGAAAGGACGTGTATAAGTGATCAAAAATAAAATTGTCTATTTTTTTTTCTCCTTCTCTCTTTCTCTCCTTCTTGATTTTCTAATTGTCTTTTGGCTGAGTAGTGATAATATAAAACAAATCGTAAATCTTCACTTGAGATTTTTTTTTTTCTTTCTTTCTTTTTATATATATAAGAAAGTGGACTTCTTTGTCTTTTTTTTTTATTCTTACGATTTCTTTCAATATAAGGGATATCATTTTCATTATATTTATTTATAAAGATTTCACCTGTGGATATCTTTTTCATTTTCACATACAGACTCACACGTTTTTTTTTCCCCTTTTTATTTTTTGTTTGTTTCCTTTATTTGCAATAAGAAAATTCTCGTCAATTAAAACACGTCCCATTTTTTTATTTTAATTTTTTTTTTTTCCACCTAAATATCACTTACCAATGTTAGTAACAAGTTATATACAGACAGAATTTGATAAGGAACTACTAAAACGTGATTCTAATGGATGTGTAGAATGTCCAAGTTCAGCAGGTTCATGTCCTAGTTGTCCATCTGGTCAACAATGTGAATTATCTTCACAAACTTGTAATTCATGTCAAGAATATTATTGTGCAACTATAGTATCGAAAAAAACTACACCTATTGGAGGTATTGTTGGAGGAGTTATTGGAGGTTTGGCATTTATTGCATTAATTGCTGGGATCCTTTATTATGTTTTGATTTATAAAAAACGTAGAATTGAATATTATGATGAAAAAGATGATGAAGAATTTTGGGATGATGAAGATGAAAGTGCTTTGGATCTGGAATCCCCAGGTATGATTTCTTCTCCTCATGGAAGTGCACTTAATACAAGTCAAAATACTACTTCAAACTCAAATCTTTCAGCTTTAAGTCCTTCTCCTGGTGTCAATGGAACAATAGCCGGTGGTCCTTCTCCTAGAAATGGTTTAACTGGTGTTGGGGCTGTTGGGGCTGGTACTATAGGAGCTGGTGCTGGAGCAGCTGCGGGAGCTACACGTACATTAGCACCAAGAAGACCAGGTGGACGTACTAGAAGAGTAAGTTCGTATGAATCATTTACTAGAACAACTAAATCACAACAACAACGTCAAAAACAATTAAGAATGCAAAGACAACAAAGACAACAAAGACAATTACAAATTTTACAACAACAACAACAATTTCAACCAATGCAATCATTTCAACAACCAGGGAATCCACAATTTCTTGAACCTTCAAATCGTAATTCTGTTGCTACTTCATTTTCCAATGCTTCAAATATTCTTCCAATTGCTTATATTCCAGGAGTAACAGTTGTACCTAATCCAAGTAATACTCGACTGATTTTTTCATCAGAAATAGATCTGTTGTATACAGATTCTATTTCTATTGTTTCAATAGATCCAGAAATTCAACAATCAACCACAACAACGGCTATTAGAGCTCAGGCCAGGTTGGTTGATATAAATGTTGATAGAATTGAAGAAGAAGATTCGGAATTTGATACTGATTCAGATGTTGATTCTGATATTGGTAGAACAAGTAGTCCATTTGTATAGATTCTTTATCTTTTTTTTTTTTTTTTTTAGGAAAATTCAGATGTTCGTTTCCAAGTGATTTTCACTCAATTGTATAATATGTTTGTGCGAATTATCTATGAGTCATATTGTCATTTAATGTTTTCCCATTGAAATCTAAGAAGAAGCAAAATGATTATTTACACAGAGTAAAATAATGTAGAATATTCACCCAAGATTGAAATGATTTAGAACTTACATGAAACGGTTTTTTATATGCAAGAATTAGATTTAATTGAAAAATCCAAATGAGTGTGAAAAAAAAAAAAAATAAACATGCAGCATTTTGAATGGTCGTGTGGATTTGGCTGATAAAACATACTGTATAATTTTTTTTCACTTTTTTATCTCCATCAGCAATGATAATATTGATTCAATTGATTATGATTTGTGTGTGTGTGGTGTAATATGATTCAATTGAGTTTAATATAAGGGGAAACTATTCCAATGATAACTTGTTTAATTAGTTGAATGGTTCAACATACTAGTAGAATTGATAATGATGATAATGAATCACAAAAATTTGACAAATCCGCGGATAACAATGTATGTGTGTATATATATCTATGAATTCTAGATTCGGAGTTTTTTAACGCATCTCCATAGGACTCAAAAGAGATATAAGAAAATGAAAAAGAAATAATTGACAATTCATTGAATGGTTTTCATTATTTGGAAATATATTCAAAGAATTGTCAATTAAACCGATAGCCGTACATTAAGGAGAAATAGTATTGTAATTTAATTGTTTCTCATTCACTTTCGGAGAGATGCAAGTTCGGAAATTTGTATTAATTTTTTTTTTTTTTTCACAGTCAAGCTCTAATACCTTATTACTATTTACAGGAATTATAGTTGTTTTGTTTTTTTTTTTGACTCGAGTTAACAAAAAGTAAGAATTGACAGTTTTCGGATCACCTGGGAGTGTTAGTTGTTGGTAGTAATGGCAAGATTATGTTGAATAACCATTAGATTAAATAGCAACATATGCATTAATGAATAGGGGCAAGTACACAGCAAGAATTACCAATTAACCCATGCATTTCTAGTAGTTCAGTTTGTTAATCATAAAAGAATAAAAAGAAAAACTATAGTACTTTTCTTTTTTAGTAATAATGATGTAAGAGAGCTTATTAAGAAACCTTCTTGATCCATAGGAATGAATCAGTGAATGAATTTTTTAAGGAGCAATCAAAAGTGATTCGAGAATGACGTATTCCGAGGGTAGGAAAAGGAATTATGAGAAATCAAGAAAAATAAAACAGTTGGGCACAGAGAGATAGATAGATAGAGGGGGGGAGGGCAAAGCAAAAAAACACGACCGTTTAATACAAATGTTTAGTAACCAATGAGTAAATCTACAAATCATTACCACGTCAAACGCAGAACAAACAGAAATATTAACCAGTTTAATTTTAGCATGACAAAGAGGGACTTACCCAAGTAATGTTCTTTTTTTTCATTCTTTCATTTTGTTCTTAGCTATTGATAATATATAATTCAACAACGGCAGTTGGAAAATTTATCACTCACTCACTCACCCACATAGAGAGCAAGCAAAGCACTTATAAACTAGATCTAAGCAAATTGACCTGCCCTCGAAAGTCGAAAGTCGAAAAAGAAATTAAGGATAAAGAAAACCTGCAAATGAAAGAATGAAAGATGGCAATTGTACAATCTGTGCTAGTAATTTATTAGTAATTCTTATTGTAATGTGTGGTCGTGTACATGTGCACAATAACCCACAAAATAAGAATTCCGGTCGGTCAATTTCCACTTGATGGGTACAACAACAACAACTACAACTACAACAAAAAGGAAAAACGGTATAATGTAAAATTATGTAAGCCAGACTCATATAGACTCCCTCATAGTTTATTTGTGTGTGTAATGAATTTTTTTTTTTTTTTTTTCACCAACAAGGAGAAGGAAATTGAAATTAAAAAAATTTTTTTAATTTAAATAGACCTGGTCTTGTCCCTCTTGTTGAACTTTTTTTTTTAAATTGATTTCTTTCTTTTACTTTTCCTTTTTTTATTTATTTGAATTACATATCAATTCACATATCTTCTTCCCTTTTTTTTTTTCTTTATTCATCACATATCACCATTGGAATAATTTGTTGATTCAATTTAAATTCAATTAGATTTTTATATTATCATTATTTTTTTGTTTGTTTGAAACTATAGAATTTTATTTGTATTTATCCCCCCCACTTCAAATTTTTCAAATTTTTTGTTTTTTTTTTTTAAAGAATAATCATTTACCTATTAAATAATTAATTATCAAATATGCCATCAATTGACGAATTAGCTATCAGCACCATCAGAGGTTTAGCTGTTGATGCCGTTGCATCTGCCAACTCTGGTCACCCAGGTGCTCCATTGGGTTTGGCTCCAGCCGCCCACGTTCTTTGGAAGAACATGAAATTCAACCCAAAGGATCCAAACTGGATCAACAGAGACAGATTTGTTTTGTCTAACGGTCACGCTTGTGCTTTGTTGTACTCCTTGTTGGTTTTGTTTGGTTACGATTTGACTGTTGAAGATTTGAAACAATTTAGACAATTGGGTTCAAAGACTCCAGGTCACCCAGAAGCTACCGACACTGCTGGTGTTGATGTTACCACTGGTCCATTGGGTCAAGGTATTTGTAATGCTGTTGGTATGGCTATTGCTCAAAAACAATTTGCTGCCACTTACAACAAGGATGACATTACTCTTTCCGACTCTTATGTCTATGCTTTCCTTGGTGATGGTTGTTTGATGGAAGGTGTCTCTTCTGAAGCCTCCTCTTTGGCTGGTCACTTGCAATTGAACAACTTGATTGCCTTCTGGGATGACAACAGAATCTCCATTGATGGTGACACTGCCGTTTCCTTCACTGAAAATGTTCCAGAAAGATACAGAGCTTATGGTTGGAATGTTCTTGAAGTTGAAAAAGGTGACACTGATCTTGAAGGTATTGCCAAGGCTATTGAAGAAGCTAAGAAATCCACTAACAAACCAACTTTGATTAGATTGAGAACCATTATTGGTTACGGTTCCTTGAAACAAGGTACCCACGATGTCCATGGTTCCCCATTGAAGGCTGATGATCTTAAACAATTGAAGAAGAGTTGGGGTTTCCCAGAAGATTCTTCTTTCTACATTCCAGAAGAAGTTGCCAAATTCTATGCTGACCACATTGCTGAAAAACAAAAATACCAAAAGGAATGGGAAGCTAAATTTGCTGAATATAAACAAAAGTATCCAAAAGAAGGTGCTGAAGTCCAAAGAAGATTGGATGGTAAATTGCCAGACAACTGGAGACAATACTTGCCAACCTACACCCCAGCTGACCAACCATTGGCTACCAGAAAATTGTCTGAAAATGTCATTAACGCTTTGCACGGACACATTCCAGAATTCATTGGTGGTTCTGCCGATTTGACTGGTTCTAACTTGACTAGAGCTACTGGTTCTGTTGATTTCCAACCACCATCTACTGGTTTAGGTGATTACGATGGTGTTTACATCAGATATGGTGTCAGAGAACACGGTATGGGTGCTATTATGAATGGTATTGCTGCCTTTGGTGCCAACTACAAGAACTATGGTGGTACTTTCTTGAACTTTGTTTCTTATGCTGCTGGTGCCTTGAGATTATCTGCTTTGTCTCACCACCCAGTCATTTGGGTTGCCACCCATGATTCCATTGGTTTGGGTGAAGATGGTCCAACCCATCAACCTATTGAAACTTTGGCTCATTTCAGAGCTATTCCAAACTTGTCTGTCTGGAGACCAGCTGATGGTAATGAAGTTTCTGGTGCTTATGCTTCTGCCATTGAATCTACTGATCACCCAGCTGTTATTGCTTTGACTAGACAAAACTTGCCACACTTGGAAGGTTCTTCTATTGAAAACACCTTGAAAGGTGGTTACACTTTGGTTAAACAAGACAAACCAGATGTTATCATTGTTTCCTCTGGTTCTGAAGTTTCCATCAGTGTTGCTGCTGCTGAAGAATTGGGTAAAGAAGGTATTAAAGCTAATGTTGTTTCTTTACCAGATTTCTTTACTTTTGATAAACAATCTTATGAATACAGAAAATCTGTCTTGCCAGATGGTGTTCCAATTCTTTCTGTTGAAGTCATGACTACTTTTGGTTGGTCTAAATATGCTCATGAACACATGGGTATTAACAGATTTGGTGCCTCTGGTAAAGCTGCTGATTTGTACAAATACTTTGGTTTCACTCCAGAAAACATTGCTGAAAATGCCAAAAAGACTATTAAATTCTACAGTGGTAAAGAAGTCTTGTCTCCATTGGACACTGCTTTTTAAAATGCTGAAGAATAGTTGAGTTTGTTTCTCTTTATATAATTATATTTACATACTGGTTTTTTTTTTTAATGACATGTTTGTTTTTTGATACAATTATGAATATTCATGATGACGTAAAATCACGTGTAAAGACAATTATGATTATTGTGTCAGTAAATGTAATGGAAGTATCGGAAGGACAACTGCGCCTGATATCGTATAATATCAGTAAAATGAATTGTAATAGAGTTGAGTTGAGTTGAGTTGAGTTGATTGTATTTTATAATGAAATTAGTTGATATTCATGATGAAATTTTCAAATAGTTAATTGATTATATAAGATAATAGAAATTATGTAAGATATTGCATCTATACATTGCCAAGAATTACATTCAAGGGGAGAGAAGTGAGAGAGAGAGAGAGAGAGTATATCAGTATAAGTATACAGAATATGGTTAAAGTTTTATATTCTATAATAATTAAAGAATACGAGATTTTCTTGATTTATATTTAATGGGGAGGAGGCAAATTAGCTGTGTCACGTGATGAATAACTATAATATATTACAATTGATATCATAGAATATGGATTACAGTTTGTTTGAAGAGTATTCAGATTACTTGGGTTTTGAACCTCTGATTATTCTTCGTTTTTTCTTTTTTTTTTTTCAAAGTCTTGTTGTTAATTTAAGCCCCAGATTTGAGATATGCATTGGTTGAGACCTTGATGAAGAGATGAGTGAGAATAGATATTGTGGCTATGAATATGAATATGAATATGAATATGAATATAAGTAATAGTTGATTATTTATAACTTCCCCTCTGATGATTTCAACAAGGGGAGGGGGAAGCGACGGATGGGTATGTTACGAAGGTGGAAATGTGATTGTAGCAATCGTCAAAAGGGAAATTCCCTCTCTTTCCTGCCTGCCTGTTGTTGTGTTCTGAAACTAGCAACCCATTTTCAGACAACCAAATGCCAGAAGAAAAAAAAAAAAAAAAACACGCAGCATCTCTCTCTCTCTCACAGAAACAGAAACGAATAAATTGTACAGTAAATCTTCTTTCTTTAATCAATCGTCCTTCCTTCCTTGCTGAAATTCCTGTCCTGTCCTGTCCGCCCCAAGACGAATTTTTTTTTTTTGTTTTTGTTAAACTAAACATATTCTTCTTTATTTAATCAATTGTTTTTTTTTTAACTTATTTATCTAATCATATTAGATAAACTACCATAAGGAATAACAGTATCATCCCTTCATCATGAGTGACTTACCACTTTTAGGAGGTTCTCGTAACCAAGAAAGTTTTTTTGAAAGAATGACTAAATCATTATATAAATCAACCATTTTAACCATTAAATCTTCAATTGTTAATTATTTATTAGTATTTGTTCCATTAGGTATATTAGCTGGAGAATTAGAATGGAGTGCAACTGCTAGATTTACTTTGAATTTTTTTGCAATTGTTCCATTAGCTTCAGTTTTAGCATTTGCTACTGAAGAAATTAGTGAACATGTTGGACAAACAGTTGGTGGATTATTAAATGCTACATTTGGTAATGCAGTTGAATTGATTGTTTCTATTATTGCTTTAAAAGAAAATCAAGTCAGAATTGTTCAAGCTTCTATGTTGGGTAGTATTTTAAGTAATTTATTATTAGTTTTAGGTTGTTGTTTTGTTGCTGGTGGATTAACTAGAGTTCAACAAAATTTCAATCAAACTGTTGCTCAAACAATGGCAAGTTTAATGGCTTTAGCTACTGCTTCATTATTAATCCCAGCTGCTTTCCATGCTTCTTTGCCTTCTCCTAAAAAGAAAAATGGTTTTCCTGAACCAGGTAGTTCTGATGAATTGATTTTATATTTCTCAAGAGGTGTTTCTATTATTTTATTGTTTGTTTATTTGTTGTATTTATTGTTTTCTTTGAAAACTCACAAAGTATTATTTGAAGAAGATCCAACTCGTGAAGAAATTTTGAATTCTACAAATAATAATACCGGTCGTCATTCTTCAGATGACGTTTTAACTGGTCCAAAACAAGAAGAAGATCAACATTTAAGTATGACTGGTGGTTTGGTGGTTTTATTATTCACTACTATTTTAGTTTCTTTCTGTGCTGATTATTTGGTTGGTTCTATTGATGAAATTGTTGAAACTTCAGGATTATCTAAAACTTTTATTGGTTTAATTATTATTCCAATTGTTGGTAATGCAGCAGAACATGTTACTGCTATAGTTGTTGCCATGAAGGATAAAATGGATTTAGCAATTGGTGTTGCCATTGGTTCTTCTTTACAAATCGCTATATTTGTTACTCCATTTATGGTTTTGGTTGGTTGGATTATTGATGTTCCAATGTCTTTATATTTCTCCACATTTGAAACTGCAATTTTATTTGTCAGTGTTTTCATTGCCAATTTGGTTATTTTGGATGGTGAAAGTAATTGGTTAGAAGGTGCGATGTTGTTGAGTACTTATTTCATCATTGCTTTGGCTTTCTTTTATTATCCTGATGTAAATTAATCCAATCCTATCCAATCCAATCCAATCCAATCCAATCAATTAAAGTACTCTGTCATTTTTCTATATATCTGTAACTTTATTAAGATGTAAAAACAAAACAAATTACGAAGAATATATATATTCTTTCACGTGATCAGTATCAAATTAAGTTTCAAAGAGATCTCTAAGTAGTGGTCATTCAGCCACACACACACTCTCTCACACACACAGAGAGAGAGAGAGATATTACAATGTTCTAGATTGTTTATCTACTGAGCTTAAGTTTTAGTTAATTATTAACTGAATCAAGACAAAAGATCTTGAATACTACAAACAAAAACTTGTAAATCAAATCAAATAGATGTGTTTCAATAAAGAACCAAAAAGTAGAAACACTGTATAGAACGATGAGTGAGAGTGTTTTATTCAAAGCAATTGGACACATAATTCATTAATATTACATTCTTTGACGATGCTGTAATGAAATTTTGGTTGATTTGCATTTTGGGTGTATAAATATTTTATTGAAACATCCCGGAATGTATTAAGACCGTTGATCAATTCAACAAAGTCTGTTTTCTGTGATTTAAACCCAATTCAGAAATGATGTCTACGATTTATGTATTAGTTGAATACAGAATCATCTAAACAATCTTTCATGATACATGTGTTAAAAAGAACAAATATTTTCATTTAACTTAATGGAGTTGTCAATTGATTAAGTAAGGGGTGGATTATACAATTGAGTAAATAAAAAAAGAGATCAGCTTGTTGGGTTTAATGAATAAATGAGTTGTTAATGCAAGTAATTAATTATTTACTCAATTAAGGAATAATAGAATGTAAGAGAATATACAACTATGCTTGTACAACATGTTGCTGATAATTGATCATCATCATCATCATCATCATCATCATTCTTGTTCTTGTTCTTGTTCCTGTAGATGGTAGTGAAGTTGATGATATTTGGTTGCTCGCCTGAATTAGGCAAAAATAAAATTACAAGGCAGGAATAACAGTATAAGTAAGAGTAGGTGAGACCTAAAGAGGAAAGAGAGCAATGTACAGTATGTAGAGAGACAAAGGGGAAGGGGGCCAGCGAGTTTCAAAGAAAAAGATTTCTAACGTGTCGCATTTTTTTTTTTTTTGCTCTTTGTTTTCTTACACGTGTTGATGCAAAATGAGTTGTATAGAAGAGTGGTGTATTATTGACCAAACTAACTAAACGAAGGGATTTATACATGGTCATACATATACATTATGATAGTGATAGTGGCAAGTAATGATGAGTGGGTGATGGGCTAGAATCGAAGAAATAATTCGTGGAGAAGCATAAACAAACAAATACACAAATGACACGGTTTTATAATATTAACCCATAAATCTTGTGAGTGTGTCACAATTTAGAAATAAATAAATAAATAAATATAAAAGAAAAACAGGCACGAATTGTACATTACGAGGATTAAAAATATAAATTGTACTCTAAAAATTGACACAGTAATGAGGGATAAAAAGTTTGTAAACAAACCAATGTTTGTGCAACGGTTGTGTTACATCATTAAGGTGATTTTAATGAGCGTATAACAAACAATGAAATCCAACCGATGGAAGGGAAGGGAAGGGAAGGGAAGGGAAGCACACAGACTTGAAAAATAAAAAAAGATAATAAAACAATCGTCTAAAACCAGGGGCGAGACAAGAAGAGAAGAGACGAGAGGAGACAGGAGTAAGAGTATATGAGAGATAGAGGCTTGGTTGGTTATTTATTCTTGGTAAATATTAATGAGTTGGGTTTTTACTCACCTGCCCTGCGTTATTTAATAGTTTTACAGCTGCAAAAAAAAAGAAAAAGCAGAGGTAATGATTAGCTGGTTTTAGTTTATAAAGTTTTAATTCAATTTATAATATACTCATCATTCATTGGGAACTCTGTTTCGAAGTTGAAAGAAGAACCAGAACCAGAAGAAGAAGAAGAAGAAGAGAAAAAAAAAGTTTATTTGTTTGAAAGTGTATGCATAAACAAAGACAAATAAAACACGTCTTGTGTAATGTTTCATCATCATGGTTCCATCATTCACCATCATCTGTTGTTGATGTTACACGTTAAATTAAATAAAATTAAATTAAATTTGTGCACCAACACACGACCAGCCTATCTCTCCCCCTTTCGATGGGGTGAAGGTGTAGAAAAGACAACGCGAAAATAATTAAGCCTGCACATTTACACGACCCAGTTGTTAATATTATTTTCCTAATTTGGTATTGTAACTTTTTGGAGTAATTTTAAAAAAATAAAAAAAATTTTGCACCATTTTTTTTTTTTTTAATTTTCATCCATAATTCATATACATTTGTTGAAAACATATAAATATAATCTTATTTTTACAATTTCCTGTTTTTTTTTTTTTTAGTTTGGTTGTTGTTGTTGTTGTTAATAGTTTTAACCTTATATTCTTATTATTATTTATTATCTACCATTTTTATCCTCTTCTTTTTATTATTATTATTATTATTATCATTATTATTATTTGGGTTGTGTTTTGTCTTATATATATACATTTATATAAACCCATTCAAATCCCTTTCCATTGATCTTTTTTTTACCCCTAATATTACCTAGATCATTCAATCATTCATCCATTCATTCATTTAGTCAATTTAATCCAATTCCACTCAATTCATATAATACCATTTGAAAATCATGTCAGATAAAGAAGCTTTAAAAATCTTTTCAAGACAACCTGTATCACTGGATATGATTAATTTCTTAGTAGCTACTACTAATTCAATCATCCAAGTTAAACCACTGAAAAAGAAGCAACAGCAACGTCATCTTCATCATAATTTATCAACATCACGTATATTGTCCATTAATCCAACTATATCATTAACTAATTTCATTAAGAATCTTATTACTTATTCTAATGTTCAAACACCTACATTAATGGCAACATTAGTTTATTTAAATAAATTACGAAATTTATTACCTGCAAATGCAGTTGGTATGGAAACAACAAGACATCGTATATTTTTAAGTGCTTTAATTGTTGCTGCAAAATCACTTAATGATAGTTCACCATTAAATAAACATTGGACTAAATATACTGATGGATTATTAAATCTTGAAGAAGTTAATTTAGCTGAAAGAGAATTGATTAATATATTAAATTGGAATATAACTATTAAACAAGATGAATTAATTATAACTTTACAACCGTTTTTAATTGGTATAAAATCAAAATTATTACAACAACAAGAATTTGAATCATTACAAAGAATTAATTATTATAGATTATCTCAAAAATCTTCAAATTCAAATTATTCAATTGGTTCTTCAACTTATTCAATTGGTTCTTCTTCAACTTCATTAAATTCAAATTTATCTTTATCTCATTCAAATTCAAATGATTCTTTAAATACTGATGAATGTAATAATCATAATAATCATAATACTTTAAAAAGAATTCCATTAGCTAATAAATCAAATATTATGTTGAGTGGTAATAACAATAATGACAATAGTAATAGCAATACTAATGGTAATAATTTTAAACCAATGATTAAAAAGAAAAGATCAATAATGAGTTTTATAGGTCCTTCAACATCATCAACTACATCAATTAATAGAATAGTTGCTTAAGAAGAAGAAGGTTTGAATCCCTTGTTATTATCAATTATTATTATTATTATTCAATTCTATTTGCATTCTTTTTTTTTCAATTTCCTTTATTATATTCTTCAATTCTTTTTGGTTCTGTATAGTTTTTATGGTCTTTTTTTATATATTATTATTATTAGTAGTAGTATAGTAGTAGTTATTTTTTGGGGGGTATAGGATATTCAATTCAACAGTTATATTATATTATATTATGTTATATAATCTCACGATATCTTTATAGAATCATTTTATGATCCTCGGTTGATCCAACATCTATCTTAGTTTTTTGAAATTATCAATAAAAAAATGTTTTCTATTAAACAGAACCAATAATATTATTAAACCTACTTAAACAATGACGCCATTTTTTTTTTTCTTTTTTAATGATCATGTGGATCTTCCTTTGGTGGTTCAGGATGAACTTCAATAATAGTATCAATTCTTAAAATAGAAACACAAGCTTCTAATGCTGATTTTAATGATTTAATCTTTGATACTGTTGGTTCCAAAACACCATTAGTAGCTTCATTAACAATTTTACCATTAATTAAATCCAATCCATAATTCTTATACTTCCTACGTTTTTCATCATCAGTTTTAGCAATTTGTGCAGCAGCATGATAAGTTCTTAATTTGGCAACTAAATCACTAGCATCTTTAGCAGCATTCAGAGCTAATGTTTTTGGAATAACTAATAATGCATTGGCAAATTCAGCAATAGCCAATTGTTCACGAGATCCAACTGTAGTGGCAAAATTTTCCAAATAAATATTCAACGCGGTTTCAACAGCACCACCACCCGGAACAACATGTCCACTTTCCAATGTACGTTTAACAACAGAAAGAGAATCATGAATAGATCTTTGCATTTCATCCAAGGAGAAATCATTTGGTCCACGCAATATTATAGAACTTGATGAATGTTGTTTAGTACCTTTAATTAAAATACATTCATCATCACTAATTCTGGTTTGAACAACTTCTTCTGCTGATCCTAAATTAGATGATTCAAATGTTTCTTCACCTTCCAAATTAGATAAAGATGATACCAAAGTAGCACCAGTAGCACGTGCAATTCTTCTTAAATCTTCTTTTTTACAACGTCTAACAGCCATACAATCCTTTTCAACAAATTCTTTCAAACATAAATCATCAATACCTTTAGTTGTCAATATAACATTAGCTCCACTAGCTAAAATCTTTTGAATTCTTTCAATAATAATTCCATATTCTCTTTTTCTAATTTCTTCTAATTGATCTGGATCTTCAATATTGATTTGGACCCCCATGGCCATTCTAGCTTTTTGTAAATTAATATCCAAACAAGCAATTTTAGCATTCTTGATTGATTTAACCATAGCTTGAGAAGCAACAGTACAATTCAAAGCATAACCATCAACTAATACAGATTCTAAAGCAGATTTACCATGTGCTTTTAAAATATTAACTGCTTTAACAGGATATTTGGTTTCACCTTTACTATTGGTGGTTTTAACAGCCAACATAGCATCAACAACCATCTTACCAAAGAAATCAGAATCAGAACCAATGATTTTCGAACTCATTGAAGTTTTAGCAATATTAACAAGTGTTTCTTTACCCAATTGATCAACATTTTGTGATAATACTTGATTAATATATCTAATGGATTCTCTTAAAGCCAATCTATAACCACTGATAATTGTAGTTGGATGGATACCATGTCTAACTAATTCATGAGCACGTTTTAATAATTCAGCAGCAATGATAACTACACTAGTAGTACCATCACCAACCTCACGATCTTGTTGTTGAGCCAATTCAACAAGAATTTTACCTGCTGGATGTTGAACATCTAATAAAGATAAAATAGTAGCCCCATCATTTGTAACTGTAACATCACCAATATCATCAACTAACATTTTATCTAATCCAACTGGTCCTAAGGATGATTTAACAACATTGGCGACTGTTTGAGCTGCAAGAACAGTTTGAGTACGAACATCATCTCCACTAATCTTTTGTGCACCTAAAAACAAGGTATCTGGACGTGCAGTTGAAAACATTCTTATATCACTTTGAAATTTGCAATTGATAAAATAAACTGTATTGCTAATGTTAATAAGTGAAAGCTGGTTCTTTGATTCTTCTCAAGGAAAATTTTTCCACGCTTTGGAATTTTTTTTTCTTTCTTCTTCTTCCTTGTTGATTTCGTAGTGCGTGCGTGGATTCTAGCTTTGTCGCCCGTAGTGACGAGAAGGCAAAAGAAGGACATAGAAGAGTGGGTATGGAAACACCAATGAAGATGTGCAGAACTATATCCTACTTAATGTGACAAATAACGATGAGGGTTACAATTGATAGGTTAGGTTTACCATTGGACTGAGGTCAAGACAGTTGCACCTGGGAGAGATATACGTTCTGATTTTACTTAGTATGCAGTTTCTTACGGTGAAAATGAGAGCAGCTACTCTTTCTAACGAGACACATCTATATAGATAGCTAATACTTTTCTGAATTGGAAACAATCAACACTTGATAACTCTATGACAAGTATTAATTTGACAACATGTTTTATATAGGGCTGTAAAGAAAGAAAGAAAAAAATAAAAAATAAAAAACCCACAAATCGTAGGTGTCAGAAGATCGAGAGCCCAAACAGGACAGAAGAAAAAAAAAAAAAAATCAAAACAAAAACAAAACAAAAAACAAAAACATCGAACCATTCTTATTACAATCGAATCTCCAATCAATCGTTCTTTCAGTATTTGATTAATTATTCTTGTTAGCCATGTTGAGATATTGTGTTTTACCAGTTAGATCAATTGCATTCAAAGCTCCTGTGTTGAGTCAATTGAGATTATTATCAACCACTCCTGCTTTGTCCATGCCAGCTAAAGCTAAAGCTGAACCAAAGGCAAAGGCTAAAACTACAAAGCAAACCAAGACTGCTTCCAAATCCAAGGAATTGAGTACTGCTAAGAAACTTGCTGAAAAGATCAAGAAGGAAAAAGCAAAGCATAATACCATTCAAACTAAAATTAAAGATCACAATAACTATCTTAGACAATTAAGTAGAGAAAGAAAATTGGCTGAAGATGCTTCAAGAGGTCATCGTTCTTTAAATATTAGATCTTTCATTGCTAAAGCTTTCAAATTACCACCAACTTCACCTGAATTTGCTAGTAAATATGAAAGTTTGACTGAAGATGAATTGGAAAAACTCAAGGTTGCTGCTAAAGAATACAATGATAAATGTAGATCATTCTTTGTTGGTGATAAACCAACCAAACCAGCTACCAAATTTGCTTTGTATTTGAAAGAAAATTATGTTGTTGGAGAAAACCAAGATAGAGCTACTGTTATGGGTGAATTGGCTGCTCGTTGGAAATCTTTACCAGAATCCGAAAAGTTGAAATACACCATTAATTACGATCAAGAAGCTCGTAGAAAAGAAGTTGAAGATTGGAAACAAACAAGAATTAACCAATACAAACAATATTTGGATTTCAAAAAGAACTATGAATACAAATTCTAATTATTTTATAATATGAAAGTTAAACAAGGAGTTTAAAAGTTCGAATGCAATTTAAATCAAGTCTTCTGTTGTTATTAAGCTAAACATCAATAAATGTATAAGATTAGAATATATGATTATCTTTATCTGTAATGAGGTTGCAATTATTTGCATATTAGAGTAGAAGTAAGTTTTCACACAGAATTCGGGGATTTTCTGTGGTAAAAAAAAAAAAAAAAGAAACAACAACTGGTGGTCTAGATATCACGTGAGACCCAAATTAAAGTTATAATCAAACTCATATGCTCAATTTATTTCAAAAAATCTTTCTTCTACCGTATGTTAATGCACCGTGTTTAAATATATGAGATTTATTTGTGTATTGTATTGTACTGGTAGTTAATATTAATTTTTACATAATGATGAATAATGGATTGTTGTCTCTCTCTCTCACCCTCTCTCTCTTACTCATTTATATTTTTTTTTTTCCGTTTTTTCGGGCGGAGTTGGTGGCGCTGGTGGTAATTGACGCGGACATGGATATGGACATGGACATGGTGGTATTGCCTCCTATTTTTTTTTTTTCTTTTTTTAATATTTCATAAAAAATGTTGAGCTGTACACGACCACATAATATAAACTTTCTTTCTTTCTTTTTCTCTCTTTAATATTATGTAACAAAAAATTTCCCTTTCTTTCTTTTATTTTTATTTTAATATCAATTTACTTTTCTTTTATATCTACAAAACAAGGTTTACTAATTGCCTCCCAAATATATTATCAAGTGACTTGACAGATTAAATAACAAAAAAAAAACTTATTCCTCATTTGCTATTATAGATATATACAACCAACATGTTCAAATTCAAAAATAAATTGAAGTTTGGTACTTCGTCCTCGGAAAAACAAGCCTCGTCTCATACACCAACACCCACTCAGACACCACCACCTCCAGGTTCAGCATCTTCTAGTAGTTCCACTCATCAGAATGGAGGCAACTCATCTGAGAATAACCAACCACCAAGGCAATCTACTGATTCTAGAAATACAATATCTGCTAATGATTTAGCTGACGATGTCTCGAAATTAACGGTTAATACTGATGGATCACCAGAAAAGGCATCCACTTTGAATAGTAAAAATGATCGTGAATCTGCTTCTTCATCTTCACATCAACAATCATCTAGTACTGCCACTAGTACAACAGTTGCTGATTCAAATCAAAATTCCATGTTTAATTCATCTCCAACTTCATCTCAAGCAACTTCATCACAAGTTTCAAGTGGTTCAGATCAACAACTGGGTCATCCTGCATCTCCCGGTTTGTTAACTGTGAAGATTTATGGATCCCAAAATGTTCAATTACCTATCAAGATCAACAATTCAAAACAAATATTGCATGCATTAGCAATTAATGCAAATAATGAAACAGTGGGACAAAAATTGTTGAAAAGTTTAACTTCATTGGAAAAAGAAAGCAATGATATTGGTGATTTTTTATCTGGAGCAATAGCATCAAGCTTTCTTCCTTCAATTATAACCATTCCAAATGCTGAGAATTTAGTCAAATCTTTACTTTATTTGACTATAGAATTTGATAACAATGTTTTGGTTATTGAACCACAAAAGGGGACAGTCAACCAATCTACTTGGAATCAAGTTGTATCATTTGATGTTTCTCAAAAATCTCAACAAGAAAGTGGAGTAGGTTCTAATTTCTTGAATCTTAACTTGTTTATAAGATTGCCAAATATGTTGATTCCGGAAAATGAAAAGTCAAATAAAAAACATTTATTTACTAATTTCCAACAAGGACACCAAGGCGGAGAATCCGGAGCTAATATTGGTGATTTATTGATTGGTACTATCAAGTTACCATTGAATTTGAAATGTCATACTCAACAAATTAGATTAATGAATCATGAATATTTGAAATTCTCCAACTATAATGCTAATCTACAAGACCTGATTTCTAATGATATGGGTGAGATCATGCTTACCATTGAATTTAAACCATTAACCAAGAAACGTCTTTCTATTGAAGATTTTGATTTATTAAAACTTCTTGGAAGAGGGTCATTTGGTAAAGTTATGCAAGTTGTCAAGAAGGACACCAAACAAATTTATGCGTTGAAGATTATTCGTAAACAACATATTGTTTCTCGACTGGAAGTTACTCATACTTTAGCTGAAAGAACTGTTTTGGCAAGAATCAACAATCCATTTATTGTTCCATTGAAATTTTCATTCCAATCTCCAGAGAAATTATACTTGGTATTATCATTTATCAATGGTGGTGAATTATTCTGGCATTTACAACGTGAAGGTAAATTTTCTATGGATAGATCACGTTTCTATATTGCAGAATTGTTAACTGCATTAGAAAGTTTACATGAATTGAATGTTATTTATCGTGATGTTAAACCAGAGAATATTTTATTGGATTATCAAGGTCATATTGCACTTTGTGATTTTGGATTATGTAAATTAAACATGAGTAATGATGATAAAACAAATACATTCTGTGGTACTCCTGAATATTTGGCACCTGAATTATTGTTGAACCAAGGATACACTAGAAGTGTAGATTGGTGGACTTTGGGGACATTATTGTATGAAATGCTTACTGGATTACCACCATTTTATGACGATGATGTTCCAACAATGTATAAAAAGATATTACAAAATACTTTAAGATTTCCTACATTTTTAGAAGGTACTGATGCTCAAGATTTATTGATTAAATTATTACAAAAGGATCCAAGTTTAAGATTAGATGAAGCTTCTGAAATTAAGAGTCATCCATTTTTCAAAGATATTGATTGGAATAAATTGTTAAATAAGAGTTATTTACCACCATTTAAACCAAATGTTGAGAATTTATTAGATACTTCGAATTTTGATCCTGATTTCACTAATGAAAAACCTCAAGATTCAGTTGTCGATGACTTTTTAACTGAAAGTGTTCAAAAACAATTTGGTGGATGGACTTATAACGGTGATAACGTTTTATAGTAGTCAAGGGACATTGTTAACTAATGTATAGATGACAAATAATAAAATTAATAATGAAAAAAAGAAATACATTGTATACTGATAAATAAACCTATCTCTTGATAAACTATTTATTTGCAGCATTATGATAAGTAGCACCACTACGACCAGGGAAACCTTTATTTGATTTATTTTTAGGATTAACATGACCAGGATTTAAAGGTACATTATGATTATTTGGGAAATCCCCACGTTTAAATCTTTCTGGTTCATTAGCTAAATATTCTTGATATTGAGGATTTAAATGTTCAGGAGGAGATAAAGTAATATTTACTTTATCAGGTTTAATTTTATAAACATTTGGATCTTGTAATGGATCAATAGGTTGTTGAGGACGTGAATAATTATTAGGTTCTTGTTGTTGCTGTTGTTGTTGTGGTGGTGGTGGTCGATCATATGGATTTTGTTGTGATTGGATTTCTTCATATGGTGGTGGAGCATCTGATGGATGCTGACTTTGATTAGATTTGGAATTCTTTTCCCATTGTAACTTTTCACTCATTTTAAGCAGATATTAGATAAATTGATAGAAGGAAATGGTGGTGGTTTATTTTTTGCCATTTATGTGTAGAGAAGATAAATTGATAAAATTGCGACCGCATGGCTTTATGACAATAATTCATGACTACGACATACGCGACACGAGTACGACATTTGTCTCTCAAGGAGGAATCAATTTTTTTTTTTTACCAGTGAGAGAAAGAGAGAAAGAGAGAGATGAAAAATTTTCTTACCGAGTTAAATTAATATGAAGAATAGATCTTGATTGGTGATTGATATACTCCATTATTTATTTATATATACACACATACAAGATGTTCAACCCATTAAATAAATCTACACCAAGTATATTCAAGATTTTCACTCGTGGGAAGAGAGTCACTAGTACCCTTAACGTGGCTACTCAAAAAATAGTCAATCAATTGTCTGTTTTATCAGCCAGTAGGAAACAACCAAAACTTTTAAGATTATGTAAAGAAGATATTATTAAACATAAAACTATTATGAATGCTTGGAAATTGTTAAAACGTAGAAGAGTTACTAAACAAATGGATCAATTATCTAAACAATATAATAGTATTCAAAATGCTATGGAAGATTTGAAAACTACTAGTCCTCAATTATACCAAGCTGCTAATGCTAAAGATAATAAACGTTTTACAACTTTTCCTATTGAAATGAGAGTTCCTACTGATTTCCCACCAAATAAGCCATGGATTTATAATTATGCTCCAAAAAGACAAACTCGTAAATAGTTTACTAGATTCATCAAACATTGTAAATAGATACTGTTAAATACAATAATACATATATGTATATATATATATATACTTAAAATATATCTATTCATTTATCATCAAAAGTCCTTGCTTTTCTTTTACGACTTGATGTCCCTCCACTACTTGGAGTTTCTGATCTTTCTATACTATTAGCTTTTTTTTCTAAACCTGCTGTAGCTGGATCAACCGAATCTTCATAATCATCAAAATCATCTTTTGTTGTAGTTGAAGTTCCATTTATACTTTGACCTTGTTTTTTCAACATTTGTTTGATATAATTAACTGAACTTAAACTGAAAATATGATCATCATCAGTATAAACAACTCTTCTTTTATTAGAATTACCACTACCACCACTTGTTTTAGTAATATTTTCAAATCCTTTAATAATATTACCTAATGGACTATCTTCAAAATATTCAACTTCTTTTTGATATATAGTATCTTCTAAATTTGAAAGTTTCTTAGATAATTCTTGTTTTTTAAGAATTTGTTGTACTAGTTTCTTCCTTAGTTCATCATACTTTTCAGTATTCTTTGTTGTTGTCGTCGTTGTCGTTGTTGATGTTGTTGTTGATGGTGAAGATGATGCATTGGCTTCTTTGGATGTAGATGGGTCTTTCTTGACTACAGCACCTTCTTGTTTTGTTTGTGGCTCTGTTTTAGTTGTCGGTAGATTAGAATCTTTTGATTTACTAGGCAGTGCTTTAACATCTTTTGAGTCTTTAGTTGACATAATGATGATGATTATGATGATGGATTCAACTTGATCAATATCAGTTATTCTATGGGTCTACCGAAAACGTGAAAAAAAATGAAAACAAACCAAACAAAAAAAAAATAATCCAGCCAACAACTGCACGACATTGTCGCAGAAGATAAATGTCGTAACCACTAACTTTGTGGAAAAAGTACACGCATCGAATCAATGGAATAACCCCGGAGGTCAGTCGCCACTTCGGAGCATAAGAAAAGCAAAAACTAAAACAGGTTCCAATCACATGACTTTATGCAGAAAATTTTGCAGTCCGAGCTGGCTTCCCCTGTTTTTTTTTCTTTGGCCAACACATTTGATCTGAGACACTGTATTAGTTAAAGACAAGAAAGTGATGATGTAATTGTAGCAATTAGGGATGAATTGACCTCAATTGACCTCAATTGAATGTATAGAGACCAAAAAGTAATTGTTCATAATCAATTGCGATTCCATTGTATAGCAGAAATCGTTGACTGCCAAAAAAAAAAAAATAGAAATCCTTTAAACCGTAAGCGGTATGAAAGAAGAACAATAAAAACGAGTCACCTGGGGATTAGAGAATATTTTCTTAGAATTAAAGAATAAACCGGGACTTCAAAAACGAGTTCAGATCTGTAATAAATACCAATTGTGTGTATGGATATTCAGGTGATATCATAACTAAACAAGAGAAAATGAAAGAAACCCAACGAACAGGGGACAAAGAAAAAAGAGCAAGAACAGTACCACAGAATTTTTAATTTGGAGTATAAGGTGACCATGAGAATTGACGTTATTTTTGATCCAACTGTTGTGTGAGTGAGTGAATGAGTGTGACATTCACCTGATGGTTTTTCAATCACCACCACCACCACCAAAAAAAAAAAAAAAAAAATTAATACCGCAGTGGACCACACGCCCACAGTATTGAGTGGATAGAACAAGAACAACAGGTGAAGCAAAAAAAAAAAAAAAAATGAAAAAAAAAAAAAAGATCGGGAAGTTGTGTTCCAGTTTGCGGTGGATGTCACACCCAGACACCAATACCACAGGGCGATTTTGTGGTGCGTCGATGTGCACCGTCAGGTTATACAGAGAAATTTTTCAAGACACACACAACGATCCCACCCACCCTTTCCATGTCTTACTCCCACCTTATTGTGAGTGAGTGAGTGAGTGAGTGTGTGTGCAATTGTTTTCAGTAATTGCGATTTTTCTAAAATTTAATATATAAATCACCATTATCCCTCCCGTAAAAACTCAATTGTTATTTTTATTTTCTTTTTCTTTTTCTTCTTTTCTTCTACATCAAGTTTTCAATAACTGATAATCACATCAAATCACATATTTACTACAATGTCCTTCGCCACTAAAGTCCACGCTAGATCTGTCTACGACTCCAGAGGTAACCCAACTGTTGAAGTTGACTTAACCACTGAAAAAGGTTTATTCAGAGCCATTGTTCCATCTGGTGCTTCCACTGGTATCCACGAAGCTTTGGAATTGAGAGATGGTGACAAATCTAAATGGTTAGGTAAAGGTGTTTTGAAAGCCGTTGCCAACGTTAACGACATCATTGCCCCAGCTTTAGTTAACGCTAAAATTGATGTCAACGACCAAGCTAAAGTTGATGAATTCTTGTTGAGCTTGGACGGTACCCCAAACAAATCCAAATTGGGTGCTAACGCCATCTTGGGTGTTTCCTTAGCTGCTGCCAACGCTGCTGCTGCTTCCCAAGGTATTCCATTGTACCAACACATTGCTAACATCTCCAAGGCCAAGAAAGGTAAATTCGTTTTGCCAGTTCCATTCCAAAACGTCTTGAACGGTGGTTCCCACGCTGGTGGTGCTTTGGCTTTCCAAGAATTTATGATTGTTCCAAGTGGTGTTGACACCTTCTCTGAAGCCATGAGAATTGGTTCTGAAGTTTACCACAACTTGAAATCCTTGGCCAAGAAAACTTACGGTCAATCCGCTGGTAACGTCGGTGACGAAGGTGGTGTTGCTCCAGATATCAAAACTCCAAAAGAAGCTTTGGACTTGATTGTCACTGCTATTGAACAAGCTGGTCACACCGGTAAAGTTAACATTGCTATGGATGTTGCTTCTTCTGAATTCTACAAGGATGGTAAATACGACTTGGACTTCAAAAACCCTAACTCCGACTCTTCTAAATGGTTGACTGGTCCACAATTAGCTGACTTGTACGAACAATTGATTGCTGAATACCCAATTGTTTCTATTGAAGATCCATTTGCTGAAGATGACTGGGATGCTTGGGTCCACTTCTACCAAAAAGTTGGTGACAAGATCCAAATTGTTGGTGATGATTTGACTGTTACCAACCCAATCAGAATTAAGACCGCCATTGAAAAGAAGGCTGCTAACGCTTTGTTGTTGAAGGTTAACCAAATCGGTACTTTGACTGAATCCATCCAAGCTGCTAACGACTCTTACGCTGCCGGTTGGGGTGTTATGGTTTCCCACAGATCTGGTGAAACCGAAGATACCTTCATTGCTGACTTGTCTGTCGGTTTAAGATCTGGTCAAATTAAGACTGGTGCTCCAGCTAGATCTGAAAGATTGGCTAAATTGAACCAAATCTTGAGAATTGAAGAATCTTTGGGTGCTGATGCCATCTACGCCGGTAAAGATTTCCACACTGCTCACCAATTATAAGTAAGATAAGATTAGTATGATTTTTTTTTAGAAAAAATGGGATACTAGTTATTCGTTTTTTTTAATTAATTCAGTGATCTCTTATTTAGGTTTTATATAATTAAATTTTGACAATTAAATGTAATGTGATTTTTTTTTGACAGTTTCGTAAATTACAATAATCTTCGGAGATGTCTTTGCTGTTGCCGTTCTCTCTCTCTCTGTCTCTTTCTTTCGGTTGTGTCGTTCCTCATACGAGGTACATGAAGTATTTTCAACTCCGTGTGTGTGTATGTATTTATAATATTAAGATGATCTATTTAAACATAGTCTTTTACAATTGAATCAAGACTTTCAAACAATCTTTCTGTAGCATAATAAGTTTCAGTAAATGTATTGTACAATGGTAATGGTGCCAATCTAATAACATCTGGTCGTCTTTCATCACAAATAATAGCATGATCATGTAAATATGCATTAACCCTTTCCATTACATTTCTAGATCTATCATCAAAATGAGGTTGGAATAATATCGACAATTGGCACCCTCTTTCTTCTTTATTCAAAGGAGTTAAAATCTTGAATCCAAATTTCTTGTCATCAGTATCATCTTGAGGAATATAATATTTTGACTTAGTTAATCTATCTTGTAAGAACTGAGTCAATACTATACTTTTTTCTCTAAGTTTTGAAACACCACCAACTTTAGCAAATACTTCTAATGATGATTTAACTGCAACAACATCAATAACAGAAGGATTTGATTGTCTATAAGAAAGAGCAGAATTAATTGGATCAAATTCTTCCAACATTTTAAATCTTTCTTGTGAATTATTCCCCCACCATCCAGCTAATCTTGGATTAAAATTATCTTTAGAATTATCTTTGGTATATTTTTCATTAACAAAAATACCAGCAATTGCACCAGGGCCAGAATTTAAATATTTATAAGAACACCAAGCAGCAAAATCAGCTCCCCAATCATGTAATTTTAATGGTACATTACCTACAGCATGTGCTAAATCCCACCCCACTTTAATATCATTATTTTTCAGTTTGATATATTTGGTAATTTTTTCAATTTGAAAATATTGTCCTGTGTAATATTGTATACCTGGGAAACAAACCAATGCTAATTCATCGATATTTTCATCAATTGATTTAATTATATTTTCAGTTTTAATATAAGTTTCACCAATTTCTGGTTCCAATTGAATTAAATGATCTTCATCATATCCAAATAATTTTACCATATTAAGAAAAGCATAATAATCAGAAGGAAATGCTCTTTTTTCAAACATGATTTTTGTTCTTTTACCATTTGGTTTATAAAAATGAATCAACAATGCATTTAAATTAGAAGTTAATGAACCCATTATAGCAACTTCATTTTCTTTACCTCCAACAATAGGTGAAATTAAAGGTAATAAAGGTAAATCGATATCTACCCAAGAAGTCAATGATTTATCAGGATGATTAAAATGTGATTCAACTCCTCTTTCAACCCATGCATTTAATTCATCATTAATTGCTTTTTTTGTTTGTTTCGGCATTAATCCTAATGAATTCCCACATAAATAAATTGATTCTGTTGTTGGTTCATATTTTTCATTCTTAATTCCAAGAGATTTAAAAGTTGGAATGGCAAATTCCTCCTTATAAGTTGGAAATTTCAAATCTAATTGTCTAGCTTCTTCTAAAGACATGTCTTAACGGAGTGGGCAGAAATATTGATGAAAAATTTCAAATAGCTAAGTGGGAAATAGATCTGATTGGGAAAAAAAAAAGAAAACTCAAATATCACCAACGAACAAAAAGGAAGGTCAAACAGAGGAAAAAAAAAGGATTTATCAGTTAGTGGTATGAAAATCCAACTTGCCGTTCGCTTTTTATTATTATACTAGTTAGTACTCAATTTCTAGACTATGATTCATTCTGTTTTGATATGTATGTATTCTTGATGATACCTCCTATCTTGATTGGAAAAAAGTTTTATCAACTAACCAATCTTACCTAGTTAACAATGATGGTCTTCCTCGTTTAATGAAGTTTTATACTAAAGTTGATATCCCCACCCAAAAACTATTGTTACAACAAGTTCACCAATTGATCTCGGTTCGATCTGCACAAGAATGTTCATTTATAACTCCACCTTCATTATTAGAAGACATGGATGATATTAAAGTGATATATCGTCATTATGCAACATTATATTTTGTATTTATTGTAGATGATCAAGAATCAGAATTGGGTATATTGGATTTGATTCAAGTATTTGTTGAATGTTTAGATAAATGTTTTACTAATGTATGTGAATTGGATTTAGTATTTGGATGGCAAGTTTTACAAACTGTTTTAGAAGAGATTGTACAAGGTGGAATGGTTATAGATACAAATATTAATCGAATCGTGGCAGCTGTGGATGAAGCCAACAGTCAAAAGAATGGGAATACCAATGGAAATACAATCAGTGCATCTATACTACTGTCATTATCAAGAGACAGAGGATTCTGGGGTAGGTAGTTGAAAGAAATCACGCAATATATACATACATACAAGACAAATAAATAAATAATTAAATAAATAAATAGAAAAAAATGATTTATGTAAATTTAAAAGAATTTCCACCATGATGAATTCTTCTTTTTCTTTTCTGATAACAATCTTTCAGCTTCTTCAACTTCCAAATTAGCTTTAGCGATTTCTTGTTTTTGTTGATTTTCAAATTTTTCTTTATGAAATAATTCAGCATCAACAAGTTGCATAGACAAGTTTCTTTGTTCTTTTTCAAATGGGGATCCAATAGGACCAGCTTTCCAAACAGGATCATTTGAAGAAGAAGTCTTCTTGACAATTTCCATTAATTTCTGTTGTTCAGCTTCTCTTAATTCTTTATTTCTTTCATAATGTTCTCTTACTTCTGGTGAAAAACTAGCAATTAATTGTTCATCAGTTGGTCTAATAGTATAATATAATAAGAATCCAGTACCCACTAAACAACCTCCAGCAAAATAAACCCTGGCCCATCTATACCATAATGGTTTGACAGATGACATTTTTTTTTGGTTGTTTGTTTAAATTGATAATGCAAAGAGTAGTCCTCCGATAGTTGAATGAGGAGATGTTACCATGATCTTTTTGTTCGCTATGTTTGTCTCCCTCCCTCGCTCACTCACCACGTACACCCATCTTTCATTAGGGGGAAGGAAGGGGAGGGCAACGGGGCACCGAGACAGAGGAATGAGGAAAAGAAATGTTCGTGCGGTATGTGCAGTATATTTTAAATTTCTCACCTACTCCATCTCGAAATAAAGTATGGGAGATGGTCAATCAGCAGGTGGCTTTACCTTTTGATAAACAAACAAACAAATACAAAAAAATGGGTTAATTAATTAACTACTAAAAAAAAAAAAATGGTGCAATCTTGAGAGTACATGCTGCAAGGATAAAGATGAGACGTGTGACGTGATGTATGTAGGTGGCAATCATTCACAAGAAGATTGAGTTGTAAAGCCCACACAGCCGGGAAGAAGAAGAAGAACAGTCTCCTAGTGGTTGCTAAAAAAAAATATAAGAATTAAACCTGTATTAAGCGCATGTTTAACTGTAAGCAAGTGAACGTGACTTGGATCCCAAATGGATCAAATTCCGCCGAATGTGTAACCGTGCTAAACCCGTAGCCCACTCAATTACAATAGACGCCAACAAAAAAAAAAAAAAGAAAAATCTTTGGCTGCATGATTGTTGAACCCAAAACAACAAACAAACAGCGGGAACGAGGTAAACGACGCACACAATGAAATTATAGTTTTGCTTTCTTATTTGTGTACCAGATTTACACTACTCCTGTTTCTCTATCAGCCAATATTGCCCTTGTTTTCCTAGTGTTAAAGAATTGACCAGATCAGTTCTGTATCAAGATTTAAAACACAACCCCTATTATCATCATCAGAATCATCATTTTACGGAAGAAGGAGAATTTTTTTTTGTCTTTTTTTGGCTTTTGTTTCTTCTTTCCCAAATATTTTTTCATAGCCACTTTCACGGTTTGTTTCTAATATTATTTTTATACCATTTTCGAAGGGTAGGAATTTTTTTTTTTCAATATTCAACTTTATATATAAGATTGATAAATCCCTAAATCGTTCCTTTCGTTTAGATTTATTATTAAAGAAATTTATCTTATCAACAAATCAATAAATAATAACTATCATTACCACTACCATCACTATCATCACTACCATCATCATTATAGCCTAGTGGTATAATTCATTTCCTTTTTTTTTTTTCAACAAAAAGAAAAATCATAACTATAAATCATTTTATATAAATCCAAATGACAGTCAAACAAGAGTCGGCCAATTCAACATTCAATGCCCTCGATATCGCGTTTGGTGAAAATGACGCGTCACTTTCAAAAGCAACCATGGCTCCATCCATGATTCCTAGAAAACAATCCAAATCATCTACTGGTAAACGAAAATATCATCAAAAATCCAGAAATGGGTGTTCAACCTGTAAAAGAAGACGTGTCAAATGTGATGAACAAAAACCTGTATGTGGAAACTGTACCAAGTTAAAACTCGACTGTGGTTATCTTCATGTTACAGCAGATGATATTGAAGCTAACAAAAAATCAGAAGCTAATGGCCCACAACCAAAGAAGAGAAAGAGAAAATCATCCCTGAGTCTTGATTTACCTATGAGTGGAACAACAACACAACAAGCAACCCCATCTATGACACCAAGTCCAGAAGCTACCGCCACTACAAATGCTGCCAAGATGAATATCCCTTCTTTACCACAATTAAACCCATTAAATGCATTGTCTTCAGGACTTTTAAGTGCAGGGAATTTGAACAATTTGAATATTGCTCATTTGGTGAATAATCTTTCAGGTTTAGGGGATTTAAGTAATCTCACAAGTCTCGGTAATTTAGCAAGTCTATCGAATTTGGCAACGTTGGCTCAATTACCAATAGATTTGAGTAATTTGGGTGCTTTGTTGGATCCTCTGATGGCAAACAATCTTGCTGCAACTGCCTTGGGAGGAAATACCCCTACATCCATTCCAACGAATATCAACGCTCAACAAAATGGATTTGATTCAAGAAAATCACTGGCAGTATCTGATTTGCAACAATCTTCAATTCAACAACAACAACAACAATCTCAGATGCCGCTCCCACCGCAACAGCAACAGCAAGCCCCATCTCAACCACAAGCACAAGCGCAAGCACAATCACAAGCACAATCGCAACCACGTCCACAACAGCAACAGCAACCACCACCACAGTCACAGCAACAATCACCGACAATGCAAATGGGCAATAGCCCCATTCAACATCACCTTCAACCAACATTGGCTTCACAGCTGGATTTGCCGGGAATGAACTATCCAGGATGTACTCCAAGTACGACCACAAGAAATCCTTTTGCAACAGCAGCTTCAACTTCTTCAACTAACAATATTGGAACTATGCCTACATCATCTGCTGATGGTACTGCTGGAACCTCAGCGAAATCTATACCTAATATTTCACCGAATACTACACATTCTACAAATCCATTGAACAATCCTCTTTCACAAGGAATGCAAACAAGTCTTAATATGCTTGATTTGAAATTAATGTTCCATTATACTTCACAGGTTGCGAATACTATCACCGGTGCTGGTATTTCGGAGACTAACATCTGGAACCATGATATTCCATTATTAGCCTTTGAACACCCCTTTTTAATGCATTCAATATTAGCCTTTAGTGCTACTCACTTGTCAAGAACTGAAAAGGGGTTAGATCAATGTGTTACTTCCCATCGTGGTGATGCCTTGCGATTATTGCGTGAGGCGGTATTGAATATCAATGCGGATAACACGGACGCATTAGTTGCTAGTGCATTGATCTTAATTATGGATTCATTGGCAAATGCATCTTTCCCTTCGTCAACATCTCCTAAATCTTTACCTGCTTCTGCATGGATTTTCCATGTTAAAGGTGCAGCCACTATTTTGACTGCCGTATGGCCATTAACCGAAGCATCCAGATTCTATAAGTTCATTTCAGTTGATTTGGGAGATTTAGGAGATATAATCAACCAAGGAGTCAATTCAAATAAACCAAAGGGTATTGATCGTGAAGGAGCTTCTTATTACACAGATTTGGAATGTCACGATGCTGATATTGCTGATTTATATCCGGTTAAGATTGATTCTCCTTATTTAATCACCCTCGCCTATTTGAATAAATTACACAAGGAAAGATACAAGTCTGACTTTATATTACGAATCTTTGCCTTTCCAGCACTTTTGGACAAACAGTTTATGGCATTATTAATGTCTGGGGACGTCAAGGCTATGAGAATCATGAGAAGCTATTACAAGTTGTTGCGTTCTTTCACTACTGAAATGAAGGATAAAGTCTGGTTTTTGGAAGGAGTTTCGCTGGTATTACCAGTTAATGTTGAAGAATATGCTGGTGGAGCTGGAGGTATGCACATGATGATGGATTTCCTTGGTGGAGGGCCAGCGATTATTGATGATCATGAAATTGATAAAGAAATGACGAAATTCGATCCAAATGGATCACTTACTAATAAATTAATTGATACGAATAATTTACCTAGTGATATAACAAGCAATTTAGATATCATGCAAGGAGATACGGGGTTCATGAACTTGAAATAGGATAAATTTATATATGACTGATACTACTTTAATAATTAATATAATACACAACTATGTACATATAAGAAGTAATCACAATAGGTATTGTAAATTAGAGACAAAAAAAGAAAAAGCAAAATAAATCGAAAATCGTATAATAGAGTTTACTTTTTAAGCACATGCATAAAGAGATAAGTGTGGATACTAGAACTCATACTTTTTATTTTTAAAAACCAGCAAGATATCAATGTAATACTACTAACACTGAATCTTTCATGTAAGTCTAATAATAATAATAATAATAATACTACTAGTAATAACAATAATAATACCAATGTTACATTAACCATTCTTATGTATGGTTATATCGATTTCTCAAAATGCTCACAAACAAAATCAATCAATCAATCAAAAAAAAAGAGGTCGTGCATATTGGTAGTTTTATTTTTTCTTTTCGCACTGAGAAATTTGAAGAAAAAAAAAATTTTTTTTATGTTCAAATAAAAACACAACACACGATAAACCAAAAATAAAAAAAAACTCAGAGGATTGCTTATTAGTTCTTTAAATTTTGTTTTCTTTTTTACGTTATTTTGATTTTTTCATTTTTGCCTGATACTATCATCATCATTATACATTATTCATTAGCGTTTTATCTTAGACTCACTTTCCATTTCTTCTTCATTTAATTGAGTACTTTTTAGTTGTTGTTTGTTTCATTCATTCATTCTGGTTTTTATTTTTTTTTTTTTTCTCAGGGATTTAAGGTGTTGATTTAGACTTTATATCATATTCATTATCAAAGAAAAAGAGAGAAACATATAGAAACGTATACATCATCTTTTCTGATATTATTGTTGTTGTTTCTTTTTTTTTTTAGTTAATCAAATCCATTCTTAATCATTAGTTGACGTATCAATAATCGGAAACAAAAGAAAAATTTAAAGAGATACATTATAAATAAATAATATAAAAGATGCAAACCATAAAATGTGTTGTTGTCGGCGATGGTGCCGTTGGTAAAACCTGTTTATTAATTTCATATACTACTAGTAAATTCCCAGCTGATTATGTTCCAACCGTGTTTGATAATTATGCAGTCACAGTCATGATAGGTGATGAACCATTTACTTTGGGATTATTTGATACCGCAGGACAAGAAGATTACGATAGATTAAGACCTTTGTCATATCCATCTACTGATGTTTTCCTTGTTTGTTTTTCAGTTATTTCCCCAGCCTCATTTGAGAATGTTAAAGAAAAATGGTTTCCTGAAGTTCACCATCATTGTCCAGGTGTTCCTATAATTATTGTTGGTACCCAAACAGATTTAAGAAATGATGAAGTTATTTTGCAAAGATTACATAGACAAAAATTGTCTCCAATTACTCAAGATCAAGGTGAAAAGTTGGCTAAAGAATTGAGAGCTGTCAAATATGTTGAATGTTCTGCATTAACTCAAAGAGGATTGAAAACCGTATTTGATGAAGCTATTGTTGCTGCATTAGAACCTCCTGTCATTAAGAAATCAAAGAAATGTACTATCTTGTAAGAAATGACAGCAGAGTTAAATAATTTTTATTGGAAATAGGGCATTATTATTAAATCAGATATTGAATATCTAAGTTTATCTTTTTTTTTATTATTATTACTACTTGTTTGTTGATTTTGATAACAAGATCTACTCTTTTATATTATTTTAATTGTTATTAGATTGAATCTTTCGTTGATAATAAGTTAGTCTTGCTATCGGAATAGTCATATGTAGATTTCACTACTACGACTATTATTACATCTCTTGGTTATAGACCATACAAGAATGATGATCTCCTACACCGTACGGGAGGCAACATGGTACAGCGAGAGTAGGAGGAGTAGGACGAAGTCGACGACGCGTGGGATTCGCGGTTTTTTTTTTTGTTTTTACAACAACAACAACAATAGGGAGAAAACTACATCATGTCTCTTTCTTTTTTTTTCTTCATTTGTTTTGATTTTTCTTATTCCTGACAGATTTTACAACCAACCCATTTGAGAGGATTGATTTCTGATTGTAATTGTTATTCTATTGAATTAAATTGAATATGAATATGAATGACACCACTGATAGTCGTACAATGTCTTCTGTTTACCCAGTTTCAAATTCCGAAAGAAAATCAACCGTGCTACAAGAAACACCACACAATATAATGAATAGATCACCAAGAGGAGACAAGAAGTTTGTCGGTGGTGGTGAACAAGAGAGTCGAAAAAGAGCAGCTGTAAGTCCTATAAAGTCAATAAATGAACCAGTACGTCGAAAGTTAGATAAAGATGTTGGCATAGATTGGAATGATCAAGAACCTGCCATGGTTGCTGATGTTGCTGCTGAATTGGATTATCAAAATTGGTTATTGGAAAGACGTTTAGAACAAACTAAAGAAATAAGTGAATTTCTAATGATGGAACGACAATTCTCTAAACTAGATTAGTTAATCAATAAAGAACGTGTATATACATATACTGCATATTAAAAATATCTATTTGGTACTTCTAGTGTTTTTAAAATATTGGGCTAATTTAGAATCATCGGCATCAAAATATTTTCCATCTCTTGAATTAATCCAATCATTATGTCTTTGACTCATTTTAACTTTTTCATCTTCTCTTGTTCCTCTTCTTGTTAAATCTTGATTTAGCCAATATAATGCCAATGGATGTAATGATTCCGCTTTACCAACAATGATTTTATCCTTTCCAACCTCTACTTTACCATTATCATCAACAAATTCTATATCTTTAATATTAACATCATTTAATTTAACACCAGCATCTATATGAATAACTCTATCACACCATTTATGACCTAACCCATCGAAAATATGAGTTGCATAAACAACAGTACAATTTCTAGTAATACATTCTTGTTTCAAATATTCCAATAATTTCAGTCTAACAACAACATCTAAATCAATAGTAACTTCATCTAATAATAACAATTTCCAAGGTTTAACCAAACCCATAGCAATTTGTACACGACGTCTTTCACCATCACTTATATTCAACATTGACCAACTTGGATCAATATCTAAAATATCAATTAATAAATTTCTTCTATCTTCATAGGTTTCTCCACCAATTGAAGCCAATAATAAATTAACAGGAATATCTCTTTTAATAATTGAATTGGTAGCCCATTCAGTACCTAAATAAGTCATATAACTATTTATATCTGAATTATGTTGTTCATGACGTTGTGATGAAAAATGGAAAGGATCAAATCCTCCAAGTTTAAGATGTCCTTTTTTAATTAATGTTTTACCTGCTAAAATTCGAAGTAATGTTGATTTACCTGCTCCATTAGGTCCAACTACTAAATTTGTTGTACCCCAAGGTATTGATAAATTAAAATTTTCTAATCCTATTTTCTTACTTCCAGGAAACTCATACGTAAGATCTGTGACTTCAATAGCTAAAGTATTGTCTTTTTCACTAGTTGACATGATATCAATGAATGTTTACTTTGTTAAAAGTGGTACTTCAAATACTAACGAGTTTTTTATAATAATAGGAATGAGTTTTTGGTCTATATTTTTTTTTTTCTTTCTTTCAGTGGTCGTTCAACGATTCGTACCGCTATCGGGAGGTTCCAATTTTACAAATAAGATCTCATGATTCACTTTCTCCAAGGGCATTTATGATACATATTATTACAGATATACACAGAACACAAATAAATTTTCCTATAACATATCTAGTTAATTATCCAACTTAAGATTTCTTCTTTAGCTGGGACATTTTCAAGTTGATTGAAAATTTCTTTAATTTCTTCAGTATATTCATTGTTATGATAAATATACTTTCTGAAATAAGATTTTAATAATCCCAAATATTCATAAAATAACCATTGTTTATCTACTTCAGAGGCGTTTGAATCATTTATTTCTTCAATTGAAACGGTTTTATCATTTGGTAATTCCAATTGATTCAAATTTGAAATAATACCCGAAGATAATTGTAAAATCAATTCTTTCAGTTTTGAATTAGCCAATACTCTATTAATTGATTCCATACAAGATACATTATCAATGATTAAATTCGATTCTAATGCCTTTTGTAATAAGTATTTTGGTTTGATAATTCCAAATTCAATTAAATATTCCAAAATTAAAAATACAACTTGTGGTTGATGAATCCAAATTCTAAATATAGCATCAATTATCCATATTTGTCTATCTTGTTTTTGTTCTTCTGTTAAATGTAAATCTTGAAATTGAGCTTCTTCTCCAACATAATCAATAGCTGCCCCACTCAAGAATTTTAATTTGTTAATATCTCTACTCAAAATACTAACAACGGAATAAATAGATCTAGAGCCAATGTAGGCATAAGTTTGTAATATCATATTAACAACAAATCTTTCTGGATTTGGTACTTCAACTTCAGAAATCACAGACTTGTACAATTCATTGAAATCAGTATTTGATTTGAAATGAGTGAGAATGAAATCATATACTTTTGAACCAACTTCATGGAATGGTAATTCATTATTGGTAAAATTGAAAAATATTTCATCTTGAGCAGTAGTAGTTGATTTTTCAGATAATTGTAATTTCTTTTGTTCCAAAAGTTCTTTAAATTTATCTTCCGAACCTCCATATAATTCTGTATCATATTTTAAAATATAATCTTGAACATCAGGAACCATACTTATATCCAAATATTGATAAAATTCATCTAAATTAACAATTTGATCATCCACCATTTCAAGAAAACTATCTTTTATTCTCTTTTTATTGGATAATCTAATTTCTTTAGCAATTAAATTCTTGATGAAATTCTTTTTTGGATGATATTTCAAATCTTTATACTTCTTTGAATCATCAACCCATTCATCCCATTTCCAAGAGAATTCAAAATTAGACAATTGAATACTCATCCAATCTAAAAATCTTAATTTCAATTCATAATCTAAAGATTCCAAATGATTATATAAAAATCTAATAGCACGTCCAAAGACAGGAGCAATAGATTCAGTTGATTCACGACAACATGAAATTAAAACCGCATAATAATACATTTCAACTTCTAATGGTGCAGGTAATTGGAAAATCATAGTAAGAATACTTTCCACAGCAACATCTTCAATTTTCCAAGTGGATAAGCGTGGATCGTTATTACCCAGTTCATTATCTTTATTGATTTCATTCAATTGATCTATACTTGTACCTGGTGGAGCAAACAATTTCTGACTGAAAAACATGTCTAAAATACTAAGTTCAATAGCAGTTTCATTCTTGTTGAAAGAAAGGTTAGTCAAGATATCAAAGGCAATATCTTTGAAAAATAACCCATAGTATGATTCAATTGGTGGAACAGTTTCAAAACTAGTGGTGTTGTTGTATACTTGAAACAAATAACGTGGATTCTCTTGCCATAATTTATCAATAGAATCAGGTGTAAACGATTCTTCGGTGATTGTTGGCAAAGAAAATTGTGGTAATTTATGTTTGATCAATTCACTAGAAATAGAATTATTAGCCAAGCATGATTCAATAACAGGGTCCAAGTGTTGTTTAAAATCAAGAAACAAATCAAAATTCCATTCATTTTCTTGTAAGCCCAATAATGCCGGCAAGATCAAGTCAACCATTTGCTTTGGAACGTAAGGTAAATCAAAATTACCAAGTCTAGTATCAAATGGAAACAAAACTGAAGCAGGTTGGGAGACAACTTTGAATTCTTTAGCCAAATCAATCAATTCATTAATATAGGTTTTCAAGTCATCAGATTTATCATTACTGAGTAAATATGGAATGGCAATTAAAACGTTATAGTAGATTTCTTGAGCCACCCCATCTCTTGATTCCTTCTCCTTTTGTAAATCAATAGCAAAATTCAAAAATTGTTTATAAATTTGAATTATACCATAGTCTTCGATGATTGGAGTCAAAGTACTCAAAAATTTTAATACATTTTTAATGTGATTGAATGGAGATCCTTTTTGAGAGTCCAACAATGATTGTATCTTTGAATGTAAGAATTCAATGACATATTTAGCAACAACGAAGTTCTTAGCATTACAGATTAAAATCAAATTTGAAATGGCACTAATCTTGTGAGGTTGTTCAGTGATCAACGCATAAATTGTTGGCAATATGGCATTTCTTAAAGTATCCATCTTTTCAAATTCTGCAACGATTGGATTAGATATATAATTAGTATCAGCAATTAAATTCTCAACATCCCCAGTTTCTCCAAGTCTTCTAATATCTTTACAAATATTATTAGTTAATTCTTGAGCTGGGTCGATATGTTGCCTTTTAGATTCAAAGTTGTTGTAATGAGACCCTTCAAATTGGCCGCCACGAGAATCGTCCTCTTCGAACTCATCTCTTGATCTTTTCATTGAATTATCCATGATATTTCCTGTCTGTAATCACTGAGGTGAAGTATCAACAACTTTAGTTCGTACAATATTCGGGGGAGAAATTTTTCATCGCATGGACAATGGCACGAACAAACACCAACAACAAAAAAAAAAACAATTCAACTGAGTGAGATGGAATTATGAACTGTCCGTTTGGATGATACTTCCCAATCGGGAAATCTACATCTTTTGCAGATCAATATACAGTCCGTGGCTGACCGTGGCTGACCGTGGCTGACCGGTGCTGCAGGTCAGGCGAATTGAATGGAATGGAATGATGTACTATATAAAATGTGACTCAAAATAATTGATGATGGATTATTTCAAAAAAATACGTCACTTAACAGGCCGTTTACTTCAAAAACAAAAGTGAAAAAATTTTCATTATTAGTTGTGATTATTAACATTTGAATATTATTCAAACAATCAAAATAAAAGTCTTACTTCAACAGTGGATCTATATATAATGGGACATTTCAAAGAAATTTTTCAACAAAAAAAGTTAGTTATTGACGGAGCTTTAGGAACTGAGTTGGAAAGATTATTACCAAGTTCATCAGCCAGTCTTCCAAGCAATAGCCCACTTTGGTCTGGTCAAGCATTAATTAATAATCCAGAATTAGTTGAACAAGTTCATTTGGATTATATTAATGCTGGTGCTGATATCATTATCACTTCAACTTATCAAACTTCTTATGCATCATTGAATAAATATGCTGGATACGATATGAAAAAATCAGTTGAACTTTGGAATCTGGCTCTTGGTGCGGCTAAAAATGCTGTCAACAGATCTGGTCGTAGTGATGTTATCATTGCTGGATCAATTGGACCTTATGCTACTGTTCTTGCTAATGGATCAGAATATTCTGGTGATTATCAAGGAGCTACTTATGATGATCTTGTTGAATATCATACTCCATTATTTGAATTTTACGATAATTCTGATGTTGATGTTATTTGTATCGAAACGATTCCAAATTTCACTGAATTGAAAGTTGTTATTGATATGATGAAGAAATACACCAAAAAGGAATATTTCATTGCTGTTAATCCTCAAACTGCAAATGCTTTAAGTGATGGAACTACATTGGATAAAGTTGCTGAAGTTTTCAAAACTATTGAAGATACTTCAAGATTCCTTGGTGTGGGAATAAATTGTACTAATTACGATTTAGTCAATGATATTTTGAAATATTTCACTGATTTCCCAGTTTTGATTTATCCAAATATGGGATTTGTTTACGATACTGAAACACACAAATTTGTTCCAGAAGCTAACCATGAGTTGTCTTGGGAAAATGCAGTTAAGAAATGGTTGAACAGTGATAATGTAAGAGCTGTTGGTGGATGTTGTAGTACTGGTCCATCAGAAATCTCCATCGTTGCTAAAGTACTCAAACATTAGACTTCATTGCTTTTACAGGTATTATAGAGTAACTATCAATAGATGTAAAAAATTATCTAATTTTTATCTATAAAAATCATACAAACACTAACTCTAATATAAAATGTACAACGACAAGGAAATATGGCGTATGGCTAGCAGCTATGGCCGCACCACCTCCATTCAGTCTCGTAGAAGAACCCAGAGAAGTCTCTGACGTAAAATCCCTATTTGTCGTAGCATCCGCAGCTTCACTATCTGAACTGCTCGTGCTACCACTCGAAGTGCTACTTCTAGTTGTCGCAGTTGCTAAACTAGAAATTCCACTGACACTTGATAGTGGTGCCGCTTCTCTTAATCCACCAGTCCAACAATATTCTTGAAAACATTTCTTACATTCATCTGATTGTTCATGACCTAATCTTTCTTGTTGCCTTCTAATTATTGCACATCCAACACATGTAAGCCAATTCTCATCATCAGTCAAGTTATTTCTTGTAACCACTTCAAACCCATTTCGTATAGTTCCTAATTTTTCTTTATCAGAATAAGACAATTTAAATGTTGAAAAATTAGAATTATAACTCATTTTTGAATTTGATGTGTAAACAATTAGTGGAATATCAGTGGAATTTATATCATCATTATTATGCCATGAGACTAAATCATCCAAATCTGATGCATTGCATCCAAAAAATACAGGTTTGTCTCTTAAATCTTGATCTAAAAATCCATCAACATCAGGAACATAAGGGAATGGAGTTCCTTTACCTTGTTTAGCAAATTGACGTTTATAAGTTTCCATTATAGATGTACCATTGGGCCAACTCTCAAATGTATCAGCAGAATTATCAAAAGCAAATATAACATCAACATCTCTTGATGTTTGAATTAAGGGATAAAATGGCACATTTTGTAAATCTTCACCTCCATCACATAAATATAATGTATCATTATTAACAATAGATTTTGAACCCGCTGAATCAACTCCGTAAAATGGATTTGGTTCGTAAACCGCAATATCATATTCTTTTTTACTCACATTAGTTAATATCTTTTTAAGAATCAGTTTAATCACACTGTTAATTGAATAATTATCCAATTGAAGAAGAACTTGATTAAATAAAGAAGAAGAGGTCCCCATTATAAACCCGGCATTATCATAATTCTCAACACAAATGTCAGTATTATTGGGGTCTCCATTACTAACTGTTGAACCAATATATTTAACATCACAAAAAGAACGTAATGATGGATCCCAAGATCCCAATTCATATGGACTGATTTCAAATACAGTTGAATTTTCATTAATAATAAGAGTATGTGGTGTTCTTCCATTAGCAACCACTATTGGATAAGGCATTGAATGATCTTTAAAACTTGAAATGTTACGAATACTTGACCAAGTGATATTTGATCCACCTTCACCATCTTCAAAAAATTGATATGAAAGTGCTTTACCCCAAGTATCAGTTATTGATGTATCAAAACCGGCATCTTGTTTGGCTTCAATTGCTTTTGATAATCCATAATAATAAGCAATTGTTTTATCTATTCTAATTCCACTTGGATTTAATATAGAATCTTCAAGTTGCCAAATTTGTGAATCTCCAGAGATTATATCCTTAACTGATAACCAATCATTTAAAACCAACAGTCCAACTAACCAATTTCCACCAGATAATCCAGTTAAATAAGTTGAACTTTCTAATAATCCACCTAATCCATGATCATTTGCATCTTTAAATCTTCCATCTAATCCTAAAATTTGTCCTGCTCCACATAACATAGCTCTATAACCACCTCCACTAAATGATAATCCAATAGTTATATTATGAGTATCCGAATTATCATTTATAAATGACTCAGCATCAAAATTAGAAAGATTGGATTTTTTCAGTAAGAAATCAATTAGATTTTTATTAGTTATTTTATGTCTATTTTGTAAATATTCTTTTTCATTATCTGATATTTCTATAGCTTCACGGATTATGGAATGATTTGGACATGTTGTATTATATGGGGAATATTTATTTAATCCATCATTATTTTCATCACCTCCACTATCTAAAAATATCTGATACCATGATGAATCAGTACTTGTACTATCACCTGTTGATGATGACGATGATGACGACGATGGGGAATCAGTTTCTGATTGTGATTCACTTGTTGATGTGGATGAATCATCTGACCCAAATGGCCAAAATCCACCACTACCACTTGATGTTGACGTTGATGAGGAAGATTCAGAATCGTTTGAGTCAAATGGCCAGATTGCTTGCGTTTGTCCAATAGCAAGTAATAATATTAGTAATGAATGAAATTTCATAGCAAGTGTATATGTTGATGAATAACTTGAATCTGTTTAGATATAATGAATATATAATGGTTTATATATGTGTGATATTTCATTGCTCATCTTCTAGTCTTCAGTAATTTAATTCACAGCAAATCGCATGGTGGAAATATTTATGCCCCACGTAGATATTTCCTAATTTGGAAACTATCGGGAAAATCAAAACACAATAATTAGAGAGTAATAGCAAGCAATTTTTAGACATCCACCGGTTAAACTTGACCGTTAATATGATATAGCAATCATTATTGATACAGGGATCTGGTTAAAAGTTTGGTATCCGTTGGTACCACACATATGCTCATTGGTTCGACATTTTCAGGACTGGCCTATTGGCTCCACCTAAGATTACAAAATAAACATTTATGATACAATTAATACATAGATATATAATCAAGACAAAAGTGAAGTCTTTCTTCCATTTCTATAATGTTATAAAAGAAAATAATTATTAAATGACGAAAATGACAGACAACATTTAAACATTTTCAAGCAATAAAAATATTAAATAAAAACCATCTCCCCCATTTTTCTCAAAATTCAAAAGCCATCCCTAAAATCTGTTTCTCTTGAAATTAAAACATACAACTTTCAAATGAAGAAACCTAAAATACAAAAGAAAACAAAATAACAACAATAATAATAATAATATAAAAAAAAATAATTAAAGCAATCAATACTAATATACAATACTATCCGTCTAATAGTATTCATTTCGTTAAAAAGAATAAGAAAAAATCAAAGAGGAAGTACAATTGATCTGATCATTATCTTCATCTAAGTTTTTCTGGATGGTCCAGTTTTAAAGTCTGGCTTGAAGTCTGGCTTTTTGGCATTGCTACCCTTTTTGACTTGAAATCTGGCTAATATAGGAACATGATCAGATGGGAAATTGGCATCTGGGAAACCAATACAATGACTAGTATACTCTTCATCAACTTTACCAAGTAATCCTTTAACTTGTAAAGTAGGAGTGGAATACCAAATATAATCAATATTATCAGTGAAACCAGGTGTCATATTGGTGAATGGTAATTCGCCAACAGTTTCATAAGCAGATTTCAATTTAAATGGATGATGGAACCCTTCTTCGGTGAATTTACCGAAATCTCTATCACTTAAATCTTCGTGATCTTTAGAAACACCAGTGGAAAATAATTGATACACAGCACTATCTTTAACGGAATTCAAATCACCACATACAATGATGGAAGCATTCTTGATATCATCTCCACTTTGGCCTTGTCTCTTGAGGGTAACTTGTAATTCTTCCAACAAAATACCAACCTGTAAAGTCTTGACATCATTAAATGCTGGATCCCAATGCAAATGAGTATTAACAACAGCAATATCTTGTCCAGTTTCTTTATGTTGAAGGAAAAGAATTAAAGCGATATTATCCTTGTTGACATATCTATTAAATGCATCTTCTGTTTTCTTGTATCTATCATTTCCTAACCAGGCACTGGCATATTCAAAATTTTGCTTATTGGATAAACTAAACTTTTCACCTCTATAGAAAGTGGCGCATCCATCGACCTTCTTTTTGGATTCACTGTCTTGCATGGTCTTGGATCTTGTTTTGCTGTAGAAATGACCACGGTAGCCCTTTGATGTCATCAATGGAAGCCAGAATTCATTAAATGTTCTAGTTTCAACTTCTTGTAAACAAATAATATCAGTACTGTAACCTAAAATTTCATTCTCCAAAGAATTCTTTCTGTATTCCCAATCCAAAGCCCACGATGGTGTGAATTTGTACATTTTTGGAGTAGCATAATGTTGACATAATGTATTGTATGATAACACAGTGAAACTATCTCCTGATGATGTGGTAGTTGCTACCAGGTTATATGCTTCATTTGAATCAGCCACTTCTCCATCATCTTCTAAAGTTAACCATGGACGTGGTTGTGGGGTTCTAGTAATAGTGGTTTGATCTCTCAATGTAGAAATCAATTCTTTAGTTCCTTTTTCAGAAATCAAATTTGAAAATTTTGGATCCAATGGATTTCCTTCAATACCAATGAATAATAATTCAATCAAGTTCCCAAATGAGTATGGTAAAGTTTTGATATTGTTATCAAAAATGTATAAATATCTCAAATTAAAACATAATCCCAATTCCTCTGGTAATTCACTTATTCTATTATGTGATATATCCAAAGTTCTCAAACTTCTCAATTTCTTGATGGATGGTGGGATAGTAGTCAATTTGTTGTTATTCAAATATAAAGATTCCAAAAAATCATAATGAAACAATTTTGGTGAAATATTAACCAAACCTTGTCCACTCAAATCCAATTGACACCATAATTGTCTACCTTGCGTTTTAAGTCTCATTCTTTGTTCTTCCATAGAATCATCATCAATACTATCTTGTGGGTTCTTTTTGTTGTGTAATAATGCTGATGAAGTAGTTGGTGTACCTGGGAAAAGTGCGGCTTTCTTCTTCTTTTCTTCTTCCTCAAGACTTTGAATCATGGTTTTGGTAGCCTCAACCAACCCAACTGACTTTACATCACTATAGGGATTCTTGACTTTTCTTGAATTAGACGCGTATTGTCTTGCATAATAATGAGGAACATTTGCACTTCTTGATATTTGACATAATTGCTGTTGGTGCTGCCAGTAAACTGAGTTGGGATTCTCAACGGTAGTAGAATTCATCTGAAGCATAGAAGGTTGTTGAAGTGCTTGAAGTTGAATTTGTTGTTGCTGTTGTTGTTGTTGAACCTGAAGTACAGCAGCTTGTTGTGGAGTGTAAAACTGTTGTTGCTGTCCTTGCTGTTGTTGTGGTTGAAGATGTGCAGGTTGTCGTGGGATCTGTTGATTTTGTTGATAAGGTTGTTGTTGTTGTTGTTGTTGTTGCAATTGCAGACCATTGTTAGTAGCTTGTGGTTGTGGTTGGCCTTGTTGAGCCTGTTGAAATTGAGGAAAGAATTGCTGATGTTGTTGCTGTTGTTGTTGCAATGAGGATGGTTGGGTACGTTGATAGTTGTTTTGATACATATTTTGACCCAACCCTTCACCAAAACTTTCACCTGGTTGAAAAGCTGATCCTAATAAACCAGCAGAAGCATGTTGTCCTTGTTGTTGGCCCTGTTGTTGCTGTTGTTGGTTTTGACCTTGATGGAGTTGTTGTAATAAAATTTGTTGTGTTTGTAAATTGGACTGGGGTTGTCCTTGCAATTGGCCATGCAGAAATTTATTAGCAATATTCATACTTAACCTCTATTCACACAAATTAAGATCCTATTTCTGTAAATTCTCTACCGATTTATTCTAATTCACTTTGTCTGATCTAAAGGTAGTTGCCGTGAGCCGTCCGATTCAATGATGTTTATTCTATTTGTTTTCTTTTTTTTTCTTTCTTCTTCTTCTTCTAGCTCTTTCTTATTTGGAGATGTAAAACAGTTGAAAAGTGATAGATACTCCTAATGAAAAAAAAGGTTAATTCACGGAAGTCTCTCTGATAACTTTGAATTGTTTCTTTGAAAATAGTTGTTATGATTATTGACTAGCAAATGGTTCATACAATTGATGATAATCTGATCTCCAAACAAATGACAGAACAAATTTTTTTTTTTTATTTGTTGAACGTTTTTTTCTTTTTTCTTTTACTTTGACTTCCCATTAAATTGCTTGCCTTCGCGCACGCTTTCGCATCATCACACGACCAGTGGTGTGTGGTTGAGTGGGTGGGTGGGTGTATAGTTTGGGTGAGCAAGGGCATAAGACAGATTACGATTCATTAGAGATTGGTAATCATACGATTGGATATATATATATACTCTACGTGTCTATAAAATAACCAGTTAGTCTTATAGATAACTAATCTCTGCAGCAATTGGAATATGATCGGAAGGAAATTGTGCATCTGGGAAACCATTTTTGGCAATATAACTCTTATCAACACCGCCTAATAATCTATTGACTTGAAATTTGGTTTTACTAGCAAAAATATGGTCTAATATTCCTGAATAGCCAGTTGTATGACTTGTGAATTGTAGAGAATTGGAAGATATTAGTGGTTGATACACACTTTGGAAATTGAAAGGGTTTTTAATGTCACCATTCTTATCAACCAAACAATTGTTAGACCCATAATTGTAATTTTTAAATGAAAAACAATCCGAAACATTGACACCACTACTGCTTAGTATACGTATCACTGATGAATTCAAAGTGGAATTTAAATCGCCAGCTAATAGCACATAAGCATCTTCGTCTTCTTGGATAAACCCATTCAATTCATTAAGTAAAATTTTCATTTGTAATGTTTTAATATCGTTATATTCTGGAGACCAATAAAGATGAGTATTAGCTACGTATACAATCTTATTGGCAACTTTATCAAATAGTTTGACAATTAAAGCAACGGTATTTCTGGGTAACATTCTTTCTTTTAAATCCGCAGTTAATTGGAATTCTTCTTTATGGTTTAAGATATGATTAGCAAAATGGATTTCTTTCTTATCTAAAACATCAAATCTTAGAGTATTAATAAATATGGAAACACCATCAATATGATCTTCCGACAGACCCCAACAAGGAGGTAATGTCTTTTTAGCATAATGACTTTTGAAATTAGGATTTGGAAAATTGTGAGACCAAAATTGTTTATAAACCAGAAATTCCATTTCTTGAAAGCACATAATATCACATTGTAATTGAGAAATGGTTTTATTGATTAATGGAAATCGATAATTAGTCCAATCCAAATATTTTTGTTCAACACTGGTGAGATGCCATGTGTAGTGTTGTGATAAAAGATTAAATGACATTATTGAAAAAGGGTTATTTCTTTCTGTATTTATAGTTACCCATTTTCTATATTTAGTGGGATCATAAGTATCTATCAGTGTAGAATATGCTGTCCTAGCTGTATACTTATCTGTAACATTGCTTGGTGAAGGTGATGGAGATTGGAAATTATCTGAATAGATAATTGAAGTTGAAGTAAAATGTCTAATAGTCTGCATGATTTGTAGTTGCGTTCTTATAGGAAATCGAGGAATAAACATTCTAAATAAACTAAACTCTAAAATTTAAGGAGGGATCAAGGGGGTATTTATATTAGTTGATACAAGACTGTTTCTTTATTTATAGATTTTAACTTGTTACATAATAACAAGCTCACGGGTCTTTCTTTTTTTTGCTTGTTGTTGGTGGCATTGTGTTTTCGGCTGAGGGGAATTAATTTTCGCAGAATCGTTCGGTGTGTCAGGCAAGGCGGCGCGAATGGATCCATCGTGAAATGTATTATAACCACAAGATAACCTTTTCTGGTACCACATGGAGTTAAGAAACAAGCACCAAACTTAATTATTCATGACTCTCTTTTATATAATAATATAATAGCAAATATTCATTCCAGTACTAAATCGTGACTTGTATATAAATACACATCTCCTCCATAAATAAGATTATTAAAAAAAGTTGGCGAAATTTACTTATAATGATTATGTATGGCTCTCAGATGTGGAGAAAGCAAAGTTTGTTTATCTTTAAGTGTATGTGTATATATTGGTAATCTTAGTAAGATTAAGCAAGCATTTATTAAAGTAATCTGCATTGCATTGAAGAATTATGTGGATAAATACGGGAGGATATGGCCAATTGAATCAAATCATATGGTCATGTACTTGCATTCCATTACGTAATATCGGTTTAAGTCAGGTGTTTTTATTTTTTTTTTTTCCATTTGATGTACTCAGTGTTAAGTAGATGCAAAATTATTTGACAAATTTTTGCAATTTTATTTAATTAAAAAAACAACAATTGTTCAATATATAGAGGCCAATTACATTGTCACTTTTAGTAACTCGTAAAGTACATGCACCATTAATGAACATACATTATTCCTTCAAGATAGAAATATATCGGTTTTTATTTCCTACACGGCAATAAATCAACCACTTAAGCGGGGAGTGTGACAAAAAGTAATAACAGTCAAATACCGCTCTATAAAATCTCCACATTTCCCCCAAATTAAACTTGAGCTTAATGTATATCTGGAGAGTTATTTGGAGTCTATAGATCATGACTTTCTAGTTGTTCAGGGGGTGGGGGAAGGGAGAAGAGAAGATGGTAAAGAATTTGGTTATGAATATCGACTGATATTGTCTCATTTGAAAGTTGGTTAGGATCAATGATACGGGAATAAGTGAAAACAAACATCAGTACCAGAATCATATCTCCAAAAATAAGGTTTTATTGAAGAATATCTAGGAAGGAATATAACTGGTGATACTTCTTCCCCCCTCCCGAAGCAAGTATGGATTTTGATGATTATAAACTGACCAAATTGATCAATCGATTAATCCGCTAAGGTGATAGCAAAAATGAAGTCAAAACTGTATCCGATTCAACATAGTCCACTCGGATTATTTGTAACTACAATGTTATCTCTCACTTTCTGCGTCAATCCTAATATTAGCTTATCTAGATTGACAGTTGTTGTGTTTCAATACACATTGAGTAGCACACGACTTTCTTGATATCATATGTTTGGGAAATCCGCACAGTTGAAAATAAAAATGCGATGAAAAGTTTGACCAGATGAGAAATTAATAACAAACCTTGGGCTATTGCTCATCATATTATATTTATATTACAATCAACATCACATACGGTATAATGGTATGTAATACATAATTCTAACAATACATCTAATTACATATCGATTACTAACTTTATTGTTTTAGTCATCTACATCGAATGTTATTACAATTAATAAGAAAACAAAACTTTCAAGTATAATTAATCATCAAATTAAGATTCATACTATTGATAATCGATATTTCACAGGTGTGTTATTATCATTTGATAAACATATGAATTTAGTATTGTCAGATACTATTGAGTCTAGAATTACTAAAAAATCACATAGTCAGTTGAAAAAGCATCAACAGATAGATGGACAAGAACCAGTTTACGAAAAGAGAAATTTAGGATTGATTATATTACGTGGTGAACAAATTGTTAGTTTAAGTATTGAAAGTAATGGAGTTATAAGTAATGTTAAAGATAGAATAATTAAACAACCTATAAGTAGAAAGAAGAAAACAATAGTATAGTTTCTGTTTCAAGCAAAAAAAATATATAGTTATTTAATAAAACAAATATAATAAGATATATATACTTAATATTACTATTATGATTGATGTATGAACGTATGGTGGGGGCAGGGGAGTCGAGGAGTCGAGGAGTCGAAGGTAGTGTAGTGGATGTAATGATTGAAATAAGGTTACGTTTAGGAAATATTAACAACAGTTGCTATTAGATTTTGAATTCTTTTCTTTTGGAGCAGGAGTCAATGAGATGGTTGGTCCAGAAGTTGATTGTTTATTTGAGTCGGCATTATTTTCCAATTGATGTTTTGAAATCATTTCATAAATATTCTTTAATAATTGATGAAAACTCAAATCAACATTATCACTACTTAAAGCACTTGCTTCAGTAAACAATAAATTATTTTCCATAGCAAAATTTTTAGCTTCATCAGTAGGTACGGCTCTTAAATGATCCAAATCAGATTTATTACCAACTAATTCAATGACAATATTTGCATCAGCATGTTCTTTTAATTCTTTCAACCATCTACTTACGCTTTCATAACTTTCAGTTTTAGCAATATCATAAACAATTAAAGCACCAACTGCTCCTCTATAATAGGCACTTGTGATTGCTCTATAACGTTCTTGTCCAGCAGTATCCCAAATTTGAGCTTTAACTCTTTTACCATCAATTTCTAATGTTCTAGTAGCAAATTCAACGCCAATAGTTGATCTACTTTCTAAATTAAATTCATCTCGTGTGAATCTAGATAATAAATTTGATTTCCCAACTCCTGAGTCTCCAATCAAAACGATCTTGTATAAATATTCATAATCATAGGAATAATCATCAGCATTATCTGTCATTGTGTAGTTATTGTTATGTTATATTAAATGATATGAGTAAAGGTCTGTGTGGCTTTTTAAAAAAATAAATATTTAAAGGTGGGTATTTTATGTTTGGAGTTTGCTGGATTTTGTTGATCTTGGAGTTGTGCTGTTTTTTTTTTTATTTTTTTTTTTTTCTTTCATAAAATTATGCCAAGGGGAACGACCAAACCAGAAAAAAAAGTAGGTCGTGTATATAGCAACAGAACACGACACTGCCACACGACCTGATCTACTCACTAATAATAATAATAATACATTCAAGAAATTTGTTCAATTCACACACGACCTGCTACATAATTTCTACACTCTTGTATATCCCCAGACTTGAATTGATACTAATACTAATAATATATTGATACATAAATACACACACACACACACATTAAGCTATTCAAAATAAAATCACACACCGCTTCTTGGATCAAAGTCATTAATTAATAGTCCATTTAATTGTAATGTCATAAAATCAACATTTTCATCTCCAATAATACCATTACTGGTAGATCTCTTTTCATCATCAATTGTTTTAGATTGCTCTTCATCATCTTGGTAGTGAGGATCACCATTGACTCTTGGATAGTTCTCATATTTGATAGTTTGATGTATAAAAGAAGTTATATACACCTCTTTTAATCCCACCAATTGCTGAAATTTTTGGCGACATTCATTTATATCAGTAATACTATTATCATTAAAATTTAAAGATTCCGAATGAGTAACCAATAATCGATATAATTTGCTCAATCGTCTTTCAAAAAAATTTATGCCTCTAATCAAATAACTACTCATTGACTTTAATTCATTGATTAATGGGACATACAATTCAGGTGGCAATCTATTGTCATAATTTATATCGTCATCACTAGTTGAATCAGGTTCGAGATCATCCAATTCTTCAAATATCCCATTGATATCAGTGGCAAACACATCCAACATTAATGGACTATCAAAATCTCTCAAAAAGAAATACTTGACTTGAGGAAAAATTGCAAATAAACTCTTCTTCATCAATTTAAAAAATAAATGTAACATTTTAATTAATGGTGGATCTGATTTATTACAACTGATTAATTTACTTGGAAACATTCTTACCCATGTAAACAACATCTGAAATAACAAATCTTTCTGTTTATCCAAATCAGACAAATTATTTGTTATTTGAGGAATGAAAAAAGGTAAATTATTTGTGAAATTAAGCAAATCTTGATAGTGAATTTCCAAGAAATCAAAATTGGGTGGTTGCCTAAAATTTGGAGATGATGATGACGACATCGATGTAGAAGACGAAGAAGAATTTGCTGTTTTTGTTGTAGAATTATTCGGGAAGGTAGATTTGAAATGTCGCAATAATGGGAATATTAAATCACCAAATCTAATCAACAATTGCTGATACTCATTTAAAAAACTTGGATCATATCCCGGTAGAAAAACAGACATGGCAATATTTGTCATTAATTTTTGGTGAGCTGGTAACAAGGGAATAGATTGCGGATCATTGGTGGACGTATCCACTAACGGCACTGCTTTTTTCTTCATGGTTTTAAAATTATGATTAAATATACTAAACAATCCGTCTCTGAAACAAATTGACGAATTCAATGTAGCTTCAGGATCATAAATGGACATCAAACTCAAGATATAACTGACACTGCCACACAAATCTGGATCGCTATTATCATTTAAAACGTTTCTCAAATCTTTAATAACCAATGCGTAATAACGTAATGAATGTTGTGTACATTCCAGTCTAATATGGGCTAACGAATAATTTGGGGTCAATTGGCCCGATTTAGTAACATGTCTAAAACAGTTTGAGATCAAGAAATTGGTAGTCAAATTCAACAAACAATAAAACATTAATTCTGAAGAATAAGCTTTGAATATAAACGAGTTCAACCATGAGGAATACAAATTTCTAATTTCCGGTAATCCAGAAGTACCTTTATGAATTGAGGGAGCAATAGCTTTCAATGATCTTTTAAGTTCAATTGAACAATCCACCTTTTTCCTGATCTTGTATTTAAAAGTGGTTGGAATATTTAACGCTCCATTGAATGCATTTTGGAATGTAGGGTTCTCATTGCTAGTGGAATTGGAAAATGATGGAGTAGTGGAAATTTCCTTTTGATTATAAGAATAAACTGGATAAACAATAGATACATTATCTTCATTTCTTTGACTTAACAAGTTATCAAAATTTTGTGTGATTGATTGATGTTTGGTAACATTTAAAATATTAGTAGGTGCTAAAGAAGGTGGTGATGTTTTCACTTTAGACGAAGTCAGTTTTGAACGTTTAACTTTTGGTTTTAAAACTTTCTTTTGGGATAGTAGTGGGACAGATTGAGATTGTTGTAATGGAGGTTGTTGGATTTCATCTTCAGAGTCACTTGGTTGTTGTTGTAAGTATTGTGCTTGTCTCAACTCATTCAATTGCGCTTCAGTATAATCTAAATAAGGACATTTAACTTTATGTTTAATACAATTAGTACAACTAGGTAAATCTTCTGAGCATTTCACTCTTCTGTCTTTACAAGTGGCACAGCCCAACTTTGAATTCTTATGTTTTCTTCTTTTCAATTTCTTTCCCAAAATAACATTCGTATTATTATTTGTGTTGTTGTTGTTGTTGGTGGTGGTGCTAGTAATTGGCATATTAATATTTGATAATTTCTTTGATTTAGTTGTTGATAAATTTGATCTTTCAACAGGAGTAAATGAAACGTCTTGTTCTGTCAAGGGGTTATTGTATGACAGACTAGAAGTAGATGGGTTTGAAATCATATTACTATTAGTGGTGGCGGTGGTATATTGATTGCTGATATTGCCGTGCGATAAAATATCATAATGATATTGCTGTTGCTCTTTGCTATTCTGTTCTTCAGATTGGGGTATTGAAGACGAGAATACGTTAGGGAATATGTCTCTTGGTGAATCTGGAGAATCACCCATGAAAGTAGATTGATTTTGTAGATGTAATTGATGATTATTAAAAGAATGAATATGATAATTTAAATCAAAGAATGGCGATGAAGTTGTAGTGGTTGTAGAAGTAGGTGATAATAAATGATTGTTCTGATTGAATAATGAGAAATGAGTGTCGAACTGGAATAATGTATCCTTTGTATTATCAATAGTGTCACTAGTTGTTGTAGTTGTTTTACTTCTTCTTCTTTTTCCTGTTGTTGTTGTTGTTGTTGTTGTTGTTGTTGTTGTTGTTGTTGTTGATGGTGAAGTTATAAAATTCATAAAGGAAAAAAAAAAAAAAAGAAAATAAAAATAGAAGAAAAAAAGGAAAACAAAATTTGATGACAAAATTTTTAGTTTGTTCTGCGTCTGAAAGAAAAAAAAATAAGAAAAACCAAAGTTGGTTGTAGTGGCGGTCGAGATGGCGGTGGAGGTCCTAGTAGGGAAAATTTAAGAAATTCGGCGGTGACTGGTGGTAATACTGCTGTTGTTGAAGGAATGATATGAGTTGGTGGTAGGCAGGAATTGGGGGACAGGAGGGGGAGGCACAGAGAGATACCAATAAGGATAGATGATTTGAACGGAAATACGGATGGCCCAAATACTTAACGCGAGCCGAATGTGAGTAATGTACGGGAATACCAGTTCCGTGATTTAATGGCTTTGAATATTCTATGCGGTAACTGCTAATACGAACAAGCTCCACAAAGTAGTAGAATCAGTTGGTTGGTAACAAAAGTGGATGAAATTTGTGGCTAATTACGTAATCAACAATAAATATGAAATTTCTTTATCAAGATCTATGACGACAAATGACAGTACAGAGTGGGTGGGAGAATAATAATTGTAGTTGTAACTGGAACTATTATAGGTGATAGTAAAAATGTAATGAATTTGTAAAGAACAGAGACAATTGTTAACCTTTGAAATCATTTCGAAAATTTCAAACTGAATATTTATTTATATATTTATGTTATTCTTAGTATATTTCTCTCTCTCTCCTCCAAGTATTGTAAGCTTTAATCAACTGATAGCCATCATACACATATTAAGAGTTTAACATTATTTACATTGTCAACAAATTTATTAAAATAATTCCTAATTTTTTCTATAATTGCTCATAACCCACCATACTTTAACTATTGTCTTAGGGTAGTGTTCTTCACCTGTTTAATATCGCCCAATTCTAGTAAAATAACTGTGATATAAATACCCTGCGCTTACATAATCAATGTCCCCACCGGTCATCATCTTAAATTTAAACACGGCGTTCTACCATAACTACCATTATCTATACTTTATCGAGTCTTACCCCTTTATTTTTTTTTTTTTTTCAATTATCTGATGATTTAGGATAGTCTATAATTGATGGCGCTTGTTAAGATTCTTTTGGATTTCCATCAAATATCTAATTCATGTACCAACAGAATAATACACAAAAAAAACTTACACTATTCAGATGCATTATAAATTTACTCATAACTATTGTTTATGTCTTTCTCTGTTATCCCAGTTAAATAAAAGAACATTCCTTATTGTTAGTTTCTTTTTTTTTTTTAGAATAGACATATGACTCATTACAATTCGTTAGTGATATCATCGTTGTATTAGTTTACAATCGGTAACTAATACCAGTTGGAAATAGGGGTAGAAGGATATTATAGTTTTCTAATTATAGGACTGCCTAATTAGTAGTATTGATACTGGTTTTTAGATGGCTTTACCCGTTTATACATTAGTAGTGATTTTGCTTTTTTTCTCTTTTCTATATGTTTATTTACATTATTCTATTTTTAAATTATACTTTACAGGCCCAGACAGGTGTCAGATATTATTTATGGTGAAATATTGTTAATAATGAAGTATTATTATTAATATGATGATACAGGTACGTTGTGTATTCTTGTGTGCCTGTTGTCCACAATTGTGGCCGTACATGGGATAGAAATGAGAATTGATATTGTTCAGCCTTGAATCCACTGATATCTTCGACAATAGAATTCACAATAATATCTAAATAAAGGGAATCTAAACTTAATGGAAAACACGTCATCTGTGTTGAATAATGAATCCATAAGATGAAAAAATAATAATTTCAGAGCAATATAATAAATCTGTTACATTTTCTTGTGTTGAAAATTTTATTGGTCTAAATTTCTAGAAACCAAAACGTTCTTTCTATTGTAACTAATATTCAATTATTCTTTCATTGTCTTTAACTACTTTGTATCACCTAGAAATTCATACGTCTTAGTCGAACAATAGAAAAAAAAAATAAAAGATGAAGATGTGCAGTTACGATAAACCAATCAAAATTAATAATCGTTTACTCTTTGAATCCAAGCACATACATTGTCAAAGCTCTAAGTCAATTAAGAAGAAATTGTTGGATATGTGATTGTTAATTCTTGTTGGCATCACAAGGTGTTCCGTGTTGATTGTTAGATTAAACCTCACAAGGTATTGTTTCGTGCGTATTCCAACGTAATTTTAGCTCCTCTCTCACTCCTTCTCACGTCCCTTATAACTTGAGTCACGGCAAAGTGAAGTGTTTGTTTTTAATTATGAGAGTATCAAAATCCAAATATCCATCAGTTATGTATTGATTAGTAGAAGCAAATGGACGATTACATAATATACACAATGTTATTAGATAATCGCCAAAGATATGGGCATTTTCGTGCACAACACAAAAGAAAAAAGAAAAAAAGAATAACAGCCAAACCTTTTTTTTTTGCTTCGGGTGGCCGGAGGCTGCAAAATTTTTTGTTCACACGGAACACTACAGAAAAAAAAAAAAAGAAAAACATTTGTTACTCAAAGCTGGGAATCGATGATATAACCAGGGCCAGAGCTGCGAACCGGCTTGATTCTAAAATGATCTAATTTCAGTTAACCGAATTCTTTTATTTTATGCGTGTGTATCTCATTATGTGAGGCATTCAAAGTCGGTTCAAAGACAGCATAAAGGTTTTAATTAACTTTAATCTGTTTGGATGAGGGTGGGTGTGCATGAAATAGCAAACTTGATAAGTGTCATTATTCCACCTATGATAAAATGACTAATGATAGTATTTAAAACTTTCTAAAAGATATCAGTAATTATTTCATCTTCATGCAATTACTTCGGTTAAAACAACCTTTCATCGTCCCCCCTTCCCCTTACTTGACATTTGTAATTTTATCCCTGACTGAAACATTAACTATCAACAGTCAGACGTTTTGTGATGAAATGTCAAGTTAAACCAAGGCGTGTGTGATCGTTGTTCATTTTGTTTCTAACTTTCAAGATATAGATTAACTTCTATCGGAAATGCATGAATTGTTATTCTCAGTTCTGAAAAATAAATTTGTCCTTTATGGAAATGAGAAATAATAATAATAATAATTAAAAAATAAATAAAAATTCTAAAAAGTGTGGGGGTTCTTTAATCTCCATAAGGTTGGTATTTTAAGATAGTCATTAAAGTTTTCATGACAGATAAATGACTACTTTATCGGATTTGAAAAAGTGCAAGGGCTTTTTTTTTTGGTTTAATGTAAATGCTTTATTTTTCTGTATACATTGCATTGCATTCATTACTTCATGTATATCGAACTGCAATTTATAAGCATGAAACTTTGCTTATCATGACGTGTCACAAGAAACTATCTACATACATAAACCCTTGTGATATCAAATGGAGTAGCCTGCTCCGACAGGCGTGCGCTTTGTTTCTTTTGTTCCTCCTCCTCCTTCCCTTGTGGACCCAAACCCAAAGTGGACGCAACAGGAGCGCATTTACAAAGAAGTATCAACTATTGTTTTTTTTTTTTTTTGTTTTTTGTTTCACGGCCGCCCGAGACAGTTTCATGCAAGTATGATCCCTTAGCCGCCTTAGTCTATAACTTCCACCACTACCCCAAATAATTCATCATTGATCCTTTATAATTGTATGAAAAGTTATAGCCATTGATAATTTTGAATCGGCAAAAAGAAAAAAAAAATCCTGGTTATGGGAAATATTTAAATATAACCTATATGCATAAACCCCGCTGATTGCAATAGGAATTGTACTTAGTTTTCTTTATTTAACAATTATAACCATTGTGTTGAATATCTGTACTTCTGTTGCTTTGAGTTTGTGATGTATCATTCTAGAACAAATTATGTTTTTCTTTACTATAGAAGGAGGAGACAGAAAGGATAATATGCTTTGTGTTCTTTGATTTTCATGGTAGCATTGTTTATGTATGATTGCTTTTGTTTTTCTTTTTACATATTCAACTGGGTTAAACATGACAATCATTTCTAATGAAAACCGCCTTTCTCAAAAGTCTTCTATTTTGCTCCCTCTTCTTGTTGGTGTAGCACAGATGATAATGGTAAAAAAAATTTTTCTTCTCTCAATCCAAACAATAATACAGCTGGTTTTGTAGCTTAACTCCATCATAGTGTATTTTCTTGTTGCTTTGAATAACTTTTAGTTTATTCGTGTAAAGTTCATTTACGTTATAATTGACTGTCTCTTTATATTACTTGTCTCTATACTGTATTTATTACTCACTGTAATAATTCTAATCTACTATGAATCACTGCCACCGTCACATTCTTACTAATCTCATGAATTGTTTAAACACCTTCCTCATGGCTTTCACAATATATAATGAATACTTGATTTGAAATATTCCACGTTGATTATACGACATCCCCGAGTTTTAGCTTAACTTGAAATAGATGGTATTTGTTCAAATTCTATTTTCCTAAGTTGATCAAATATATTTAACCATTGGATCAATTGTCCATCTTGTTCTTGATATTTATTCTCATTCAGCAAAATTACAAATATTGGAGTTGGTAGTAGTTCATTATTGTGAGTTCTCTTATTTGGTTGATCATCTTTTGCTGATGATGGGAATTCTTTAAATAACTCTTCATATGCTTTGCATAAATTTTTACTTATTAAATCATAATACGATGCAAATATGGTATCTCTAAATGAAAAATCATCTGTGGATCCTCCACTTCCTGAAGTGTTTTGAATACTTAAACCTCTATTAAATAAATGAAATTGGATACCGGGATTATTTAAGAAACAGTATTTAAAATGTTTCCCATGATGAATATTGTATGTGTAAGGGATATTATGGTTCGCTGAATGCTTGAAATATTCATTTATGTTTGATAAATTCTCAATTGGTAGTTGAATAGATTGTGGAAAATGCAAATAGTTATATGGATGAATAGATACCGTGTTGTTAAATTTTATAATTGGAATTTCATTAATCGATTTTATAAATGGGGAAATTTTGTTCATGTTATTCATTAGTAAATTGTTTAATAAATTGGTTCGAGATTCAAAATAATTGTACACTTTCAAACAATAGTTAATAAACGGTTGTAGCTGAATTGATGAAGATGCTTGAAACAGCTGTTGTTGTTGCTGTTGCTGTTGTGGATGATTGCATGAAGGGAAATTATATGAAGTCCCAAAGGTATGTAAATTGTAAAACATCACTTTGGGGAAAATATTATCTAACATTTTACCCAAGCATTTAAACAACAATAATAGTACAAGTTCTTGATCATTAAACCCCTGTCTCCAATTGTGATTCAATCCTAAAAGATGTATATTGCTTGGTAGGATGATTAACCAATTTTGTAATAACTTTTTCAATATCACAGGATCGTTGAAACCAGGCGGTGAACCACTAGAATCATTGTTTGGTTGCATTACAATTTGTAAAACTTGGGATAAAAATTGATTCAATAAATGATAATTTGGAAAGATATAATCATGAGTTATAAACCTTTTAAATTTCTCTAGAATTTCTTTGAATTCAGTTAAACACATCCAATAATAATTAGGAAAATAATAAGACTTACTAAATAATGAAAGGTTTTCAATGAATGAAGGGTACTCAATATTAGACCTGGAAGTAATAATGATGGGTCCTGGTTCTTGTTGCTGTTGCTGAAGTGAAAGCTCAGGCGAGTCTTTAATCAATTGTAGTAAACCATTTGAAAATGTGAACGATGTCAAATTATCATCATAAAAATTGATAAAATTCAATAATATAGAACCAGATATTCCTATATTGAAATTGTTTAAATCCCCGTTAATACTAATTGAGGATATAATCAATTGTAACTCTTTTAGACTGGACAAGTTAAATCTTAAAAAAATTTCATTCAACTGGAGTCTAATTTGATGATTGTTGTTGTTTATAATCTCTGTATTTGTAAAAGACTTGTAACCATTGCGTTCTAAATAACAAGAACTTAAACATATTAAGCAATTAAATATTAATGGATGAGTTATAGTATCAACTAGTACGATTTGTAGTGGATTGGTAATGATACTATTGGAAGTAAGGGCCATTTGTGAGGTTGAGGTTGCAACAGTTCGTGCTGCTCTTTTCAAATTGGTCTGAATTTGATGATAATTTAATAAAGGAAAGGATTGGAAATAGGGGACACTGTTTGGAAGTGAGTATCCACTAAAAGACATGATTTCATGATTATTTTCAGTTTATTCTTCTTGGTTTGACCTTTCCACGCAGAATATTCAATTATGGTTTTTTTTTTTTGTTCTTATTGGTCTAGTTTGACTAATTCAAATTATACAAACCTCTTCTTGAATGGATGTGATAATTTACTCCCAAGAGTAGTACACTTGGTTTTCAATTAGTTAAAAAAATATATGTGTACTTTCTTTATTTTTATTTGAAAATCTGAAAGAAAACTAAATTGCAATGGGAAAAGGGTTCCTTGAATTTTCTTCTCTAAGTTTTTTCTGTTTTTTATTTTTTTTTTCTTTCACAGTGAATTTATATTTTTTTTTTTCACCAAGGGACATTTGATGTAGTATATATATATGTATAACCTCAGGTATATTTTCGATGCTATTTATGTATCTGATGAAAGTATTTGTATTTCCGTCATGCAACAAATTAACAATGTTATAAATCAAAACAAGTAAATATGGTTGACTTCATCTAGCTTTGGTTCCAAAAGGGAAACTCTCGAGTTATTGGTTTCTACAAACTTCTTTCTGCTTATATTGTTATCATTACTATTCATGCTTGCATTTTATTTTTCTTTTTGGTTTGAAAAATTTCACTCAAGGCTACAAATAAAATCGAAATTGTATAACCTTGAGATGACCAAATAGTTTTGTCATTGTGGTTAGTTACCTAATAGTCTAGAAGTACTTTCATGTAGGTTATCCCTTCTTTTTTTGTCTACGTCTGTGTTTGTTTTCATGTGTGAACAATAGTACAAAATGCAAAGAAAGAATAGATACTGCAAAATACACCACACAAAATCAACAACATGTAAAATCGTATTTGGCTTGTTGGTTAACTATAATCCAAGTCAAAGCAACTTTGATTATACATATCTCTTTGGGACACCACGGCAATGTATACACAATGATAGAGCTGTTAACTTTTTTTTTTGAATTTCTCTTTCATCTATTGAACAATAAAGTGTGTATTATTCAGCAGGGCCAAAATTTATTATTCTTAGTACAAAGAAATACATGCTGAACATAGTTTTGTGCTTGTGACTACAAATGATATTCATATCTGGGTCCAAAATTTTTAAACAATGATAAATCTTAAGACGGAAATGTGGCATTACTTGTATTGTTGGGCTAAGTCTAGTTACAAACAAAGTCATACCTTGGGAGAAAAATAATATAATTTCAAAACAAAATAGAACAGAATAGAATAGAATAAAATAGAATAAAATAGAATGGACTAAACTTGAATAAAAAATAACGGAAATACTTGAAAATCAAAATTCAAAAACAGGGGGAAAAGGGCAGCGGATTAGAATAGCTAATAAAAATCAAGCTTTTATAAATGAATGAATATGATTACAGACCGCAGAATGTGTTATTGTTCTATTATATTCAAACAATTGTTTTAGAAAGCCATACATTTTAACTTAAAATGAAGTAAAGCCAAGAGAATGAACAATTTGATAGTAGAAGAACAATCAGTACACCAAAACCAAACTCATAACAAATTTTTATTCTTTTAACTTTGACGCAATGACTAAAAGTTCAATATGCATCTACTTTTCTGTAGCAATGGTATTAATAATCGGCTATAAAAGAGAATCAAATGGAGATAAAGAGATTATGACATGTGGCAGAAATTATCTTGAGAGATATGATATATGTCTTCGGTTATATTGACCACAATTACCCAAGAATTGATGATACTATCGTATTTTTAGTATTATTTGGAAAGTTAAAACATTGAAAATTAATTGGTTAACCTTTTTATAGAGTAGCACAATTGATAAACAATATGAAATACCATTCCAATAAACTACTGTTTTTTGAGGAATTTTATTTTTACATCAAAGTTTCTGGAATTATTATTCAATTAGGTTTTTACAATTTTTTATTTGTTAGTTCTGTCGGTGCATGAATTCATAATACAATTATTCAATACTATCGAAATACGTCCTTATATTTTGGTAACTATATTGGGTTTCCTAACTATCTACGTTTCCAACTTAAAAGCTTACTGGGTTTCTTATCATTCCCCCCATCTGACGCTCTGTTCATTTGTTCATTCGATTTGGTGTTTATCATATTTATATAGATTTTTTTTTTCTCTGGAGAAGTTCACTGACGAATTTTCAGTATTACTAATCCACAATTTGGGTATTCAATAGTATATTCTTGTTTTTCCTCCACATTGTTTTACGTGGGGTCTGCTATATTTGGGTTCAAAGAAGACTTGGTACTCGTGAGCCACGTGTGAATGTAGACAAGTTGTCAGAGCAACAAACCCCACCTTGTATGCTGGTTAACTGTATCAGGTCAATAAGAATTAGAATTCAGTTATAGTATCCTTAAAATATTTGCTAGTCTTGTGACTATGAATAAAACGTCTCTAACTATTCTTTATCTACGAAAGGACAATCTAGTCATTGATGCAAACCAGAACCAAATATAAAACTAGAGAAATAAAAGAACAAGATAATGATGAATATTTAAAAAAGAGGGAAAACTTGATAACAGGGGTCCCGGTATTTTTTTTTTTTAGGTAATGTTCCGAAAAATCAAAATCTATCCGAATATTTTCTTTTCTCCTTTCTTGATCAGATGTTTTATAACCGAATTTTCTTCTTGCTAGCAATCAACAAAGAAAGGTAAATCACATTAGGGGATTAGAACATTCATATTTAATCAATTCGCGGTCTCTCTGTCTTTTAATGATCCTTTACCCCTCAGGAGAAGTCTTATATTCTCCGATATTGCTTCCCTGCCGTGTATACAAAGCCAAAGTTGTTAGTTGTTATTGGCTAGTGTGATTATAAAGGTTTAGCTATGAAGTTTATGTGTCTTTCTTTTTAGCAAATGTAAACTTGAATAGCCGTAACTTCTTTGATATTTGAGTACTCACATTTGTAACCCTCATCACGCATTAACAATTGACGAAAATAGATATCAACAACTCAAAATTTCAACCATTGTTTGATATTTCCTAACTATACAATAGAAATCTTGCTTATCCTTTGCTACAACAACTATAAATACTAAAATCAGTTTCTTCCAAGCTGATTATATAAGCGGCCTCTTGAAAAAGGTGTTAAAGCTAAATTAGCAAATGAATGAATCTAATAGTGAACTAGAAATCTCATATATTGAGCTTGGTATCAAGTAGTGTGATACTTGATGTTGAGGTGTTGGGTATTGTATATTTTTGTTCTATCAACAAGCATATATGTATAATTTAACCCAGATTACATAATGCAAGGGTTAAAAGTGGAATGGCTAATAAAAGGATCCAAGAAACTCAGCAGAATAGACAAATATATGTATCGTGACGTATATTTCTTGTACTTTTATAGACAATAAGACAATGTCAAACATTATTCATTTCCGGCTTCTAATCCTATTATTAGCCGGTCACATATTTTGGACACTGAAATTAGAAATATTGAGCCTCCTCCAATCTTCACCAGCCCAACAAAACTAAAAGTTCTGGAGTTCAGTTAAATGTTCATAACCATGTGAACAATATCAAGAAGATTTTGTTTATGTTAAATGATTTTTCAAAGGATTGACAACTTGTTTGGTTCGGAATCGGAATACCATAACCGTTTAGAAATATATCAATCACAAAATAGTAAAAATATTACTTATTTGCATATGTATTCTATCACCCATATTACTGCAAATCTTTGTAATTATGCGTGATATATATTTTCTATATTTTTTTTTTTTTTTGATTTTCATATTCTAGAATGTCTTACAATGTGATGCAAAAAAAAAAAAAGAGCTAAATTGTGGGCTTTTGCTATGTTACTAGTCAGGTGATTTTATGAGCTTATAATCCAAATATAGGGTACAGACGTCTCCCTTCTTTGTACCTTACTGCCAATTATCATATACAGTTAATAAAAGAATATTTTTTTTTTGTTAATTCTTCAAGTGAAAAAAATTTTTTTTTCATGCTCGGTAACCGCCTTTTATTTCCTTATTTGAATGCATCGAACTATGCATTTACAACAACGCGAATGTTGATTTACACCAAGCTTTCTTACATCCGCCTCAATTTTCTTTAGTATAATCGTAATACTATTTATATTTGGATGAGGCCGTATGAATATTAAACCTCAACAATGTATAACAATGGAAACTTTGGGCCGTTTTGCAAAAGGAAAAGGAGCACACAATGCTTTTTGTAACAGGGGGAGATTATCCTTAACTTTAACTATAGACTATGATATGCGGTAGTTGATGTATATCTATGCATACCATAGAATCTTCGTTATGTGTTCAGTTTTGACTTCTACCTCAGTCGTGTAGAGAGAAACAAGGCGGTAATATTGTGTAAAAACTATCCATTACTTATATTTGTCAGTTGACAAGAAACCGTGCTTTGTTTGAATAAGATGATTGTCCCGACGATGATATGCAGAATTTTGATACAATATCTTATCATGGATATGGTTATTTAAAGATGTTTAAAACGTTTGAATTGTAGATTTAAGATTTCCATTTGGTTGAATTTCTTAAAATGAATCTTTGGATACAAAACATTTTCAATACTCATCATCGAAACAATTCATACTTTTTTGTATGGCGAAAAGAGATTCACGTAAAAATTTGGGATTTTTTCGTGCGTGAACCATTTTTAAAATTACGGGAATAAACCACTTGAGATCCTGATCAACACCTTTGAAAGCACTATATGGTTTAAAACTTGGAAATTGAATATAATAATAGTATATACATGATTATATCTACATTAATATTCAAATTAATACAATTTGAGCGGTCTGACTAGCGTAATTAGTGATTTATTCAACAAAATGATAATTCCCGATAAAAAAAAGATACTTTCAAATTCCAAGAGTAAGATTGATACATAACTCCTCCAATATTTATCCAATTGATTCAGAATGAATTTAGATAGCATAATTTATCACTACAAATCATATACCATTTTCAGAGTTGCAAAAATCGTACTAACAGCGACAAATGTTGCAATTCGTGGAACATTTGGATGTTACACTGTGACGACAAGAGAAACAGAGATATAAATGCTACTTTTTTCTGAAGCATCCAAATATTCTACAAATTTGCAACATACAAATCTATGCTGCAATGGAGAGAACATTTGGATATTTTTAATACAGAGCACAACCATTGGGATATAGAAATACGCACTAATTAGGACATTGAAAATCCGTGAATTAATGCACTGAAAATTTGAATATACAGATATACATGACACATCTATTGGAATATACGAATACGCACCAAATTAGAAACTTAAAATCTATGATTTAATTGACGGAATATTTGAATATCTAAGTTGCAACCATCAAATTCATGAATATAATCATCCATCATCTGGCTCTGTTTATTCAGAATTGTGTCAAATAGATTATCTTGATTGATTTGGATTACCTTGAAATAGATGATTTTGATTGATTTCTATTAAATTCAGATGGATTAGAAAATATATATAGGAAAAAGGATTTATCAATAGTGTCTAGAATACTCCCTTTTTTTCTGTATATCAAAGATCGATTCTCCCTACATAACAAACTTAGTACATTTTGTATGGGGAAAGGAGATTCACATCAATTTTTAAGATTTTTTCGTGTGTGAACCAAAATTAAAACCACGGGAATAATTCAATTGACAGGCTGATGAACCCCTTTGAAACCGCTAAATACCCTAAAAATTAGAAATATAAAATAAGAATGGTATGAAAAGAATACTATTTATATTAGTATTCTAATGAACACAGTTTCAGCGGCCTGAATATCATAATTATTGACTTATTTGGGAAAATTATAATTCCCGAAGAAAAAAAGATTGTTTGAATTTCCAAGAGTAAGAATTAAACACTAACTACACCAATTGTTATCAAATGTGTTCAAGAGTAAGTGTGGTAGTGTTAAACAGTGATACAAATAATATCATGTTGTTCAAACGACGAGAATCTAGCCGGAATCAATAGATCTAGCAAAACATGGACAACTTCATGAAATATCTTTGGATATAAAAATAAGCAAATTAATTTTTTGTCGTCGCATTTTTGGAAATTGCCATAAAATTAATGAAGTTTCTTATTTTCCACGTTTTAGCAACTTTTGGGCAACCTTATGACGTTGCCACTTTTCAGCAACATAATGAAGTTTTCAACAACTTAATGAAGTTTTCAACAATCTAAAAGGGAAATTGGGGCTGCTCACTCTAGATTGTTTTTAAAAGTCTTTCGCAACTTTATGAATACACCTATTTTTCCAAAATTTCGCAACATCAGTTGGCTGAAGACAACAATATTTATAAATAATATACTGGAATACTATGAATGTTCTTATAGGCCATCATTATGTATAAAATATCGTCAAAAATACATCAGCGGCAATTTATGAAACTAACAAGGGGATAATGTATCGATATAAAAATCCAGTATATACTTCATTCTCCAAAGAGGTGCATTGTAAGTAGATTTGAAAGAAAAAATTCACCACTTGAATAAACTATCAGTAGTCAATGGTATGAATTAAATTATCATTACAAATATCAGCCGATTAAAATTGGTTATTAGTTATGCTCAACCTAGTATCGACGTACAAATCCTGCGGATTCTCAATTCTAAGTCCAGAGTTCCCACAAAAGAATCTGAAGAAAAAAAAAGAATTCAAATATCAGAAAGAATGAAATATTTAATATATAAATTGGCTTCTGTTCCATTGATACCACTATTAATACTTGCAAGAACCATATATTATGTTTGATCTTTTATTATATCATTGAGAATAGTACTTAATACCTATAATAAATTATGTTTCCAACAAATACCACAGAAAACATATCATCAGTCAAATTTTGTATGGGGAGTAATGATTCAAGTGATTTTTGGCGATTTTTTCGTGTATGGACCGATTTAAAAATCACGGGAATAAGTCAATCGAATCCCTGATCAACCCCTTTGGGAATACTATATGGTCTAAAACCTGGAAATTGAATATAAAGATAGTATATTAGTGATAATATTTATATGAATATTTCAATGAATACAATTTGAACTGTATTAATACAGTGATTGTTGACTTAATTAGAAAAATTATAATTCCCGATAAAAAAAAGATTGTTTGATTTTTGAAGAGTAAGATTTACGTCTAACTACACCAATATTTATCCAATTGATCCAGAATGAACTTATATAGCATAGTTTATCACAGCAAATCATATGCCGTTTTCAGAGTTGCTAAAATCCCACTTGAAGAGACAAATGTTGCAAATCGTGGAACATTTGGATGGCGCACTGTAATGACCATAGAAAACAGAAATATAAATGCCACTTTTTTCTAGAACATTCAAATATTCCTCAAATTTGGAACATACAAATCTATGCATCTATGGAACGAACATTTACATCAATGGATATATGGACGGAACATTTCTATATACGGATATATGGAGGGAAAATTTCTACATATAGATGCGCACCAAATCAGGAACATACAAATCAATGGTTTAATGTATGGAAAATTGTGACACACAGATATAGGGCGCAATCACTGGAACATATGTATGTGCAACAAAAAGTGACATTCAAAAATATGGTTTCTAGGATGGAATATTCGAATATACATATATATTGTTTCACTTTTGGAATATAGATTTATAAATTACCGCCATAAAATTCATGAAAATAATCCACTGTTATGTGTCTTTCTTTATTCAGATTTGTTTCAAATTGATTATCTTGATTGATTCCCATTATATTCAAATGGATTAGATAATATATGTCAAAAAGAAATGATCAAGAGTGTCTAAAATGCATTTATTTTTTCTGTATCATTACAAAAATATGAACTATTCTCGCAACATAACAAATCTACTTACCCGATTCACTCAATAGAAGAGTTTAGTCTAATCACAATTCAAAGTGGGATATGTTGGTATTTTTGATTAATTATTATATAAAATTCATATTTATAATGTATCTCATCATTATTCACTCCTATTAAATCCAGCTTGTCAAAATTATAGCAGTTGTTACATATTGTATGGTGAAATAAGGTTCAAGTCAATTCTCGTGTCTGAACTAAAATCAAAATTACGGAAATAAGCCACTTGAGATCATAGTAGACAGCTTTGGAAGCACTATTTACACCAATACTGCCAATTATCAATATTTAAGTACCTTAATATGATGATAAACATATTACTATTATAGTTATATAATTTTTAGCGGTTTTAATAGCACAATTATTGATAAATTTATACAAACTTTGTGAGACGTCTTATGAAATGCAAAATTAATACTTTTATTTACATAATATTCCTAAATAATTGAACACTATCAATATTCTGATACATATATTCATATATATATATATATAAATCAATAGAATATACCGAGCATTGAGAATTTCAGAAAATTAGATTGCACCTGTTGCTCTGCTAGAATATATGCAATAACCATAGACACATTTGAGCCATTTCATACTCTTAATAGATGGCATGTAACTTGGTATTTGTCCATGACTATAATAATAATTTGGTTTTACATTACGCAACACATTTTTATTGACATAGACAGCTAAAGAAATTTTGATTTTGCATTAAAACTGTTGTAGGAAAAATAAAATTGCAACCCCAGCAACAAACAATTTGCAACTAATAAAATCCTTCTATCCAATACCGTAGAATCAGATTCAGATTAGAATCGTACACAATGGGGGTCTGAACCGGTATCAAGATGTGGTATTTCACTTTTCTATTTATCAATCAAACAAATGCAAATTAAGAATGACTGCTCAACATACTAACACTCACGCTAAAACACAGTCCACTTCTGGTTCTTCTGAGGATAAATTTGTTATTCGTGTTTTAAACAGTAGAGGGTACATGGCTTCCAACTGTACTGTTATGTAAAAGACACGATGAAACAATAGTTCAAGATAATCTCTAGACACGACCAGTAATAAAGCAGAATTAAAAGAGCCTTTATGTGATTCAAATAGTTCAAAAAATATTTGCTGCCTTCCTTGTTGAAAGAAATTTTTCATATTGCATAAATTGTGTCAAAGTTGTGCAATGTCATAACCAACTACATGGTTTTGTTGCATATTATTGGTAACTTTCAAATTTAGTCCAAAATTGTGACGAAAAAGAAAGCAAAACTAAACATTGACAGTCAAAGTACAACTTTGCGATAACTGATACAAAAATCAAATAATATATTCAACAAGAATAACCTTTATTAAAAACCACAACATTATTAAATGGAAGAGGCAGCTTCATTAAATTTAAAAACAAACTATTTGTGACATTTTGTTCGGAGAAAATGGATTCGGGTTGAATACTTTAGGAACTTCTCGTGTGTGAACCAAAAAAAAAAAAAAAAACTACCAATAATAAGCCAATCAAGATTCTAAATCCATTAAAAAGTGATCTATGCATCCAAACTAGAAATTGTCATTGATCAAGTGCACGAGTTCAGTAATGTTAACTATTTGGGTAGTAAATATGAGTACTTGTAGATTGTTTTATTAGGATTATGAATAAAAATCCAACTCTTGGAAGGCTTCCGGGAATACCTCAATGTCTTAAAATATTATATCTAAGAAAGTATGTTGACGTTAGCAAAGAATATTACCCTCCAAATTACCTGCAATTTGATTTGATTATACAATAAAGTATCTCAATTTAATACTAATTGCTTCAATGAACAACTCCAGGAATACATTATTACAGGCTTCAGATCATCATGATTGAATAGTTTGAAATTTGATCACATAGAAACTTCAAAGAGAATACTAATATTACAAGTGATCTACAGGGTTGACAACATTAATAAGCCAATCTATGAAAATCATATTACAAATGGCAACAATTACATTGGATACAGGATTATTCCTCATGATGAAACATATTTATATTAATATATACTTATATTTGTAACAAATAAAACCAAACCCCTATTTATCTATATAACATATTATTTGGCCCATTCTAAAACCTTCAAAGAACAAACAACAATGAAAATGGTTGTTGGAACAGTCAAAATAACATAACCCCAAAATAATACTCCACTCATTTCCTTTTGATAAACATTATTTAATTGTGTGATTTGAGATAATTGAATAGCTGGAGGACTAATAGTCAAAATAAAAGCAACAATCAAGAAAATAGGATCATCTAAGATTGAAGTATTGATATATTTAACACAAACAGCAATAATTGGTAATAAAATAATGGAAGGTAAAATCATTCTTGATAATAGCGAACCAATTAAAATTCTATTGTAATGTTTTGAAGCAGGTGGAATATCACTGGAAGGGTATAAATTGGAACCTAAAACAATCAAAATCAAAGGAATTGAAACACTTCCTAAACCAGTAATTGATTTGGCCAAAGTATTATGAACAAATGAACCACCATTTTCAGTGCCAAAAAACAAATTTCTGAGATACGGCACAGAAGCGACAATAACACTAATCAACATGGCATACAATGGAGGATTCATGAATGCCAAAAATTGTTTAACGCCTGGCAATTCAGAAAAACCTTTTGAATCATTAGCAGGGTGTTCTTCATCAGATAATTGAATTTCTCTTGTTGTTTCATGTTCTTGATCTTGATCTTGTTGTCGGAGGGCATCTTCAATGTACAAAGTTTGTTCAATTTCATCAGGAGAAATCAAACGACATTGCTCATAAACAACAACTTTGCCGTTTTTTGTATGATAAGTATTCAATTCTAGTTGAGATCTTTTTCTTAATAATGTGTTAAAACCCCAGGACCATCTCAAAACTTGACCCAATTGTTGAAAAATCAACAAGTATAAAATACCTCTACCCGCAACTTTATCACTGTTGTCGTCAACAATATCGTCCCATAATAAATCAGGTAAAGTATAGGCCAAACTTAAAGTCAAACTGACCGGTAAGGAATTGGAATTACCAAAAACAGCCATTGCTGTAACGAAATCCGTTTCTGGCTCATTCAAGCCCAATAAATAACTGGTAAATTTAGAACATCCAAAAGATATAAGGGTTGAAATGGCATAAAATATAGGAATGATAATGATCTCAATCAATTTACTCAACGATAAATTTGAAGCCAATTTTGAAAAAATCAAACATGGTGTAAATAAATCAACATTTAAAGCACTTAGGGATTTCTGACCTTGAGTAGTTAATAAACCGGATTTGGCAGCTATGAAACCTGCAAAACAAATAATAACAACTTCTAAAACAGCTTCAAAAGTTAAAAATGAGATATCAAAATAAGAAAGTGGCGAAGGAGAAACAACTATAGTATCACTTGATAGAAGATTTAACATGTGTATGTGTATGTAGTTTCAATAAAAATGTAAATGAATATGAAAATGAGCCAAATGCAAGGAAAAGTAAAAATTTTTAAAAAATGAAAAGGAGTTTAATTGGATTTCCTATTATTTATATAAAATTGTTGTTCTTCCTTAAAAAAAAAATTGTGTGGCTTTGAATTTTTTTTTTTTTCAGTGACGTGAAGAGAGAGAAATAGAGAGAGATAGTACGGGCGGGACTGTGGTGAGTTTATATTCTTTTTTCTTTGTTGTGTATTTTTTATTTACTTATTCCAGGATTGCCTTGTCGGGTTGTTACTTCCCAGCTTCGTGTAATGTGTAAGAATTCCTTGCGAATGATTTGAATTGGGAAGTGAATAATAAAAGATAATGCAAGTATTCTTTTAGCATACGAAAATAAACGTGATGTATGCATAGAAATAAGATCTATGGAGGGGGGCATTTAAAATAACTGTATCACCAGCAAACGAAACAAAATGAAACAACAATAAAAAAGTAGGCGGTTCAGAAAATAATACACTGTGATCTGTAGAAGAAGAGGGGAATAATGAAAAAGGGTAATAAAGAATGGGTCGTAGCAAGAAAGCAATTTAATGTTTATTTCCTGCCTCTTAGTATTATGCGTTATCAAAATCAATATCGATATCCCTCATTTCCTAAATCTATTGGTTGAGAATTCTTTGTTTCAACTCCTATCATTTTGTACATTATAGGAGAAAACTATCTTCTCATTTCCTTTTCCTTTTTATGCACAGTTTAATTAAGAATAATAGTAATTATAATTTTTTTGTCTAGGTATCGAGATAAGGATTATTACAACCACCCTCCAAAAACCGCACCAGATCCTTTTGCGTGAGTAAGAAGGCTTTGGTTAATGATCTAGATCATTCTATTATACTTGTCCCTCGTTATTTATTTGTTGGATTGACTTTCTCTGGCATTCTTATTCAAGGCTGGGATGGAATCATCATCGTCGTCGTTTCTTATTTTGTTATCTGGTGGCGTGTAAACGTGCACAAAAACCACGTGGGCCATCACAACAAAAGAAAAGAAAAAAAAAAGAAATTCTTGTATCCCAGAACTGTGCCACACACACAGACACATACATTTTCCTACATAGTGTGCACCAACCAATCAGGATTGTAGCAGAAGAAGAAGTTAAAGTGATAAATTATATTCTATTAATTTTATTATTCACCACCAACGATGATAATAATCAAATCAAAATCACTCCATTTCTTTAGAATTATTAGTCTACCCATTCCTGCTTCACTTTTTTTTTTGTTCAATTCAATCTTGAATAATGTTTAATCTTACTGACAGGTTTTTCTTCTGGATTTATCTTTGGAATTCTCATGAACTTTCATTGCAATTGATATTATGCACACCGGGTTAAGTTATATCACGTGTATCATGACACGTGCTAAAGAGCACAATTGATAGTATAGTAAAAATATCAAGAAGAATTGATCTCAGATCTGGAATATCCCTGGCAGGATTAAAGCATACAACTTTCAATTAAATAATTTCTTATGAGTAAGTTTCATATCGGCGTAAAGTTTTTGTTCCCCCTTTTTATTTGGTGATCAAACCTTAACTATGTATCACGTGATTATTGTTTACAATTTGTGTGGAAAAAAGAGATCCAAATGAAATCAAAACATAAACAAAGGGAAACAACAAAAAAAAAATTACATTTTCAACTGCAACACATTCAAGAGAACCACCAACACATATTGACATTACAAAGCCAGTTGTCTATTCATACGACACCAACAAGAGTCAACTTCTAAATAAATCATATATATATATATATATATATGGAAACACTGTCATATTTATAGTAATTGCTTTTAGTCATGACACTAATAAAATCATCTATACCAAAATTACAGCATCCCAATCATGATGAATCTGAAACCAACAGGAACAGTAAGCAAGCGTCCTCGTCAGTAATAACAACTAGTACTCCTGAATTAAACACACCAACTAGAACTCCCTGGTATAACAAGAGATATATATGTTCTGATGATGAAGAAGATGACTTCGATGAGGTAAATAATGAATCTCATGATAAAACACCATCTCCCAAAAAATCACAAGTTCTTGAACATCAGTTTGATTTTGCTTCAACTCCATTAAACCCAAATTCTACTGTTTCGTTTGTATCACCGATGAATAAACTCAATGCATTACATTTAGAATCACAAATTGCAAGTTCTTCAGATATTGAAAATGACGTGCAAATACAGGACCATGATGACGATGATGATGAGTATGATGAATTTTCACTTGGAAATAAAACTATTACCAATCATTCCGATGACGAGGAGGAGGAGGAGGAGGATGATGAGGAAGAAGACATGATCAATCAATTCACTCCACAATATATAAGTTCAAGGAAAAGATCACTTCTGGAGTCTCCAGATATGATGATGCTAACTCCAAATCAGAACAGCCATATATCTGCTTCATCAAATTGCAATTTCAATAAACTGTCTATCTATCACAACAGCAGCAACAACACGACTACAAATACCAGTGGTTCAGGATTTAAGTTTAGTTTTTCAAATATTACTGATTCAACCCCATGTCCACGACAGCCAAAGAGAAAGAAACTTAAGTTTAAACGACAAAATAGTCAAGATTCAAGTAGAAACATCCTAGATTTGAACTTTGCAAAGAAAACTATATTATCTGAACCACTGACGATTCCGTCGTATAATGAAGAACCAAATGACGAAATTGACAATGACGATGATAGTAGTAGTAAAAGTGCACAAAGTTCAAAATTAGAATCTACTCCAATTTCACAATCGACACCGGCATCACTGCGGGCATCTACTCCTCCACTTCCTTCATTACAACAACCGACAAGGAAGAATCAAGAACATGAAGAATATGGTGAAATTATAAATGGATATAAATTTGTCAAACCAAAGATATTACCACAATTCAAGTACGAAACTCCAATGAATAATAATCGATATCATCAGTTACGTGATACTTATAATAGTAATAATTATCAAATAATTGGGGAGTTGCCAATTACCTCAGCCGGGATAATGGATGAAAATCCCGAGGATGAAGATATTCATATTGGAGATCGACGAATAAATGATCCATATTTGACTATCCCAAGTATAAAACAGTCATTTGATCAACTAAGACAATTATATTTCAATGAAGTGAGATTACCTTTATTACCACCTTATTTCTATCAGTTGAATGAATTATCAACACAAACAATTATGTTGTTGATAACTAGTGAGAATTTATTGAAATTTTATCAAAGCATTCTTCTAGAAAATGAGGAATTGTTGGATTTATTAAAACAAGAAAGAATTAAATGGCATCCTGATAAATGGGTAGGCAAATTCAAAGATGTACAATCATCTAATGAATATCCATTTAATTTACAAGTTGTTGATTTAATTAGTCAAACTATAAATGGACTTATAGAATCTTTATAAGAAATATACAAATATAAAGACGTGTATTACAAATGTTGGTTTAATCTTTAGGAGTATTTACTTCTGCCTCACTTTCACTTCCAAGGTCTATTTCTATATCTTCTTGATTATCTTTAGGTGTCAGTATTTCTCCATTTTCTAAATCAACTTCTTCTGCCCCATCCTCTTCGTCTTCCTCATCTTCTTCCTCTTCTTCTTCCTCTTCTTCTTCATCTTCTTCTTCCTCCTCCTCTTCGTCTTCTGGTTGTTCAGGAGGATATTGTTCAGCACTACCATCCTCATTATCCCAAACAATATTAAATCTAGTAACTCTTGGTTTTTCAGCCAAAATATTTCTTACAACATGATCAATTTGTACTTTAGCAGGAGGATTTTCTCTTAATTCTTCAGTATCATATTCATTATTAACATAATAACCAACTCTAACAAATTCTTTATCATTATAACTACAACTTAGAATAATTACAGTGACACTAACTAATTCACTTGCTGGAATTAATTCAGGACTTGGTGCATCAGCTTTAAATAAAAATGAATTTACTCCAATTGGTATTGGTCCAACTAATATACTATCTAATTCTTGATCATGATCTAATGAATCTGATGATCCAACATAAGTTAATTTCCATTCAAGATCTTCTTTCAATGGTTCTAAACATTCAAATGTAATTTGAAATTCATATGGGTCGGTAAATTTAGCTGGATTATTTAACACTTCTATTCCTGTTAACGAAACTATTGACATGGTAATTTAATGATGTGTGAAATATTAGATGTAAATGATGGGAAAAGAAAACACAGATTTTGATTAAATGAATGAAAAAAAAAAAAAACTCATCTGTTTTCGTTCTTTAATCTTCTTTCATTTTTTTTTTCTGTCTTCACGCGTCTTGGTCGGAATTGATGATTTTATTTTATTTTCTTTTGTGTCGTGTCGTGTCGTTTTCAACGTGTATTTGCGTTTTATTATGAAACTATACAATGAAGCATTATATTAATTATAGCCAATATATTACATGGAAATTCATTAGCAAAGTATGTGACCGACAATTCTATATGATACTACCGTTTGCGTAACGTATCAATCAACAATCTAAGAGACTTTCTCTTTCTTTTAATAATACTCTTGACATTGAAAAGCGATGAAGCATCATCTTTTTTAAAGCTAAATATGGACGGTAAGTAACTAATACCATGAGAACCACCAGATGTTAGAGTAGTTTCGTAATCTGAAGAATCTTCCTCCATAAATATTGAACTTGTTCCCGTCATTGAAAACACTCTTTGTCTTTCATAATAGTTACTATTAATATCTTGTTCCATCCCACTTGAAGAAGAAAATGATGGTTCTGGAGTGGTAAACTGTAAATCATCTTCAATATTCAAAGAATTCAACGACTCATCGATATATTTTTCAAATTCAATTTTGAATGAGTCACAACTGACTAAGGATCCACAAATGGAATCTATCTTATTATCAATTTGTTCAATATTAAGGAATGAATTCTTATGTTTAATAGCCAATTGATCTTGTTGTAAAAAACTAGCTGTAGTTGTAGTTATTGGTTCATTTATTGAAATTGCCGTTAATAAATTATGGATATATGTAGATCTTGAACTAGTTGAACTTGTAATGTATAATTCTTCGTCTTCATCATTTTCATCAGTAACAGTCATCAACCAATTATGAACATTATTTTCATTAGGTAAACTGATTCTTTTCTCTGAGGAGCTGGTAACAAAAGGTTGAGGCTTGAGTGATATACCATCGTAGACAGAAGTCATATATTTATTTAATTTTGCCCCACAATAGTTGATATCTTTACTTTGTAAATCCTCTGTATTAATATTCTTCAATAACTTCTGAACGTCTTGATTCTCACTAGAATATCTATTCTTCTTGAGACTAGATGACGAGGATAACAATCTAGACATGGCTTATATGATAATTGATCTTTTAAAAAACAATCTGTTGCAAAGTTCAATCTGACAAAAAAAAAGAATTAAAAGTGGTTGTAAGAAATGAAAAAGAAATTATTAGTGACGTTGATAGATTGGAATTAAAGTTGGTTTACCAAGTTGACTAGACAAACCATGTGATTTTACTCGTTATGGTAAAGATTGCTATCATTGTTTGTAAATAACACCCATATAAGATACACAACTACAGTGTATTGGATGCACTAGTCTCTTGTCTCTTACAATCAATAATCTAGAATAGTATCTTAAATAAATCAAATCAAATGTGTTGTAAAATGGCTGTAAAAATTACAAAAGTCGTGTGCCGATCAATCCCTTTACATATACAAAATTAGAATTGTAAATCTAAAGAAACCAATAAGAGATACTTATTAACAGTTGAGTGGTATATTGATGATATGTGGATCATAACATTGTAATGCTGGTTATTGGTAATAGTATGACTGGTGTAGTTGGTGATAAAAGGTCACATTGGTATTATATCTTCGTCAAGTGATTTCCACTCTCGGAAGAATTTGTTTCTATAGGTATGTACCTGAGCAATCATTTAACAGATGATCACTTCTGGAGGTTTTCTTGTAAGTAAAAGTACTATGATCCATGCTTGTTATTATTGTTGCCATGTTTTATTGTCCACTTGTTATTCGTGTACCTTGCACAAATACTTTATCCAAAAAATTTCATTCTCTGTCAACCACCATCAACAACCACAACAAAAAAAAATATATCGGCGAACATTGTATACCCATACTTAAGCAACTCGTTTATAATCATCCCGTAATTAGAAAACATGTCTATAGAGTCTGAGAAAATTGAAACACCGTTGCAAGAAGTAACACCTACTGAATCAATCAATACTAAAACTCCAGACCACCAATCTGAAGTACTGCCCGAACCAAACAAAGTAGAAAAAGTAAAATCAGAAGCAAATAATTCCAAACCAAAGACAACTTCAACGATACTAAAGATTAAAATAAGACCTCCAAAACCACAAAAAGAAGAATCAGTAGTTGAGGAAGAAGAAGAAGAATCAGTAGCAGAATTTGAATCATCAATTGATAATTTAGATTCAATCGATTTAGATCAACAATCACCTGAAGAATTACATAAAATTTATGAAATTTATCAAAAGAGATTCAAATCATCAATTAAAAAATCAAATAAACTATTTGAATCTTTAAGAAATCAAAATACTACATTATCTTATTATCAACGTCGAAATCAATCTTTTTTAACAATACTTCAAGATATTGAACAACAACAACAAGAAGAAGAACAAAAAAATAAAGAAGACAAAGGAGATGAATTAATGAATAGAATGAAAAAAATCATTGAGAAAATGCCACGTTGCAAAGATTCTTTAATTCCTTTTGTTGAATTATTTGAAAATGAAAAAATCAATAAAAATAAATTGATTGATTTATATGTAATTGAGAAAATTCCTGATTTGATTAATGATGATTTAGTTAAATTAAAAACAAATCCTCAAAATATTGAAAATTGGTGTATTAGAAATAATCCAAATTTAATTAATTTAAATTATAAGCCTTTGACTATTGATAATTTACAAGATTATAATGGTGGAACTGAGTATTTATTAAATTTAAATGATGATTTCTTGTCAAATCAAACATCTTCTCATAGAAAGAAAAGAAAACTAGATAAAAAGTAAATAGGCTGTTGTCGATCACCTCTTTTTGAGTATGATTTCTAGGATTTTACTATTCCCAGTAAGAAACAAATTAAATATAAAACTTCTTTGATATAATGAAAAGTTCCCTTTATCAATAAGTTTCATAACTTCTAAGAATAATTCAACGTCGTTTTCAAAAATCTCCGGATATCTAAACTTAATTTTATTCAACTCCCGAACTGCCTTATTCTCAATCTTGGATAAAACAGCTTGTAAATTTGTAATTAAAACTATAATCTTGTGTCTTAAAGATATAGTCAAATCATCAATCAATTCTTCATCACTATCAACAGCCACGGCAACTTCGTCATTTTCCGTAGTAATCTCCATGGGGATACTGTTAAATATATGATAATATCTTGTGTCTCTGTATGGGTTAATCATTTCAACATTAAACACATCCACCAATCTTTCAAATCGAGGATATGCCAATCTCTTACTATTTCCATATTGATCAATACAACTAATCCAATTAAATTCGTCTAAAATTTCCATCCCTTCAATAGTGCTTGAAATCATCCCCAATACATAGAAACAAATTCCTCTAATTTGCCAAATTGGGCACTTTTGAAAATTATAAATAATGTCACTTATAATAGGATTGGTCAAATTGATGTTATACATTGGATCTAATAATTGGATTCCATATTGACCCAGTGCAATACCTCCAATAATCCATAAATTCTGTTTCAATGAATTAACCACAAAATTACGTGATTCATCTTGATTGTCGATATCATAGAAATCATCATCATGCAAAATCTGATGGAACATTAATTCTGTCGATGTTATTATAATTTCTAGGAATTCCTTCCCCTTGCCATATTGGAAAAAGTTCAATCCTTCTTCTGTGGATAACAAGTTTTGCAAAAAATACAATTGATCATACGTTGATATTGGAGCTCTTATATAAGGAACAAATTGGTAATTGACCAAGGATTCAATGGTTTCAAGATATTTGAAATCTTCTAATTTAGTCCATTCATCGAACTTCACATCTAAAAATCCAAGATTCTCAAGGTAAATAAACCCCATAGGGAATTGTAAAAATTTCATTAACAATTTTTTACCCAATGGATATTTTTCTAATATCTCAACTTGTGGCTTAAACTTGATGAGCAATTCAAGGTTTAAGAAATTATTATTCTTGAAAAATGCATACAACAAATCAC